ATTTCCTTGCACTGCCAGCAGTAGCTTATCAGTTCCTGTGAGTTGTGTAATGGACAAGGCTTTGTAGTTGATGTGGCTCTAGTGTCATGGTGATGCACTGCTTCTGAAGAAGCCTGAAAGGCAGCAACCTGATGATGGCGAGTGGACTTAAACAGTGGGTGAGCCTTTCCGTGAGTATCACAAAGGTTGATGGCACATTCAATGCACTTACAAGTGGCTCCAGTGTCGACATCATCACCACACTCCTCACAATGAATGGCAGTGGGTGATACTGTGCTGGCAGATGCATCAGCTCCACCACTCTGCACAGGCCTTTTGCAATAGGTGTCTGGTAGAGTTTGAAGGAAATTCACCCCAGCACTGGCTGGCTGGGTGGTCTTGCCACATGCCGGGCACGTTATACATCCACCTTTTCCAATGAACCGCTCAACGCAGACAGGACAGACGGTGTGTAGGCAGCGGAGCAGCTTGGCTCTCTCCTTCACAGTCTGGCAACCAATGCAAGCCATTGCTTCTGCCATGTTCACGATTTCAGCACAACAAACCCAGGCCTCCAGGAGTGTTCTTCAAAGGAACAAGAATCCCTGGTGGTATTCAATTGGAATTGGTACCCAGATTCATCAACACCTCTTATGCAGGGATGGGCGAGTAGGCAGAGCCACTGAATCTTGAGATTTTCTTTTCAATGACGTCAGTGCCTGACAGGTGTTCAACAGGAGCTGTCAAACATTGGCATTGAAATGAGAGCACAGTTGCAGGTTGTCATGTGATCAACCCATCTTCTCAACCAGTGAAGTACTTGTCTCGCATGTAAAGTTATTCCCAGTGTCCGCAGTACACGTGGAGCACATCAGAGTATTTTGCAACTTATGCGACCTGCCGGTCGACAACACGCCTGTTTCCAGTATGCTCAGCAGCTCCGTTTGAAAATTTGAAACCCTACACAATACAAAATATTACTACCAGTACTGGCAGTGTATGTACTTGCCAGTACTGGCAGTACTGGTAGTACTGGCAGTACTGCCAGTACTACCAGTACTGCCAGTACTGGCAGTACTGGCAGTACTGCCAGTACTACCAGTACTGGCAGTACTGGTAGTACTGGCAGTGTATGTACTTGAAACGTACATGTACAGTCCGGCAGAAGACCCTTCTACGTCATGCAACTGTCACTTCTGGACATTGTTATTTGAGTTGCTCCCGGAAGTATCACTCGCCCAATTCCTACAGTTTGGGCGGGAAATGCCCCTCCCCCCCCCCCCCCCCCCCCCCATCCACATACCTACCAGCATAGGAGAGAGCATCATGAGACAGATCGAAATGTTGACACAAGTTTGGTATCATAACCCTGTATAATCAGGCATCACCCCCTGTGATGATGATGATGATGATGGTAACGTGATGATGATGGCAACCCTATCATACCAGGGTAAGATGTCTTTGGCCCCAGTGCTGCAGATACCCATGTTCTGAGAATCATCATTACTAACTTACATTCGATGCAGGGTGCTAGAACCTCGAAAGAGAACGGGTGATAATGCAGTCAACGTATTTCAGGACAGATTGCTGTAACAAGAACAGTAGCCAGGAAACAGTCCGTAATCATACCAGGGCACTTCCAGTATAACATAAATACCGGTTTGTGATTGATCACATGTGACTGAGTTTTAAAATCGGGTGTGATGACTAATGCGATTAGGCCGGCTGCAGGGACTAGGCTTTTCCACATTATGTTTTGCATAATTTTTGCATCTTGGGGGTAAAAATGAATCCCCGTTGTAAAAATGCATCTTTCGTGATTTTTGCCAGGTTTTCTTCAAAAACAACAACGTTTGCGTGGTTTTTGCCAGATTTTCTTCAAAAATAACAAATTTGGCGTGATTTTTGCCAGATTTTCTTCAAAAACAACAAGTTCAAGTTGCAAGTGTTAGCTAAACTTTAGCCTACAGGCATTTTCTTCTGCTGGCAAGACTTGACCTTGCCCCGCACCTGACGTAACCTGACTCTTGTCAGTCTCGAAATACGCCCGGCACTGGGGCCGGCAGGCGGCAGTGCATGATGATGTGCATGCATGCACGGGTGCGTGTCCTGTAGGGTTCCCTGAGCTGATGCCAACATCTACATGCTTCGAATCAGGGAGTCGTAAAATACCGGTATTTTACGACTCCCTGCTTCGAATGAATTTGGCAGCCATGAATAATTTTCGCACATTGGGTGATTTTGGAATTTTTTTAGTTTTCACTCACAAAGCGACTGTTCAGTACATGGGGTAGTGGTCTACCAGAGCAATCACACTCACCACCGTGGTGGTTTTCCACAAATGAGTAGAAGCAAAAAACCACACTCGCAGCCACATAATAGATAAATAGCCGAAAAACATCTAAATCCATCAAAGAACTGCCAGCAAGCGGGAGAAAAGGCCGTGAAATCAAGTGAAACAGCATGGCCAGTGGTGAGCATGGGTGACTGGGCAGCAGGGGAGCGCCTGAAAAACAATGACTCCCTACATTCCTAGCCGCGACCGCTCAACCGGGCTAGAGGAAAAACACGCCTTTCGGCCAAAAAACCTTTCTATTTCATTAATTCCTGCCCCGCTGCCAGTCGGACCCAAGAATAGAGATAGCAAGAAATGGTATGTAATAACCGGTGTATGTCATAATCATGAGCCACACACATAGGCATAGATTGTCAAGAAGAACAGGGGACGACTCCCATGAAACCAGGGTGGGTGGGCGGGCAACTTCAACTACCACGAGGAAAAACAAAGACCACAATGGCAGGTTCAACGGAGTTGCGCAGAACAAGAGCAAATGCACGAAAATATTTGTGAGTGAAAAATACGTTTTTTGCACTCTTTCGCTACGCTCAGCCGTGAAAAAACAAAACATTTTTTCAAATCTATCCATTTTTGAGAATAACATCATTCCCCAAAAAATCGAGTTTTACATCCACATCTTTCCAATATTTTTTCGAATAATGTGGAAAAGCCTAGCAGGGACACCCAATGTTACACTCACCTCGGCATCATCCAAACATTTCAGTATGGCAGTTCACAATGCAAACAAAGCCCTGAGTGGTGCGTACAGGGCGGCGCTTGAAAATTAAAATTAAAACTAAATTCAGAACTGGGTTGAAGGAAGCCCGAACGGCTTCATCAGAGCCTTGCCAGGGATCCGGTTTGACTCACTCGTCGGGCGCATGGCTGGCAGAGCAAGCAAACACTGTACTCACGCGAATATTGTGTGGGTCACACGGATGGCCACAGCCATCAAAAGCAGGAACACATCCAACCACAGCCTCCTTCTCTGGTTGTGCTGCAGCATGCATCAAGCTGTTCTGAAATGTCTCCCTTCAACCCACGCCTCCTGAAATCTATTATCGCTCTGCACTATCCTATGTCGTGTTACGCTAGCATCACTCTGCTCGGAGGCTTGCTCTATCTTGAATTGCATCTGACCTTGCTCTCCTTATCTTACAATGAGTGCCACTCAGTGTAATGGTTCTCCAAGCTATTTGTATGAGGTCTATCAAACAATACAAACAATAAACTTTTGTGTGAGGTCTATCTGTCTTTGCTCACTATTCTTGACAACAAATTCAATTGCAATGAAGCGGCGGTGGCCGGCGGGGCATTTGTGGGCTTGGTCTGAATCCTAGGTCGTTGGAAACCGGCTTGGGTTTTCCAAGGTTGGTATGACAAGACGCAGTCATGTGCAAAGCCACGCAACATGCATGGGGGGGGGGGAGGGGTCAGGAAAGCTGGAAACGTGTTGCTAGACAATGGCCAAACGCTTGGTGAGTGTCACTCTACTCATGCTATACAGCGTGCGCATTGACGTAGGGTACCATGTTACCCTTGTGCTGCGGAGTACCGCGTTGCCCCTCGCTGGAATCTGACCCGAGCTCCCGGATACCTTACGCTGGCCTCCTGACGGCCAAACTCAACCAACTTTTACTTTTACTTGTGCTTTGTGACTGGGTTGTGCTGGTAACGTTACGTGGCTGACTTACGATTAGCCATGCTAGCCAGGGGGAGTCACTCGGAGTGCATGATCACTATTCAGAGCACTTATCATCCATGCAGCAGTCGGGTTAACACTGCTCGCATGACGAACTTTCGCAGATCCTTCACGTCCGTGTAGACGCATGAAAACGATACAAACGGGGACGCAGCTCCGATCAGCTCTGATCGTGTTGACGCGCAAAGACGAAAAAGAAACACGGGATCAAAAACGGAAAACTGGATGTGCATTGTTGTGTAAACGCAGCCTTAGTTGTGTCCAGAAAGTGGTTAGATCCAGGGCCTCTAAGGCTCCACAGTGCATACATGTACATATCGTACCTACACAACTCCTTTGTTTCTTCCGAGAATTCTGAAAACCTCTGCGCGCCGGTGACACGAAACATAGAGAAAACTATGTGTGGCCTTATCTTTAGTTTGTGCAGTGCTGCTCGGTGAAGTGAAATCCGATTAAGCGAGTCCATGCCACACTGGGTGATCCTAGACCTGCAGTCCATGCCACACTGGGTGATCCTAGACCTGCAGTCCATGCCACACTGGGTGATCCTAGACCTGCAAACACTGGGATGTGTACTGGTGCAGGACACCGCCAACTTGTTTCACACGATCGGATTTCATTGAGCAGCACTGTACTTGGAGTAACTGTAGAAGTGGGGCATATTGAGTGGGTTCTGGGCCAGGGGCACCCTACCCCCAAATGGGGGAATTCTGTTAACGGACATTGTGGGTTTGAGTCTCCGTGACTTTCGGGGGGGGGGGGAGAGACGGGAGGTGTCCTGCCATAAACAATGGAGCATTATGGAGTGCATACATCATGGCTTCGAAAAGTTCGAATACATCATGGTTTCGAATCCCATCCTTAAAAAAATTATTGATGAAAACCTTAAAAAGTGGATTCTGCTATAGTCATGCACACATAGTCATACGGTTTCACATGTTCTGTTCTGTTCTGTTGTGTTTGTTGTGCTACTTGATGCAGATACGACAACATGTACATCAGCCAACAGCATAGCCTGCTCTAATGGTGGCTCCTGTGTTGATCTGTCCTCCAGTCAGATATGCGTATGCCAGTACGGATACACTGGACCTACGTGCATGGATGCGGTGGACGAGTGCGTCTCGCACACCTGCCTAAACAACGCTTCGTGCGTCGACATGATTGGTGCCTTTGTGTGCCTGTGTGCACCTCGGTTCACGGGTGGCCGGTGTGAGATGTGCAGTGCACGTTTCTCCGGGCCTGAGTGCAGGACGTGCTACGGTAACTTCACTGGTAGCAACTGCAGTGAGTGTGTGAATGGCACGATGGGTAGCCGGTGTGATGTTGACGTGGACGAGTGTGTGTCGTCACCGTGTGCTAATAACGCAACCTGCCAGAACCTAGCCAACGCTTTCACCTGTGTGTGTGCAGCCGGCTTCACGGACGACTTGTGCTCGGTAGACATCAACGATTGTGAGAATAATGGCTGCTCGGTCAACTCTACATGCGTGGATCAGGTGAATGGCTATCGTTGTGTTTGCAATCCTGGCTTTACTGGCACCACCTGTATGACGGATGTTAATGAGTGTGTATCGGATCCGTGCAGCACTGGCGCCACTTGTGTGGACTTGATTGACTCCTTTGCATGCATGTGTCCGCCTAACCTGACAGGTGACCAGTGTCAGACAGCGGTGGACTTCTGTATGGACTCACCGTGCCTCAACGATGGGACGTGCAGTAACGGATACAACACTAGCGTCTGTACTTGTCCATCGGGATTCACCGGCAGCAGGTGTGAGACGGACATTGATGTGTGTAGCGAATCTAGTTGCCTACACGACGGCACGTGTGTTGAGCTTGTCGGCGAGGAGTTCCTTTGCCAGTGCGTACTCGGATTCACCGGCAGCAGGTGTGAGACTGACATTGACGTATGCAACGAATCCCTCTGCCTGCACGGTGGCACGTGTGTTGAGGATGTTGGCGACCTGTTCCTCTGTCAGTGCGTACAGGGATTCACCGGCAGCAAGTGTGAGACGGACGTGGAGGTGTGCAACAGTACTCTGTGCCAGCACCACGCTACGTGTGTAGAAGGTCTGGGCACTGACTTCTCGTGCCTGTGCGTTGAGGGATACAGCGGCGCTTACTGTGAGAGTGACATAGACGAATGTGCTAGCAATCCGTGTGAGCACAATGCTACGTGTGCAAACAGACCCATTGCAGCGTACACCTGCACATGTGAGGTGGGCTATACAGGTACGCAGTGCATGAGTGACATTGACGAGTGCAGCTCACAGCCATGTCAGAATGGTACCTGCGCTGACGGCGTCGGACGCTATGATTGCAACTGCTATCCTGGTTACACGGGTACCGAATGCTCCATGGAGATTGACGAGTGTGAGTCCATGCCCTGCAGCACCAATGCTACCTGTCAGGATCAACTCAATGGATTCTCCTGCAAGTGTGTAGCAGGTATTACAGGTGTGCTGTGTGACAGTGATATTCTGGAGTGCACGTCGACACCATGTGCCAACAGCGCAACATGTGTGGAGCTGATAAACGCATACCAGTGCATCTGTCCTGCGCCGTTCACTGGCGTTCACTGCGAATCAACAATAGATTTCTGTGGTAGTGCTCCCTGCGTGAACAATGCAACATGTGCGAGCTTCCTGGGCGGATTCTCTTGCCAATGCGATGCCGACTTCACCGGCGATCGCTGCGAGACTGGTGTTGATGCGTGCCTCAGCTCGCCGTGCAACAATGGAGGCACGTGTGCGGATGCTGAGCGTGGATTCGGCTGTGCGTGTGCAGAGGGCTTTACCGGCGTGCTCTGCAGCAGCGATATCAATGAGTGTATGTCAGAACCCTGTGTCAGCGACTCGACCTGCGTGGACGGCATTGGCGGATACAGCTGCAACTGTAGCGTGGGGTTTACCGGAGCTACGTGCAGCGTCGACATTGATGATTGCGTCGGCGTGGGCAATGTCAGCGTGTGCAGCAGCAACTCTGTGAAGTGTAATGATGATGTCAACTCCTTCACATGTATCTGCCTGAGTGGCTTTTCTGGTCAGAGGTGCGAAGAGAACATTGATGAATGCCTCTCAGCACCATGCAACAATGGAACGTGTGTGGACGACGTGGACGCCTTTCAGTGTAGTTGCATTGGCGGTTTTACTGGCGTGCTCTGTGACCAGGAGATAGATGAATGTGCGTCACAGCCGTGCGGAAACGAGTCCTCTTGCCTGGATGCTCTCGACGGTTTCCTGTGCGCGTGCGCGGACGGCTTCACTGGCTTGACATGTGAAAGTGACATTGCAGAGTGTGCCTCAACACCATGTGCCAATGGTACTTGTGTCGAGGGAATAGCCCGATTCACATGCTCCTGCTCCGATGGCTTCACTGGTGAGCGATGTCACACAAACATTGATGATTGCAATCATACCATGTGTCAGAACAGCTCCACCTGCTTTGATCTGGTGGCTGATTTCCAGTGCCTGTGTCCGGCTGGTCTGACGGGACGCCTTTGCCAAGCGGATGCTGCCAACGACTGCGCCAATATCAGCTGTCAGCACGGCGCATCATGTGTTGATCAAGTCAACTCGTTCACATGTGTATGTGTGAGTGGGTACACGGGTGTACTATGCGAGACTGACCTGGATGAATGTGCGTCATCGCCCTGCGCACACTCTGGCACTTGTAATGACCGTGTGAACGGTTTCAACTGTACCTGCGTGGAAGGCTATGCCGGCCAGCTGTGTGCAGATGATGTGGATGAGTGTGCATTGTCGCTTCACACCTGCGTCAACACTTCATCCGAATGTGTCAACTTGAACGGTACATACTTGTGCAATTGCTATGCTGGCTTCACTGGCCCGAACTGCAGTGTGGACATTGATAACTGTGTTGGGCATGGCTGTCTCAACGGTTCTTGTATCGACTTGGTCAACTCGTTCTCGTGCCGGTGTGAGAACGGCTTCTCCGGGCAGCGCTGTGAGATCAATATAGATGACTGTGCTCCGGGGCAGTGTGATAACAATGCAAGCTGTGTGGACGGCATTGCAGACTATGCATGCCTATGCGTTGCCGGCTACACTGGGCGCAACTGCACGGACGACATAGACGAGTGCCTGAGCCTGGTGTGCGAGCACGGAGGCGAGTGCCTGGACGGCATCAACTCGTTCTCGTGTGTATGCACAGCCGGCTATACGGGCACTCTGTGTGCAGAGGAGGTGAACGAATGCATGTCTGATCCCTGCCTGTTCAACTCCACCTGCCAGGATCTCATCAATGCCTTCCAGTGTAACTGCACAGCAGGCTACAAGGGAGAGCGCTGCGCTAACGAAACCGATGAGTGCCAGCCACAGCCCTGCCAGCACAACGGCACCTGTGTTGACGAGCTGAACGCTTTCAGCTGTCAATGCTCGGCTGGGTACACGGGGGTGCTGTGTGAAGTGGATGTTGACGAGTGCGAAGGCATGCCGTGCTTGAACGATGCCACGTGCATGGACGGTGTAGCAGCCTATACCTGTGTCTGCCCTGATGGCTATACTGGCAACCAGTGTGGGGAGAATATCGACGAGTGTAGCTCTGATCCGTGTGCAAACTCCAGCACATGTCGAGACGGCATTGCTAACTTTACTTGCACATGTGTTGCCGGTACCACCGGAAGGCTGTGTGATGTGCCGATCAATGAATGCCTGTCCGACCCATGCCAGCACAACAGCACGTGTATGGACATGTCAAATGCATACACATGTGTGTGCACTATGGGCTATACCGGTGCACAATGTCAGAGCGACATCGACGAGTGCATTGCATCATCACTCATGACATCATCGATCACACCAACGTTGATGACGTCATCAATGACATCAGCGGTGACTGCCTGTCTCAATGGTGCTACGTGCACAAACCTGCCTGGCGGTTTTGAGTGCGTGTGCGCATCAGGGTACACGGGTGCAAGCTGTGAACAAGATATTAACGAATGCGACACGACAATCACAAACGATACGCTGTGCTTGAATAACGGTATTTGCGAGAATACTGCTGGAAGTTTCCAATGTGATTGCGTACCTGGATTTGAAGGTGACCTATGCCAGGTGAATACGGATGAATGTGTCAATGTCACCTGTGCTAATGATGGCGTGTGTATGGATCTCGTCGATGCATTCATCTGCCAGTGCGGATTCCGTTACACCGGCATTCTCTGCGAGACAGGTATGTACTGGTGACCATTGTGGTGTGTATCACGGTGTATGCATCGTGTGTATGAGGATGTGAATTAGAGACCTGTTTTGCATCGCCATGCTGGCACGTCACGAGTCAAATACTCATCCAGTACCTGGGTTCAAGGATTCGTAAGAGCTCTGCAGAAGGCCATGTTTATGCGAATGCATCTGATCTTCGACGGCTGCTCTAAGTGCAGTTTTGTCTTGTACTTGTTTTGCTGTGGATGCGAAATGCCTCTAGAGTCGGCTGGGTTTCTGCAAGCACAGACCACTTTGTGTATGCTAGTGCATTGTACTAGTCCGTTATGATACTATTCATGCATAGCTCGATCAGATTGAGCTGAAAAGGCATCAGGAAGGAGAGTGAGGATTTGAGTATGCCAAAAGAGTACAGGGAACACGCGTACTTATCTCTATAGTGCAGTTAGTGCAAGGCGAAACTGATTGTGCATGCGAAAGTACTTGATGGGGTGCTGGCGGAGGAGTCTAACATCCTGGATGCAAACATGTATGCCGTGTTCTGGTTTTGTTGATCCTGTCCAGCACTCAGTCCATGCGTCTTTGATCCTTGTCCCAGCAGCAATGCTACATGTATGGTGTGGAATGCAACAGCACGTGTATGCCAATGCCCTGCTGGCTATAGCGGAGAATTCTGCAGTGTCAACATTGATGAATGTTTGAGTAGCCCGTGTATGAACGATGGCCAGTGTGTGGATGCAATCAGCGCATACGAGTGCTCTTGCCCTGTGCTGTACAGTGGCGCGCGGTGTGAAACCTATCTCAGCCCATGCCGCTCTTTTCCCTGTTGGAATAGCGCCACGTGCGAGGACACAGCAGAGCTCGATGGCAACTTCACCTGTGCGTGTGCTGCTGGCTGGACGGGTGTACTCTGCAATGGCACTATCGATGAGTGCGCCAGCTCACCGTGTTTGAATACATCAACGTGTGTAGACCAGCTAGCTGGCTATGAATGCACGTGTGCGGCAGGCTACACAGGTGTACACTGTACGATTGATATCGATGAATGCAGCATGGACACTGAACTATGCGAGAACAATTCAAACTGCACGAATGCTGTTGGATCCTATATTTGCCAGTGTGCCGTGGGGTACACTGCTTTCAACTGCTCGGAACAGATCAACGAGTGCTCCAGCATGGATCCTCCGTGCTATAACAATGCAACGTGTGTTGACCTAGTACCAGGATTTGAGTGCACGTGTGGTGCGGGTTACACTGGTCAATTGTGCCAGACGGAGATCTTGGAATGCGAGTCGTCACCATGTCAAAGCGGAGGCACATGCCAGGAGCTGATAAATGGCTTCACATGCACGTGTGCACGTGGCTACAGTGGTAGCATGTGTGAGTCGGACATTGTTGAGTGTTTGTCTGACCCTTGCCTGAACAATGGCACCTGCACAGAGCCTCAAGTCGGTGTCATCCACTGTGCTTGCAGATCGGGCTATACAGGAATGGTGTGTGGGAGCGATGTGGATGAGTGTGCGAGCATGCCCTGTCTCAACGGCTCGTCGTGCCTGGATCTGGTCAACGGCTTCTGGTGCAACTGTACTGCAGGGCTGACCGGTGCTCTGTGCAATCAATCCGTGGACGAATGTGTGCAGCACCAGTGCCAGAACGATGCATCGTGTGTTGACTTGCACCTGGGCTACAGCTGTGTGTGCGCCATCGACTGGACTGGGCAGTTCTGCAATGTCAGTATTGATGACTGTGAGGCCACTCCATGTGGGCCTAACGGTGTGTGTATGGATGGACTAGCTAACTACACATGCCAGTGTGGAGCGGATTTCACAGGCGGACAGTGTCAGACGCAGATTGATGACTGTGCATTGGACCCGTGCATCTTCGGCAACTGCACTGATTCGGTCAACTCGTTCAACTGCTCGTGTGAACCCGGCTATACTTCATACATGTGTGACGTTGAGTTGGACGAGTGTGATCCGCAGCCGTGCCGCAACGGGGCATCGTGCACCGACACTGTGAATGCCTACGTGTGCCAGTGCACAGCCGGCTTCACTGGTCTGCAGTGCCAGACGGACATCAACGAATGCCTACCAGTACCGTGTCTGAACGGAGCGTCCTGCGAGGACGGCTTAAACAACGTGACATGTACCTGTGCCCAAGGCTTCATCGGCGTGTTCTGTGAACTCACAGATCACTGTTTCGGCACGACCTGCTTGAACAACGGTACTTGCGCGAATGAAAACAGCACCTTTAGCTGTACGTGTGCTGAAGGGTTCAGCGGTGTGCTGTGTGAAAGTGATATTGACGATTGTGCTGCAGGCAACTGTTCCGATACTACGTCTATGTGCATTGATGCAGTGGCAGGCTACAGCTGCCTTTGCCACACTGGATTCACTGGTGTTGTCTGTGACGAGGACGTGGCTGAATGTAGCACCGGCGTGTGCAGTGCAGCAGGGACACGCAGATGCGACGAGTTGCCGGGCAGCTTTGTCTGTCAATGCCAAGTTGGCTACACTGGCCCCCTGTGCGAGGTGGACATCCGGGAGTGCGACAGTATGCCGTGCAGGAACGGTGCAACGTGTACAGACCTGATCGGTGCATTCAGCTGCAGCTGTGCACGGGGATACACCGGGTCTACATGTGAGAGTGATATTGACGATTGTGCAGGGATGCCGTGCGGTGACCGCGGAAACTGCACCGATCTCCTGGATGATTTCAACTGCAGCTGTGAAGCAGGATTCTCGGGCACCGCATGCACGATCAATGTTGACGAATGTGAGAGCAACCCTTGTGCCAACGATGGCACTTGTATGGACCTGATCAACGACTTCAATTGCACCTGTTCACCAGGTTACAGTGGTGTGCGCTGCTCTATGGATATTGATGAGTGTGATAGTATGCCATGTGAGAACAATGGGACGTGCACCGATCTGGTGAGCTCCTTCAACTGCACCTGTCCGACTGGCTTTACCGGCGCCGTTTGCCAGAACAACACAGATGACTGTGCCGGCAATCCCTGCCGCAACAACGGTACTTGTTTGGACGGCGTTGCTGCGTTTGCCTGCCGCTGTGCCGATGGCTACGAGGGTGATCAGTGTGAAGTGAACAGTGACGAGTGTGCTGATGGGCCCTGCAAGAACGAGGCAAACTGCACGGACCTCGTGAATGCGTATAGCTGTGACTGTGCAGCGGGCTATACGGGCGCCCAGTGCCAGACAGATGTGGATGATTGTGCCCCAGACCCATGTCGGAACGCTACAGCATGCGTGGACCGTGTGAATGGATTCGCTTGCAGCTGTGTCAATGGCTACACTGGTGAGCGCTGTCAGACTGACGTTGACGATTGCGCCGGAACGCCGTGTGAAAACGACGCCACTTGCACAGACTCTATCGGCACGTTCAGCTGCCGCTGTGCAAACGGATACACTGGTGATCGCTGTCAGACTGATATCAATGAGTGTGAAGGTATGCCATGTGAAAACAACTCATCGTGCGTGGACTTAGTCGATGGCTTCAACTGCACGTGTGCAGCCGGCTATGAAGGCAGCCTGTGCTCAGTGAACACGGACGACTGTGCTGCGTCTCCGTGCAGGAATAACGGCACGTGCAGTGACGGTGTTGACGAGTACATGTGTACGTGTGCACCTGGATATACTGGCTTGCAGTGCGCTACGGATGTTGATGAATGTGCCAATCGGCCGTGTGTGAATGGTGGTACGTGTAACGATGGTGTCCACAGCTTCTCCTGCAGCTGTATGGATGGGTATAGTGGGCCGACCTGCTCGGAGGACATTGATGAATGTATCAGTGAGCCGTGCATGACCAACAGCACATGCATAGACCAGGTGAACAACTTCACATGCAACTGCAGTGAAGGCTTTGAGGGACGGCTGTGCGATATCAATACTGACGATTGTGCGTCAGACCCGTGCTTGAACAATGCAAGCTGTGCGGACCTCATCAACAATGTCGCCTGCACGTGTGCGGAAGGCTATACGGGGCGATGGTGTGCGATCGACGTTGATGAATGCACTTCTGACCCCTGCCTGAACAACGCATCATGCATCAATCTACGCAACAACTTCTCCTGTGCCTGCGCAGAGGGCTTCGAGGGACGACTGTGTGATGTTGACATCAATGACTGTGCACCAAATCCGTGCCTAAATGATGGCACATGTACGGACCGTGTAAACAACTTCTCGTGTCAATGTGCTGATGGCTTTGAGGGCTATCGTTGTCACATTGATACAGATGACTGTGCTGAGAACCCATGCAGAAACAGTGGCACGTGCAGTGACATGGTAGCTGCTTACACATGCCAGTGCATTGCGGGCTGGTCTGGCATGAACTGCTCACAGGACGTGGATGAGTGCAGTCTGGGTGTGCCGCCGCTGACAGGAGAGCCGGCATGCCACGCGAACGCTACGTGCAAGAACGTGGCCGGCTCGTTCTTGTGTGACTGCACGGCTGGTCTGACGGGAGATGGCGTGACAAACTGTACAGATGTGGACGAGTGCTTGTCACCACAGTTGCACAACTGTGATGTGCTGCACAGTGCCGGTGGTGATGCTGGTGGTGGACAGTGCCACAACACGCTCGCTTCTTTCTTCTGCTCGTGTGTTTCCGGTTACTATGGCAATGGTGTTCAGTGTTCGCCGTGCAATTGTTCACTGGCGGGTACGAACGACACGGTCTGTGACCACCTCTCCGGACAGTGCCATTGTAAGGCGTTCACCGAAGGACAGCACTGTGACGTGTGCATGGATGGCTACTTCAACCTGACAGCCGGTGATGTCGCGGGCTGTCGGCCATGTCAGTGTCACGGTAACGGCTCGGAGCATTTCACTTGTGGCAAGACTAGTGGTGAGTGTCGCTGTGCGACGGGTTATGCGGGTGCGCAGTGCGATCAGTGTGCCGACACGTACTACGGCTTTCCGTCGTGTGTAGCGTGCGAGTGCAATACGGCTGGCCAGTCTGGCAGTGCACACGGTGCGTGTAGTGCGGAAACCGGGGAATGCTCACACTGCAAGACACGGGTGGAGGGGAGACGGTGCAATGCTTGCCAGCCTGGAGCGTACAACTTGACGTTGACCAATCCCGACGGCTGCGACCTATGTGCATGCAATACTGCCGGCATTGCCTCTGCTTCTGGTTTATGTGATCAACTGACAGGTGTTTGCACGTGCAAGAAATATGTTGAGGGTGCCAAGTGTGACGCATGCCAGTCTGGCTACAGTGATCTTCAACAGTCCAACCCAGACGGCTGTACCTTCATTGACTATTGTGAGACAGTAAGCAATACGTGTATGAACAGCGCCACGTGCTGGCCAGTGCGGGGCAACTTCACCTGCAGTTGCAGCGCCGGGTTCACGGGCCGATTGTGTGAGATTGATGTGGATGATTGCATGCTGTACAACGCAACACACGGCAGTGCAGCCTGTGACAATGGCGGAATGTGCGTTGACGGTGTTCACACGTTCACGTGCCAGTGTGCGATGGGCTATACCGGTGAGCGTTGTCAGACCGACACGGATGAGTGCTCTTCTCGGCCCTGCCAGCACAGCTCCGCTTGTCTGGACGCGGTAGCGGGATACACATGCAATTGTATGGCTGGATTTACTGGTCTGCACTGCGAATCCGACATCAATGAATGTGCCTCCGAGCCGTGCAAGTCGAATGGAACATGCCATGATCTGATAGCCGAGTACACGTGTGAATGTCCTGCAGGATTCACTGGTTCCCAGTGCCAGAGTGATATTGATGAATGTGAACTGCTGGGCTACCCGTGTCTGAATAGTGGCACCTGTCAAGACCAGCTCAATGGCTACGCTTGCCTGTGTCCAACCAGCTTCAGTGGTCCAAATTGCTCCGTAGATATCACCAATTGTGAGGCCACGCCGTGCACGCTCAACACACAGGAGTGCAGGATATTGATTACTGGCTTCATGTGCAAATGTAAAGCCGGCTTTACGGGCCACACCTGTCAGACCAACATAGACGAATGTGGCTCGGGGCCATGTCTTAACAGCGCAACATGCACGGATGACGTCAACGGGTTTACGTGCGCGTGTGCAGACGGTTACAATGGCACTCTGTGCGACGAGGACGTCAATGACTGCTTTGACGGCGCGTGCTCTGGAAACGGCGCATGCCAGGACTCGGTGAATGACTACTCGTGCCGGTGCCATCCAGACTTCACTGGCCGGCAATGCCAGAGTGAGATAGATGATTGCAAGAATCACAGCTGCAGTAGCAGTGCAACTTGTATTGACGATATTGCCAGCTATGTGTGTGCATGTGCCCCTGGCTATACTGGCACATTCTGCAAGACCAACATCAATGAATGCCTGTCGAGGCCGTGCAAAAACGACTCCACCTGTGTTGACGGCACTGCAGCGTATAGGTGTGTCTGTGCAGAAGGCTATACCTCGGCTGACTGCAGTGCAGAGGTTGATGCATGTGAGAACGTTACGTGCCATAACGGTGCGACGTGCAGGAATGAACGTGTCCGCTACGTGTGTGATTGTCCACAAGGCTATACTGGCCAACAATGTGAGACCCTGTTTCCGTGCCAGCGGTCTCCATGCGCACTGAACGCCACTTGCTTCGATGAAGTTAACGAGACTACACTCACGTATCGATGTCTGTGCCCGGCATTCAGTACCGGTGCAAACTGCTCAGTGTCGGTAACACCCTGTGACTCCCAGCCGTGTAAGAATGATGCGACTTGTGAGGATGTTGGTGAGGGCCACCAGTGTCTGTGCAGTGCTGGATTTACGGGCCGGGATTGCGTTACGCCATTGCCAGCGTGCCATTCCTCCCCATGCCATCCCGATGCAAGATGTGTAGACACTGCTAACAACACACGGTTCACATGCACATGTCCTGTGTTGCTAACCGGCACGCTCTGTGAGTCTGCGTTCGACCCATGCAGTGCGCTGGATCCGTGCGCAGGAAAGGATAGTAGTTGCATGAATACAACTAACAATACGATGGGTTACGTGTGTGAGTGTAGCCTGACAAGAACGGGCAGCCAATGTGAGACAGTTCTCGATCTGTGTGCAGACGCGTACTGCGCTGCCGGTGCTTGTACGCAGTCGGATGACGCCGTGTTCTGTAATTGCTCTGTGGGCTTCACTGGCGATCGATGCCAGACGCAGGTGGATCAGTGTGAAGCAATGCCTTGCTCGAACAACGGCACATGCAACAGCACGCTGAATGGGTTCACGTGTACCTGTCCGGCAGGCTTCACTGGCCAGCGATGCGCGACGGACATTGCATTTTGTTCCAGTGATCCGTGCTTTAACCATGGCACGTGTGTCGAGCACACGCATACGTGCGATTGCAGTGCAATGTTCACTGGGGACATGTGTCAGACCCAGATTCTCAACTGTAGCGTCATGAACCCATGCTGGAACAACGGTACCTGCGTGCAGGACGGCTTCGACTTTGGCTGCAAGTGTCCCAATTGGACGGCCGGTGAGTTCTGTGAGATTGTGGCATACCCGTGCCGGTCCTCGCCGTGTCTTCACAATGCACCGTGTGCTGCAACACGCTACCTACTCGTGTCCGGGGCCGTGTCGGCATCTACTGATGCAGCACCGGTGACGTCGTCCAACTTCACCTGTGATTGTGCTCAAGCCGACGGCCGCTGGAGTGGAGTTTTGTGCCAGAATGGTGAGTGATGATACCTACCCACAGATTTGGTTCAGCACACCGTTATCCTCTGAAGATCAAATTGATATTAGTGTCCACTGCTGTGTTGGCATTGTCCATGACTGCATGCAAACCAGTTCATATTATATATTATACTCAATCTGCGGACAGAACTGTTTCGTCCTTTGTGGACTCATCAGCGCGGCACAGAGGAAATATATATAATGTATAAAGAAGTATGCCACTGTCCCTTCAAGGTGGATGAATCCATTGAGAGTGCCTTGCTGGCTGCATGTACACAGTGTGTATTATTCAAGTGAGAGTGCTTTGCTCGCTGCATGTACATAGTGTGATATTATGTGTATTGTTTCTAGTGCTGTGTACCGTGTGCAATGATTGCAACCCTGCAGATGTGGATGAGTGTGAAGAAGACGCACATTCCTGCCATGAGCTGGCCACGTGTATGAATACACCCGGTGACTATCAGTGTCAATGTCAGTATGGTGCCACTGGCAATGGCACACACTGTTCTGGTTAGTTTGAGAATTCATCTCTGCTAAGTGCTTGGCGCTGTCCTTGCCTAAGACTCTGTGCGCTTGCACTTGTCAGCGAATGAACTATACATATTGCATGCAACGTTATCTGTAGAATTAGTGTTGCGAGTTGAGATTGTGGGTGATTTTTCAACTTCTCCCCATTGTTGCCCAGTGCGTCAAGTCATTATGAGCTGCTGGGGGCTGCTGTTTTCAGGGCGTTTACTTGCTAAGCACAACCTAGCTAGGATCGTAGTACTAGCTTCAACGTGGACTCAGCGATTCCTGAAGTCTCCATTGTTAGTGGTCCTATGTTCAAACGCCGATTGCCATTTCCTTGCTGTGTGCTTACGCAGTGATCACCTGTCCAGTCCCTGGTGCTAGCAATGGCAGTCGAATTCTCAATGTCACTAGCCTGGCCGCTGCGCTCACTGTGGACACTCAGGTGCACTCGCAATGCCTGGACGGCCACGTATCCGTATCTGGAGACACAGTGCGTACGTGCCTGTCAACAGGCAACTGGAGCGGTATGCCGCTGGCATGTACATCGCATGGCGCGAGTGTCCTCGACGCATTGAGCAAGGTAAGCATGGCACGTTGCAAGCATGCTTAATGCACTGAGCAAGGTATTCCGTATATCACAACTTCAATTCACAAGTGTGCTTAATAAGTGTGCAAAAAGGTACCCTGTGGCAGCAGCAGCAGCAGTTAAGCCCATGTCAAGTTGTTGCATTAGTCTAGTAGTGCAGTCTGGAGATAGTTCGCAATGATACCAAGTTTCACAAACTGTATTCAAAAGTTAGTTCTTCCACAAGTGCCTCCCGGCTTACTGCACCCGCTGTAAACACACATATGCATGTACGTGTGTGTGCATCCACGCCGAGCGTGTACATGTTGCAACTCTGTCCTGTGGTCGACTTACAGGTCGAAATCACTTCCCCGGAAATGGCGGATGCTGTTGTCAACCAATCCCTGGCCGTCGTGGTAGATCCGGCGTCACTGTCCGACTCAGTTGTAATGTTGGCAGTGTCCGTTGTGGAGAATATTGTTGCTAGTCAAGTGGCCAGTCCCGAGGTGAGTCTGGCTATGTGAAGCAAACTGTCAGGGAGAAAGATAGCCGGTGACAGTTGGTTAGGCTCTCTGCCACGGACTGTGCGTGATATTGTATTTCAGGCTATCGGTATGCCCCGCAGAGACCTGATGATTGCAGTGATAGGAAAATCTGACCAAGTCATCCACCTGGGAAGTGAAGCAAAATCGTCGCCAAGTTTACTGCTACCCGATGGCACTTCTCAAGTCCTTGCTCTACTCGTTTTTTCTATCAGTGTTGTGTCCTGCAGGTACTGTGGCCGTGCCTGCATGCCTATTCAGGGTTACCAGGAACTAAGGCACCGATACATGTACTTACTGTCTACTGGTGTTGCTGTTGGGTTAGCTTTGAAAGAGAAAACATCAGGAGCCTGTCGAAAGCATGTGCACGCACATTTTCAGGTACGGCCATCGCAACACACAGCTACTGCTGCTGTCAATGACGAGTACTTCACCCTCTTAAAAGTCATTGTGAGAGAGGTTTACAAGTTACAACTGCGCCACCCGGTGCAAATTTCACATCCCTACAAAGTAATGCGGCACATGCTGGTTATGATGCATTATTGGCATTAATTCACGTGTGTTTTCACTGTACATGCCCAGGCTGAAGAGAGGATTGTTACCCTGGTAAGCAACTTGATCGATGTCAATACCAGCCTCCTACGACAGAGCAATACAGCTACGAGGTGAGGGTTACATTCGTTTGACTCCCTCTTCCACGGTACATGTCAATTGCAGGAGAAATTGCCCAGCCAATGTCCTGTTTGTGAACTGAGCCATCTCATCTTCGGACCATTTGCCTCCTGGGCACACAAGTGCTCTGAGTCTGCAGGTGTTCTTTCAAGTCACGTGTTTCTTAGCTCTGTAATGCCGCTTGTCCAGAATCACATGTCAGTGCAACAGGGATCACAGGGTATCCAGTATGCCCTCTGAAGAGCGGGCGTATATACGAGATCAGGTATACTACGCCAAGTAGAGATGCCCAGTGGTTCACAAAGCCCGTTGCCACAACATGGTGTTCGTGTATGTACTGTACACTGCTTGCAGGTTAATTCACAGCATCGAAGAGCTTGGCCGCACGATGGACTCACAACACCTGACCAGCATGAACGTCGATATCCGTGCTGTCGCCGTACAGTCCGACAGCACCTTTGAGGGTCTGCAGTACTCCCAAGCACAAGCTGACAGCTTCACGGCATCGAGTGGTGGTGTGCGGCCACCAAGCGAGTCGGGAGGTGGCGATGCATTCGACGTCTCAATAACTATCCCACCGGGACTGTGCCGCCAGGAGTCCATCCAGTGTGCAGGTCAATCCATTGTCTTCATTTCATATGCAAGCGATAAGTTATTCTCCGATGGAACGCTTGAAAACCGCTCGTTACAGCTTCAGCACGGTATCATATCCGCTTCAATAGGAAACATCAGCGTCAAGCAGCTCTCCGAAGGAAATGAAGTGTCGGTGAGCTTCAAGAAATCCGCCAGCGAAGGCAGTGCTTCATCTGAATGTGTATACTGGGATTTCTCTGCTAATGGTAAGCAATACATGTAATAATAATAATAATGCAATATGCTTTGACTTACACACCGTCGTCACATCTGTGACTGACCTGTGTGGAATGTCTCACGCAAATATGACGTAATCCCATTTTTTGTGACGACCATCATTTACTAGAAGCCAGATGTGCATGTGGATGTGTGTGAACATATGTGTGCGTGGGTGTGTGTGTGTGTGTGTGCGCGCGCGCGTGCGTGCGTAGGTGTGATTGTGTGTGTGAACTGGGGCTAATTTCTTGGTAGACACGTGCATTGTGCGGTCCCGCCAAATAAAATCAATCGCCCCTTTCCACGAACTGTGCTGGCTGTTGTGCTGTTGTTCTGCAGGTGGACGCGGTGGTTGGAGTTCAGAAGGCTGCCGTTACGCCGAGGCCAGCCTGCAGGCTGGTGTACATACCTGCCGTTGCTCTCACCTCACTAACTTTGCTTTGCTGCAGGTGGGCAATGTTTTTACTCTTGAGACGACATTGCACAATTTGCAGCATAAGAACAATAGCACATGAATTCCTGTTGATGAATGCATTGGATTGTAGTTGCCCTGTACGTGATATGTTCATTGCCGACATCAACTAGCTTTTCCTGTAATTGCGCATTTCCAGCCACCCTGCAACTACCCATTTCTTATTCTGCGCTAGTGGATGCAGACTGGACATCATTGTCAGCAGATACTGTAGTACTTCCTAGGGTTAAAGGGGAAGTTAAGGCAAAAATTAAAATTTCACCAGTTGTAGTCTTCGGGGTGCTGAGTCGAATGGTCGTGGTCCGAGGAAGCTGAGACGCTCCCTTCCTACTTGAATCCCAATCGAACTCGCGCACTTCCACCGAAACTGGGTGACTGCGCCCTACTAGATGGGGATTTGTATGCAAAATGTCACTAAAAGCGCCATTTCGTTCTTATAAAAGCACGGATGACCGCGATTGGCCCATATGTTGTAGTCTTTTGGATGCTGAGTCGATTGGTTTTGGTCCGAAAAGGCTGCGATGCAGCGTTCCTCCTTTATTCCCAATCGAACATGGTTGAACAAGCGGTCACGTGCTCCTGCGTACACCAGTCACCTGGTCACCGTGCCTGCAGGGTACAACTTACTAGCTTGTTTGACCTTTTTGGGTGCAGTCCTGTCACTCGAGCTGAACTCGAGTTGAACCTTGGTGTGAAAGTTGTCGCCTGCTGGCGTGGTGACCAGGTGATTTGGGCACCCAGGAGCACGTGACCGCTTGTTCAACCATGTTCGATTGGGAATAAAGGAGGAACGCTGCATCGCAGCCTTTTCGGACCAAAACCAATCGACTCAGCGTCCAAAAGACTACAACATATGGGCCAATCGTGGTCATCCGTGCTTTTATAAGAACGAAATGGCGCTTTTAGTGACATTTTGCATACAAATCCCCATCTAGTAGGGCGCAGTCACCCAGTTTCGGTGGAAGTGCGCGAGTTCGATTGGGATTCAAGTAGGAAGGGAGCGTCTCAGCTTTCTCGGACCAAGACCATTCGACTCAGCACCCCGAAGACTACAACTGGTGAAAATTTAATTTTTGCCTTAACTTCCCCTTTAAGCATTTGAATTAGTGCAGCAACAATCGTATGGTAGAGGTATGCTGTGTGACAGTACATTCCCCTTGCTTTCTGTTCTCTTGCGATACACTGTAGTCGGAATCGGTGATTGATGGCAAGTTGGCGCCGGTCTCATTCGCTGTCATGGTGGTTGGCTGTGCCGTCACACTGGCAGGAGCTCTGGCAACCATGATGGTATTCATCTGCAGTAGGTAAGTACGAGTGTACATCGCTTGAGAACGGGTTTACTCACAACAAAGCCAACCGCATGAAGAAGAAAAACAGAGTGTGCATTGCGTCTGATCATCGGTAACCTGCCGTTGTGGAATATCTACTGAAGTAGTCACCCCACTTCTATTCACCATGTCATGCCAGCTAGGTGCTGACTGTTGTCCAACAACTATGTGTGTGTGACTGGGTTGTACTCAGTGCTGATCTGCCATTTCCCGCAGCCCCATTCAGGCTGAGACGGTGTCATCATTCGTAAAGTTTGTGATGTGGTGAATACAGAACGCAGACTGGCTTGGAATGATTTTGTTTGTTGTTGTTGTTCAGGATGCTGCGCACATCCGAGTTTGGCCAGGTTATCCTTCACCTGAGTGCCGCACTGCTGATGTTGTGTAGCGCAACGGTGGGCGTAGCATTCAGCACGCCCGACACGGCACGGGACACTCGCAGTGGCGCCTGCTCTGCATTCGCAGTGCTCGTCCACTACTTCTGCTTGGCCCTGTTTGCCTTCACAATCGCCGACACGTACGCAATACACCAGCGCATCGTCGATGTCTTCGGCAGAGCCACCAAGCACTTTGTCTGGAAGTCGGGCCTCGTCGGATGGGGTAAGGCTTAGGCTGCCCGTTGTGCATTCGGTATAGGTTTGTTTAAAAGCTTCAATTTAAAGCCAGGATGATTGATTCGCAATGGGGCGAAGTCTGACTTTCAACCCTACACTAACCGGGATGTGCCCGAGCAATCACACGCAAGTGCGAGCATGCTTCATACGTGATAATGCAATCCTTGAAAACAAACTTCTTGCCTCTCTTATTGGAATACACATCGTGTTGAGTTAGGAGTTTGTGAGCTGAAGACACCACACAGCTCAGTCAGGTTGTTCATGAGCACATCGCTTGACACCATGGCGTGCGCGTGCTCGTGCAATATGCCGTCGACGGATCTTTTGAACAAGACATAAGAAACGTTCGGATACTGCATGTCATTCATGATTGACTGATATCAGTGTACGTGTGTAGTGCTGATCATCCTCTTAGCAGTAGTCTATCCACTTGTCTCTTCTCAGTAGTCTATACACTTGTCTCTGATCAGTAGTCTGAACACTTGTATCCTGTCAGTAGTCTGAACACTTGTCTCCGTCTCAGTAGTCTAAACACTTGTCTCCATCCATCTACTGCAGGTGTTCCTGCACTGATTGTTGCTATCACGGCAGGAGTGGACGACGGGGCATATAGAGACTCCTCGTTGTAAGTAGCTCGGTGTTTTGCAACATTTGCTTCCATTCTGCTGTTTCTTGCTAGTTGACATTGTGCCACTCTAGCAGCTTATAGTGCGTTTCAAAAGTCCAGACCTCTGGTTTCAAAAAACCGTTAGGCCAGCATCTATACCACATATACCGTAAAGTACCGCCAGAGCGCCCCACCATCTCATCCTTCCGTGGTCGTATTGTGGAGGTGGTCTGCTGTCTGTAGGTCATACGACATGAACCTTGTACACATATTGCACGTTTTGCAGTCAATCCGTACCTTCAAGAGGACACAAGCTCCACACAAAAACCTGCCAAGTGTGACCTTAGTACACTAAGATTCTCACATCGTACACACTTCGTTGCACTCTGCCATACGATTTTCCTTTCTCTGGCTGTAAAATCAAGGTGGGGCGCTCTCGCGAGACGGGGCGCTCTGGCGGTACTTTACGGTAATATGTGATCACTTTGTGCATACAATTTCTGAAATTGGGCGTTTGTTATCCAATCGCTTAGATATTTATATGAGAAAAATTGCGCGAGCTGCCTGCGCTACAATATTCCGAAGAAATTTCCCAAAAAAGCTCCAACCAAATTTGAATTATTCGAAAAAGTCTAGACTTCTATACTTTTGAAGTGCACTGTAGCTCTGCAAAAGGAGGAAAGTTCCCTGCTGAGCAGGATATTCTGTAAGCTTAGGGCCGGGTTCCACTGCGGCTCCGCTGCTCGTCTTTCGCGGCTTGAAACGTCATCATTACCATAGTGACCGCGGCTCGAGCTGGAGCAGCGAGGCCGCGGCTCACCGCGAGCTTTTGCTACGATTCTTGACCAAAAACTGCGAGCCGCGGTCGCGGCTCGACCTATTCCCCGTACTTTGCATTGTTTCGTACGCCAGAATTTTAAAATTCAAATTTTAATTCGTTGCGCAGGCCAGAACACGAGGATTTTTTTGATTTGGCGCGCGCAGGCAGGTGAAACGTCATCAAAAAGTGTGGACCACGACCGCGGTACCGCGAATGGCGAGTGTCAGTAGAACCGCGCTGCTCCGCTGCATGCAGCCAAGTACCACGGAGCAGCGGAGCCGCAGTGGAACCCGGCCCTTAGTGATCAGTGTCCAGTGGTCAGTGGTTCAGTGGTCGGTGGTTCAGTGTTCTACGTATTACTGTACCTCCAGTAGAAACATGTGTCCAGCTGGATAGCTTGTTGATACAGGTGAAGCAATCGACATGGTGCCAGAAGAGTGAATGCGTTTGGAAATAGACTCACTACCCGCATCTTGATCAGAACCGGTGAAGTTCACCTATAACACGTTGCTAAACTTTAGCCATTTCTACTGGTACAATGTAGCTAAATACATGTAGGTGTGTGTGTGTGTATGTGTGTGTGTGTGTGTGTGTGTGTGTGTGTGTGTGTGTGTGTGTGTGTGTGCATGTGTGTGTGTACGTGCACGCATGCGTCCATGCGTGTGTGATGTGTTTATCCTTGCAGCTGCACATTATCATCACCAGCATTCTATGGTGCTTTGTACGGCCCTGTCATCCTGGCCATTACCATCAATTCTCTAGTCTACATTGTCATCTTCGTGGAGCTTCTTAGAGAGCGTCGCCAGCGTAACTCCTACCATGTCAACAGGGAGCCAATATCTCACCGAAAGGACGACAAATCGCATCGCATGCGCTGGTCGCTCTTCCTTCGATCACTGTGGCTGAACGTGATTATCGCACTGACTTGGCTGGTGGGCTTACAGGCGATGGGTAGCAGTTCTGCCATGCTGCACTATGCGTTCACGGTGTGCGGTGTCCTGCAGGGCGCTTGCCTGTTCATTGTCCACTGCTATATGAGCAAGGACAGTCGCAAGGAAGCAAAGCACACCGTAAACCGCATCGCTGACAAAGTGACTGCTGCGTCCAAGCAGTTTGATCTAACTGCTGAGAAGACATTGTCTCAGCCGCACTGTCAGCTACAGAATGCTGCCAGCTTGGCTTCAGTCGTGTCCAGCGATCTCTCCGTTGGCAGCATGGAGATGAGGAGGCTGAGTCCACTGGGTGCATCTGATACAAACATTAGCCAGGCGCCTGTCCCCGGTGTTGTATCTGCCCCCATTCCTCAGTCATCCCTAGTTATTGTGAATAATGCCCTTTTCGGCTCGTCTCCGTTGTCATCCAATAGCTCGCAGCTATCGGAGGTAGACATCGATGAAGCAGTCAATCAGCACACTACACACATTGACATCGATGAAGCTATTCGCCGCCGGTCTGCTACGCTGGCACCTCAACGCACTGTTCCTGCAGCAAGAACACCTCAGGCACAGTTATCTGCCACCAGCTCGCCGAAAGTACAGAAGAAGCTACGCGGTGCACTAAAGAAAGCCTCTGGTAGCCGCTCGGGTAGCCTGAAACGCCTGCGTAAGAAGTCGGTATCGTGGAAGCTTCAATCAGACCATACTGTGAATGACAACGCAGCAGTGGACAGTGGTGACGACGCTCATCAGAAACAGCCAAAGCATCAAACGCCATCCAGTCTAGGTGGCAGACGTGCCCAACGCCAGAAACTCCAAGGAAATGACAGTAACATGAAGCAGCCAACGGCTAGAAGCTTCGGGTCAGCTAACAGCCACTCCAATGGCGTGTCGACGAAGGATAAACCTCCCAAACAGTATCCGGACAAGTACACGATTCACAACAGCTGGTCAGGTCATGGCAAACTACCTGTGCTCACCAAACTATCTGCTGACAAGAGATCACCAAAGGCGGATGGAAGCGCAGCCAGTGGTCAGTCTCTGCCACCTCAGCGTACACCCCCTACACTGCGCACCAAGCCCAACAAGGGCCGCAGGACATCGGCAAACGGCCTGGGAGGTCTGGCCGGCTGGCAAGCAAACAGCAACGGCTCTACCGGTCAGAATGGTGCTTCGGCGACTGCAGCGCCCCATCACCGTCGCCGAGTGTCACCCCTGCCCGTCTCCATTATGAAGCGCTTGTCTGTGACCAGTGACCTGGAGGTGCCCAACTCTGGCCTGAGTACTCCTGCTGGTACAGCTACGCCTGGCTTGCACTGGAATGTCAGTCGATCGCCTGAACCGTCCGTACTGGAGAACAGTGATGATAGCTGCAGTAGCATGGCACCTAGTGAGGATGAGGACGCAAGCGGATCATCAGACACGTGCAATGACACGATTTCCAGTGCGAGCGGGCAAGGCTCACTACGTCCAACACCGCTCTCTGACTCAATCCTAGCCCCGGCTGAAAATGGCGATGCCACTACAGCATCTGCAGCGGCCACAGCTGCTGCTCAGAACTGGGCTTTCGGCCAGTCGGTTGTTGAGCGACTGCAAAGCCATCCGGTCGTGGATGATGTTTTTGGTGAGACGACCAGTGAGGCAACAATCACTCCCGATTTGCAGTTGACCAAAGGGGACACTGTCAATGGGAGCCAGGGAGCTGGCGATCGCTCTGGTGCGGACTGGCGCTATCACACTACTTGTATAGACACTGAGCTGTGATGTGATGAGCCGATGTGTGTGTGTGTGTGTGTGTGTGTGTGTGTGTGTGTGTGTGTGTGTGTGTGCGCGTGTGTGTGCATGTGTGCGTGTGTGTTTTCGTGCGCGGATGTGTGCCTGTGGCTGAATATTCCCAAGTGTGTACTTCTTCTTGAGGCTCTGTATCATATCTCCTTCTTCCTCGCTCCCATCATCCTTTTCCCTCCCTTTCATCACCTCCCTTCTCTCTTCCTCGCATACTCATACCCCCCGTTGAGACCTTACCATTGAGGCAGAGTTGTTCATCTTGACTCTGTGAGAGAACTCTGCCGCTTTACTTACACCTGACCCACTGACTTTAGATGTTGAAATATATTTTATGTACAATGTATAAGGGGACAGGTTAAAAAAAGGCATGATTGCTTCTTGCATGCCTATTTTGAGTGGAGAACATTTTGTATCCGGATAGCCGGATATTTCAGTTCTTTACCCCGTGGTGTATACACGTACATAACGTTTGTATTATTATCTCTAAAAGGACGAATGGAAAGTCCCCGCCACGTTCTCCATGCTCCATCTCAGATTGCTTGCGCTGTATTAGGAAAATGTTTATTTATGTGGTAGCGGATCGCTGCTTCCACTTCTTGAATGCTCTGACACTGCCATGATGTAGCATGCTTGTGAGCTGGTGCTGTAGCTAGGAGACAGAGATATTCTATTAGCAGGATCTTATTACGAAATAGTTTATGTTTGTATCCGTATTTTTATCAGTATGATAATTATATTATTACGATATTCATCTCGTTTTACTTTGGCAAGTTTGCTTGAGTACTGTTGCGTTTTCTTCCTACAAATGACAAACTTTCATTTATTGGTGCCGATAGTTCTGGTACATCCGTTATCAAGAGTACATTAACCAGAGTGTGCAGCTCTGGGAGAATCATCTCATGTTTTGTTCAGGTAATAGTGACTCCACCTTTGCTGCATCTTGCACCGATTCAGGATCGGAGATGGTCATTTTCCCGTATTACGAAGGTAATTTCTATTGCGCATTGCTGCTTGTTGTACAAAAGGTGAAAAACACACGCGATTTCCCGTTTATATCACCTTATGTATTCTGTTTCATAGAGGCCTTAGTTGAACAACAGACCACTATGTGACCTGACATTGTGTCTGAGATTCTGCGGCCCATAGGAAAGTAAAGCATGGAAAATTCCAGACAACGGTGTCGGCGGTTTTGGAAGGCAGGGCGGTTTTGTGCTTGAACTCGATTAAATCCATTGCCCATGTCAAGGCGTATGCTGTGGTGACATCAGGGAGTAGTACAATACCATGGTATTGTACTACTCCCTAATTTAGTATTAATAATTATTATGATTAATGCTATCTGTGTGTAAACACTTTAAGTATATCCTACCACTTACATGTGCAAGGAGGGAGTCTGCCCACCAACACAGAGCTCAAGACGTATTACTAGTCGACTATCTGAAATGAACAGAGGAATCCAGACAGTGGTTTGCCTTCGTGGGTGTGGTCGACGAACGACGTGCCCCAGCATCCGGATCCGGAAATACTAAAAGACATGACTGTGCAGTTTACAGCTGTCCACGTAACAGTACAGGATAGATAGCGCTAGGCACACAACCAAGACTCCACTCCCGATCCCACAAGTCACCTGGCACAAGCCCGACGCGCGACGACACAAAGCTACCATTCAAAATGAAAAAATATACTGCATGCTGACATGTTGTTTCTTTGCTTTTGACTTTTTTGTACGTGACTGATTATTTTCAAGTCCAGGATAATTTTCTTGCAGAGGCTGTGCTTGTTTGTGTCCATTCGAAAACTTGGACTTCAGTGTCCCCCGGCCCTAATGATAACTTACCTACCAAACTAACAAACCTGAAGTTCTTCCCACCGTGGTTACCGACCGCGCGAGGCTGGTATGGGCCTTCAACAATAATAGTGCACCAGTATAATTTTTGAAACAATTGCATGACATCGTAGTTTTCTAATTCTCAGGAATTGGTGTGCCCAGTGAAGCTGCATCGATGGCATTCTCCACTGGTAGTTTCCGCGTGGCTGCAGTCACAGCAGCTGTTTCTACGCTTGGTCTAAGCGCTGTGCTGAGGAGAGACGATGGATCAGGTGTGCCCTCACGTTCACTTTCTACCTCAGTTGAAAGTCAAAGAAAGCACCTATTTCCATTGGGTCGCCAGTCCGGCATGGGTCTACCCGTGCCCACATTGCCTGCTCCTCGAACGTTCGCAGCTGCATCATCGTCTGAGAATAAAGCAGCAACGGCTGAGGAGCCTGTCAAAAAAAGCCGATCCTTGAAGAAAAGAGAACGCCGATTCCAGGCGTTTGCATCGTGTGAACACGATGGCCAATTGTTTATGACAGCGCAAGATTTTTTGGAGTCTGTTACCAAACAAGCGCCCAGAGGTAAGCAGACAGTGTGTACCATGATTGTGTGAGGGTGTACACGCATTAGGCCCAGACAGATTCTGCTCCACTCGCCTCGATAATGTTGCCGGCATGCCGCGAAATGTTGCTGTGAAATCTTCGATATTTTGCCGAGCCTGGCACTAGAAACCCGATATTTTGCTCCGGAAAAACGTGTATTTATCCACTTCCTGTACAAAGTTTCATAAAAATCGCACGGTCGGTTTCTCAACACGGGTTTTCACACACGTGTCCCTGGGTTCTTCAAAAATCATGCTGATCCGCAGTGAATCCCATTGATATTTCGGCGACATGAGCTCGTCCTAGGCAGCGTATCATGCAGAACGGGTAAGAAACAAGGAAATCCAAGTACAGTATCAGGCATCGATTTTACCCAAAATCTCGATATTTTGCTCCGATTTTGCCGGCAATTTCCGCTTTTTAGATTCTTCGATATTTTGCCGAAAGAATTGCCTGCAGGATCTGTCTGGGCCTAGTGTGCATGTACTCTTTTGCAATAATAAATTTTTATTTCAAGCCTGTGCTACTGTCTTGCAAGCCTGGCTTGTTTGCCACAGAGCTACAATACCTTTGTATAACTCGTCCAACGAGTTTCGGACTAAATTAAATAATAAATACCGGACTAACGTCGATTTGTCGACCATTTGAATACGATGTATGGTCCATGGACTAAATTTTCAACCCGACAAATTCCCTTTCTTTGGAATTGGACGAAATTATTCGCCAAGTAAATGTTCTATCTGTACAGTGGATGCTAGGTGAAATCCAACCCAACACGCCTTATTTAGGGCCCTGGACTTGCACGGCCCTTGACGCCCTGAAAGTGGTACGAATGCTGCTGGATTCAAACCTGTACACGTACATGTACAGCAATGTTATCGGAACTGTTTCAGGGTGCCACCCATTTGTACTTTGGGTGGGATTTCACCTAGTGCCTGTGTTGACCTCCCATGCTTCCTTCCTGCATGCTTGTACAGTGCGTATCGGTTATAGTCCTTCTGCGAGACCGCTTTACCTTGCGCGCCCACGGTGCTCGCACTGCAGCCACCACCCGTGGCCAAGTCTCTGCTGCTCTTGTTCTGCCCCCCGCTAACACCCGATATGGCTTTAGTGCAATTTCTTATTTGGGCGCTGCCAGGTGGAATACACTTCCACCGGCTTGCCGCATGTCTAGTTCACCAGCTGAATTTCGCTCATCCATCAAATTATACCTAGGGTTCCCTGTAAAAAGGCGCTGACGCCTGTTGGGAATTCCCTAGTAAAAGAAGAATAAATAATAATAAAAATAATAATAATAGTGTGGTCGTGTAAAAGAATATACTGCCTACAAGAATGAACTCTCCTGTTTTCATAATCATAACATGGATTTCATGTGTATATTTATTCTTACTTCAAGCAATGTTATCGTGTAATAGAATATAACGGTCCTAAGAATGGACTTTGTGTAGCAAAACATGCCAGATTAGTACAAAGTGTATCGCCTGTAGTAAGAACATCTGCCCGATACAGTTCTGAACCGACTCGAATTGCATCATAATGCTGCAAGTGCATCTGTTGTGGTCATGTAACTTTACTCATGTTGCTCAGCCACATGGTGAACCTATGGCCCAGTATGGGACTACTTTGGAAGTATGAGCAACCGCATACACAGTAGCACTACGTTGCATGTATGATGATCTTCCTGGCTATGCGCACATGCATATGATACGTCACACTATATTTATCGTGTGTAAGAAATATCGGAAATAAGAATAGAAAGTCGTTTTTCAAACACCCACGCTATAACCGATACCTACTGTACTAGCAGGGGTGGCGGAAGGTATTTTTACGGTGGTACAGCCACTTGAAGTACTCGTGGGGTTGGGGTGGCTCCTCTGAAGTTTTTCGAAATTCAGGGCCCAGATCAGTACTTTTTATTGATCCACAGGGTACCCAGGACAAAGAGTGGTACGGTCAGTACCGTGGTGACTGTAGCGTGTCTGACGCCCCTCACTAATACTGCGTTGATTGTATGATGGTACAATGTAGATACACTTTAGAAGCTTTGCCTTGTCTGCTTTTTGTCATTGTGCAGCTCGCCGGCATCGCAAGAAACTCTCTAATGAGGTACGGATAAGCATCTTATTCCCCTGGTTCCCAGCTCCATGTGCCCTGTGCCATGTCACCTGTTCTTTGCCCTGTTGTACGAGCACGTACCGTGCATATGTATAGGTTACACAGGAAATGAGTTTTTAATTCATTTTCCTGCGTACTGCTCAATTCACAGTGAATCCCTGCAAACGTGCCTCTTGGCCCTGCCACCCTCTGTTTGGAGGCTCCATATCATCGCTTCAGGAAATCTGACCTAAATTCACTCAGCCGCGTGTGCCCCGAATGCATCCACTTCATTTTGTACGTTGTATTGTGCTTTGCTGTGATCCTTCGCAGGATGTCGCTAGAATGCTGGCATCAACCCCCGCACTAAAGAAAGGATCACAGGATTTGTTTCGGCAGATGTGGCAAGACAGTAAGCTCAACTGGCGCACTGCTTCTCAGCCTGTATCCACGCATTTGAGAACAAATCTTTGGCCGGGCTGCTGAATCTGTGATGCTAAGTGTTGCAGTCTGGCACAAAGCATGCAAAACAACATTGTTTGAATCTACGTTTCTCCTTCTGCCTTGGTGCTGAGAATACTTTGCCACGGTATGTAGGGTTGTCACTTGCTCAATCAATTCATGCTCGTCTTCCCCAACACCTTCCTCTTCACACAGTCACGCTAACTCAGTGTCCTCTACATTTTTGTTTTGTTGTTTGTGTGTACCAGGTCTGTTCTCCTATGCTGACTACCTCTTTATGCTTTCCGTCCTGACCAGTGAGTGCATGTGTACACTCGGATACGCTTGCACACTTTCACTGCACTGTCAAATGGGCAAATGTGCCTGATACTTGTATTATGGATATGCTGGTGTGTGTGTGTGTGTGTGTGTGTGTGTGTGTGTGTGTGTGTGTGTTGGGGAGGGAGAGAGAAAGAGAGAGAGAGAGAGAGAGAGAGAGAGAGAGAGAGAGAGAGAGATTGAGTGAGTATGTCAGTATGTCAGTATATATTCTGAAGCAAATGCACCTGCTATCGAGATTGCCGTTGAGTTTGCCTCCATTTATTGAATTGGATGCTAACCGAGGCTGTGTTACTGATCTCCTTCATTCAGAACCACAACAACACTTTCAAATCGCTTTCCGTATGCTGGACGTGGATGGTAACAAGAGTATTGAGCTCAATGAGTTTCTCAAGGTCGGTTTACCAGTGGGATGGGGGTATCTTGTGTTGTTTTGTAGGATATGTCCAGATCCCCCCCCCCCCCCTCCATTACTATAATTATTTTTCTGCATTCATTTCCATAAGAAAAGGAAAGCAACGTCAACTCTTTTTGTAGTTGAGTGCGGACCTTGTCAAGATTGTAACCGTGACATCTATACTTACTTGAAGACTCCCGCTTGTATCTGTCGGTGGCGGGGATTCACATATCTGTGAGTGTCAGCTGTACTGTATGCAAGTTATCACCCTTGCGTGCAGATCCATGTATGGGATGCAATGGTTACATGTTAGTTGCACGGATTGATGTCAAATTTGTGCTGTGGGCACTATACATATTCGCCTCAAAAATAACTAGTTTTTTGGCTTTCTACTACACATGTGTTCTGTATTCCAGCTATTCTATATCTTCGGATGCGCCAGGTCTATCTTCTCAGGGGTATAGTCGGGGGGGGGGGGGGGGGGTCCGCTCAAAGTGGTTTCCAGCTATCTAAATTCAGCATGCCGAGTATTAGTTCACACTTGTAAAGCACTGTTTTGTGACGAAATTGTCCCACTTGCATGACTCCCGGGCATGTCATGAGCCAGTCGGCATAGGCCCCTGTTTCTAGAATCATACTGAGGTGTCGTTTACTTGTAGTTGTGTTGGTCTGCACTTCTGAGACCCTGTGTTCCTCTATGTGTGTTCTACGGTTGTGCAGTTTCAAGGTGCTGTCAACAAGTCTTCTGCACTGCGGGTGAGTACAGGGAATGGATGCACCCGTGTCTCTTGTGATGTTCCCAGGTTTCTGAACTGTATTGCAGATGGTCATCATGATTGGTTGTTGTTCTTGGCCCGCTGGGACTATGCAGCATGGAATTTCTTCTTAAGATAGTGTTGAATTCATTCTGCCTGTCTGTGGTACCTAACTTGCAATGGCTGATTTCAGTGGCATGGCTAACTGTTATGCTTGTGTAGACACTAATACTAGTAGAGTACACAAGAGTCAGTAGCTGGTGGTGACTTTGGTGTCACAACTCATTGCTTTTCATTCGCCTTGTTTTCCTGATTGACCGGTTTCTCTAGTCTGGTGAGGAGGCGGACTCCAGTTCATTACTCTGTCACTTCTTTGGTCAAAATGGCAGCGGAGTGCTGCGCTTTCAGGACTTCTTTCATTTCATGGACAACCTACAACGCGAAGTCCTAGAGCTTGAGTTCAAGAACCATTCTCAAGGTACAGGATAACAATTGTGTGCTTGCGTGTGTGGGTTCCTGATTTGATAAGGTATGTTCGGGAGAGGTCATATGCTACGGTCGTGTGTTATAGGCTAGGCAACTTGACTGTGGGACGCTCTTCCCTGTGTATTTTGAAATTTCTCCACTGTAGTTATGATTGACTTTTCTGTTGTTTTGATTTGGTCTGGGTGATGTCGTGTAGGAATGAAGGTTATCAATGAATTGGAATTTGCTGAGATTCTCCTGCGAACAGCCCACATCTCGGAGAAGGACGTTGAGTTGTATATTGAACGTCTCAGAGCACGTCTTGATCAGTCACACGTAAGTGGTGCTTACAGACGTGTGTGTGTGTGTGTGTGTGTGTGTGTGTGTGTGTGTGTGTGTGTGTGTGTGTGTGTGTGTGTGTGTGTGTGTGTGTGTGTGTGTGTGTGTGTGTGTGTGTGTGTGTGTGTGTGTGTGATGCTGACAAACAGCTGTGTGGTGGATACCAGGCTAAAAATAGTGGCGGTCAATTCATCAGCCTTGCAAGCTGTTGAATGGTGTAATCCCAGCACAAGTTGCTATGTCTAACATAGCTGTTCGCTATCATCGCTTCCGCGATGGGCATGTCTGAGGAGGTCTGAGGTGTGATGCTGGACATTCTATGGACCCAAGCACCGTTGGAGGGATTTGGTAGCTTCGAGTTTGTGTTTGACCGGCATATTGGAGGTGCAGTGGTTGATACGTTACTATTTATTCGTGAAGACTTGGGAACGGAAACAAAACATGTCATGAGAAAGAACAACAGGAAGAAGAAGCACACTCAACTAATCCGTGTGTGTGCGTGCATGCAGTACAACTATGACGTAATGAATATAGATACACATCACGCCCCTTCGAGATGTTGCGAAACTTGTGACAGCAACATCTATCATAAATAAAACAAAATGAAGAATGAAAACAACAAAGCAGAGACAGCAGAAATTGACATTAGTGATCAAGAGTGTCAATCATAGGACTGTCCATGATGCGAACCAATGTTTAAACGCTGGGGTGGCTTGCGCTGACGTGCGCTGCGGCGGGACGGCGGCGGCGGGGAAGAGGCGTCAGCAGCAGCCGGTTGGACAACAAGCGGTGCAGGCACAAGTGGGCGATACGGACGCAGGAATCTGCGGTTCCGCCAATAAATGCGACCACTCGGCAACTTCACTAGGTAGTCCCGATGATTACCGACAGCAACAATGACCCCACGAATAGACCACTGCTTGGTGCGCGGATGCTGAACATCCACGTGGGTGCCGAGGCGGAGCTGCGGCAACGAGCGACGAGTTGACGACTTGTCTGTGACGGCATCGTCGGATGGCATGGCAGTCTCATCACGTGTCGTCGCTTTGGAGAGCCAGGATGAATCAAACTCCTTCCAATGTGCAATGACGAATGACTGGAGAGAGCGGCCATATAGGAGCTCAGCGGGGCTCTGACCAGAGGAGCCAGGTGTGTTTCGCCATTCCAGTAGCCCTCGGCGGAAGTCATCTGTGTCAAGATTGCCATTCACGGTTGTCTTGGTGATAAGACGCTTCATGGCTTTGACAGCAGCTTCGGCGTGCCCATTACTCTGCGGGTAGTGGGGAGAGGACATGACATGGTTTACCTGCCAGCGCTTACAAAACTCAGCAAACTTATGCGAGGAGAACTGGGGACCACCATCTGTACACAGCACAGCAGGAACACCAACATCAGAGAACCAGCGACGGAATGCTAGTATCACGTCATGCGATGAGGTGGTGCGGCCAGTACGCGCGACACAGGGCCAACCGGTCAAACGATCTGCATACACAAGGAAGTCGTGACCTTGACAAGTGAACAAATCGGCAGATGCACATTCAAACGGTAGTGTCGGGGTGCGGTCGTTCAGCAGGGGCTCAGCTGGCTGGGACGACTGGTGTTCGCGGCAAGCAGGACAAGAACGAACGAGTGTATCAATGTCCTTGGTGATACCGGACCAGTATACAAGCTGACGCGCACGAGACTTAGTACGCACTAGGCCTTGGTGTGAAGCGTGGAGGTTGTGCAATACCTGAGCACGCAATGATTCAGGAACAACAATGCGGTTGCCCTTCATCACAATGCCATGGTCGACGGAGAGATGCTCACGTCCATTCCAGTACGCACGTAACGGAGCAGGCAACTTCTGCTGGCGATCAGGGAATCCAGTCAAGATACACTCAATCAATGACTGGTACGTGGCATCTGCAGCTGCAGCTTCCCGCAGCTCTGCAACCTTGAGATTCGCATTCGGCTCAGTGTCCGAGTGCACCATGCAGATCTGAATGCTGCGGCAATGAAGCGACGGGGCTTCACCAAGCTCATCAGTGGTGGAAGGAATGCCAACAGGATTCCGGGACAGCGCATCGGCGAAGGCATTTTCAGAACCTTTTCGCCAAGATGCCTGCAGCTGATAGGCTTGGAGCTTGAGGCGTAATCGTAGAAGACGCGGGTTCTCGATCTGATCCAACGAATATGAGTTGATGATCGGAATCAGGGGCTTGTGGTCGGTGACGACTTCAAATGGCGCACCAGACAGGTAGATGCGGCATTTGCGCACGGCCCATACTACAGCGAGCATTTCCAACTCGATGACAGCATAACGTGTTTCAGCATCAGACAGGTAGCGGGATCCACACTGAATAATACGCCACTGATCATTCTGCTTTTGCCAAAGCACGAATCCGAGACCTCTTAGAGCGGATGCATCGGTTTCAAGCCGGAGGTCTTGACCAACTTGATAGAAAGCGAGAACCGGAGGAGACAAGAGAGCTTCCTGTGTCCGTTCAAACGCTGCAATGTGGCTAGCGTCCCACATGAACTCACGGGAGGTCTTGAGCAGGCCACGCAGAGGATTGGTCAACTCGGCTAGATGTGGAGTGAACTCGCCACATTGGTTCACTAGACCGAGGAACGAACGGAGATCGGTTCTGTTGGCGGGTACTGGAAACTGGCGAATACCGGACGTCTTATCATCGTCGACGACCCAGCCATCAGGCGTGACGTTGTAGCCGCAGAAATGGATACGTTGCGTACCGAACACAAACTTGGCGGGGCTGAACGTGATACCATGCTCCCTGGCGCAGAGCAGAATCTCGCGCACGTGGCTGACATGCGACAGAAAGTCGTCGTCGTACGCTAGGCAATCATCGACTACCTTGCCGAGACGCGGGATGGCAGAGAACGCAGCATCAGTGCGCCGGTTGAACTCATCCCCAGCAGATATTAGACCCTGCGGGTTCCGTAGATAACGATATCTGCCGTACGGGGTGATAAACGTGGTGAATTCCTGAGCAGTGTCACTGAGAGGAATCTGCCAGTAGCCGTGCCTTGCATCGAGCTTCGTAAAGAACTTAGCAGAGCCAACTCCAGAGACAACGTCACGTGCCGTATGTACGGGATGCGCGGGACGACGGACTTGGTCGTTCAGCCGCTTGAAGTCAACTGTGAGGCGCTTCTCAGTGCTGCCCTTCTTGTCTACTATGACAATCGGATGGCACCATTCACTGGGCTCCGTCACTGGTTCAATAATCCCGTCGCTGACCATGCCGTCGAGCTGAGTCTTGATCTGGTCACGGAACGCATACGGTATTGGTCGAGCAGTGTACACACAGGAAGGCTTAGAATCGTTCTGTAGCTCAATTTCCATTGGCGGACCTTCCATTGGCTTCAGACCGGAATCCGAGAAAACGTCAGCGAACTCTTGCAGGAGCTGCTCACGTGTCCGCGCTAACTCAGCATCACTAGGATGAGCGCATGACGAAACAGCTGCACAGATCTTGGGTGAAGATGCACCCTCGTGTTCAGCGGTGAATTGGACTGGCCAATCAGGTGGGAGAAACTTCAGCGCACGCAATGAGGTATGAGAGAGCAGGGCATCGTGTAGACCCTTGTACACATGGATGACGGTTTCATGCTGCGTCTCACCGACTCGTAGAGTCGCACGTATTTTGCCCAGGTTGCGTAGCGGCTCACCGGTCACAGCCTGCACACAGTCGTGGTCGTCATCTAAGTTCTCGACGAACCCACCGATCTGCGTGAGGTGCTCCTCGCAAATGGCATCAACGTCACTGCCTGTGTCTGGTGTCCAGGACAGTTGGGATGGCTGATCCTCTGTTTGCAGCATGGTCGAAACAGGTACTGTGCGACGGTCCACGCGAGACGCACGCTGTAGCTTCAGCTGTCCAAGCTTGGCAGCAGAGCTAGTCTTCGGCTGTTTCTGGCTCTTGCACATTCGCTGAAAATGCCCAATGCCATGACAGGAGTTGCACTTCTTGCCCTTGGCAGGACATACAGATTTCGTGTGGTCAGAACGACCGCAATTTGGACAAGTGGACTTGGCCACACTTGATGTCTCACTTGGCTTAGAGTCAGCTGGCTTGTGACGTTTCTGCTGCTTGTACGCCGACTGCTTGGCAGCACTTGCCTGGAGGCCAGGACTGGGCATGTGTGCCTTGGTGTGGTATGCTGCTTCCTCCGTCCGACAGAGGGTGACAGCCTGGTCGAGCGTGAGACCATGAGTTGCGAGCAACTTGTGTCGCGTCTCATCGTTCCGCACACCAATGACGACGCGGTCGCGCAGAGATTCCTCCTTGAGGGTACGGCCGAGGCCTTTGCACTGCGCACAGCAGCGAGCATCACACGTTCCACATAGGCTGTGTGACAAGAAGTCGCATGCACTTTGTAGTTCACACAGGGCTGTGTAAAACGCATCAAATGATTCTCCAGCTTGCTGGACACGCTGGTAAAACTCTATGCGGTCTAACAGTGGGTTACGTTGCCGTCTGATATACGCCTGAATGCGCTCCAGCATCAGGTCAACGTCAGCTGAAGCTGGTATGCAGATAATATCCTCTCGGATAAAACGTCGCAGCTCCTCATCGAAACACTGACGGAGTGTTGCCACTCTGGCCTCACGAGCCTGGCTGGCCAAATGCTGGCAAACACTAAAATCTCTCCAGCTTTCAACGAAGGAGTGAAAATCAGCCAGCGTCGCAGACGACAATAAGTGTGGGCAGGAAACACTGTTCACTGGCCGTGGTGCTGAGGTCTGCGAGGTGGACTGAGCTGGTGCTGAGGGCTGCGGAGTGAACTGAGGCTGCGACGGTGATAGCGACCTGCTCTGAACATTCTTGAACAGATCTTGCATCGCCTTATCACGAGCCTCAGCTGCACGCATCTGCTGCTCCATAAATTTCATCAGGACACCCATTTGAGATTCCTGCTGTCGCTCGGTCGCGGAGGACAGGTCAAATCCGGTATCGTCCTGTGATTGTTCCATTACGATTAGTCACTCGTCCACGAGTACGAACAAATACACTACTAAAATAATTAAACTGAGACAGAGTTTCGATCGCGGAAACTACTACTTCATACGGAAAAAACAACTGGGCCCGTGCAAACACTACAAGGTGCGGACACAAGGCACGGACACAGGAAAGAACAAGTTCACTGCGCCATGATACGTTACTATTTATTCGTGAAGACTTGGGAACGGAAACAAAACATGTCATGAGAAAGAACAACAGGAAGAAGAAGCACACTCAACTAATCCGTGTGTGTGCGTGCATGCAGTACAACTATGACGTAATGAATATAGATACACATCAGTGGTATCAGCTTGGCTCAAGACCAGAGGGACTGGTGCGAGCTTAGCCGCCAGAAACCTTCAAGCCAACCTCAGCCAAGATGGCAAGAATCTTCACCTGTGCCTGCGGTCACGATTTCCGTCGTTAGAATTTGGAATGACTTGTCTTGACACAGGAATCTCTGTCTCGCCTAACAGCTACCGTTACCTTCAGCAATGGTCTTTCCAAAGGTGGGACGCTGTCACTATGTTCAGTGTCTCTCCTGGAAAGATGCCTCGTTGTGCCTGTTTGCTCTTTTCCAGGGCATTACGTTTGACCAGTTTTGCAATTTTGACAAGTTCCTCAACAATTTGCACGACTTCTCTATTGTGGTGAAAATGTACACTGTGGCTGGACACCCTATCACTAAAGGTATGTCTCCGAATGGTGTCATTGCTCTCATAGCTTGAGTTGATATTTGTACACTGGAATGTAGCTCATTGTGTCACTCGATTTATAGGTGAGATGTGCAGCTGGCCTACTAATGAAGCTTTTTATCGTGTCGCAGTGACCTGTTCGTTACAATGGAAAGCAAACATGGCGACACTCGGTTAGAAGATAGAAGAAAGTAGTCACTCTGTTTGATTTACAAAACCCGATTTCGGCAAAGGACTTGCTATGAGATGTGGTCAACAGCAGTTAGTCGTAAAACTCAACTTTTTGTTCTATGCAAGCCTGCAAGGTCAGTACAGTCAACTTCGCTAATAACGACTGCGGATATAACGACAATTCGTGAATAAGGACAGAATTTCCATGCCCAGAGCAAAGTCTCATCTATAAACTGTAATACATATAATGAGACTTCGGGTAAAGGACACTTCACGAATAAGGACACTTTTCTGATGCCCCGCCGAGTGCCGTTATACGCAAGGTTGACTGTATATCTTATCTCCGCCGTATCTGACTGCTGCTTTGCAATACATGTGCATGCTCCCATTCTCGGCCGGTTGTTGTGTGTAGGTCAATTTCAGCGTGCAGTGAAGGCATGCATGGGCTATGATCTGGACGAGCACTTGATCGACACTGTCTTCAAACTCTTTGACACAGATGGTGAGTGGTGAACTTATTTGAAAAGAGTTCGATTGCGGTTGGTCAGCGCATCCGAAACGTGACAGAGCCAAATGTCGAGTCGTTGAATGTCATATCATCAGTCAGTACTGTGCCAAATGTCGCATGGTCTGACCCTACAGTATGTTGGCAATAAATTGGTGGACAACAACACAATGAGTAAATTTGGTCATTTCCTTCTTCAACTTATGTCCTTGGGTTTCAGGTTTTTTTTTAAATAACTGAGGCCGATTTACTACAGTCCATTTCAAAACTATAGACGCGTACCTAGGTAAAAACCGTTATGCCAGCATCTATACCACATGAAATCTGTGATCACTTTGTGCATAATTTTTTCCAAATTGGGCGTCTGTTATCCAATCCTTTAGAAACTATATGAGAGTAATTGTGGAGCGATCCTGAGCAATATTCCGAAAACTATTCTCGAAAAGTTCCAGCCAAATTTGAAATATTTCAAAAACCCTACGCGTCTATAGTTTTGAAATGCACTGTAGTACCCTAGAAACAATACTTGTTTGGTTATGCAGCCCACTGGCTCCTGTTTCTTATAGTCACAAGAACAGTCACAGTTCACGATTCTCCGACTTGTCATCTTGGATATGTCACCCACGTCTCTTCTTGAGTGCTGGGCAAAGGCTGAACATCAGGGTTGTGGAAAAGCCGCTCGCTTTGTGTGTAGAGTTGGAGTCACGCCATTATGTGTGCGGGGGAAGTTGACGCCAGGGAGTCGTCAAATATTTGACGACTCCCTGACTACGATGTCCTTAACAGCAGGATTGGGACACAGCCTAACTCAGTCGGCTGGCTGGGGGGGGGGGGGGGATCTGGGCGAGTCTTCCCCACCTGACTTGTACAGGGCTAGCCTTGCCAAAGTTGTGTGGTGGCTTGCAACACTTGTGATGTTGTAACTTGAGAAACATGCTTACCACTGTGCATAGAAGGAAGGATTGTACTTAGAAGTAACAGAATCTGGACTATGTTGCTTCTGCTGTTGTCGCTGCTGCTGCTGCTGTGATTGGTCTGTGTAGGTGACGGACGGCTCAGTCATGAAGAATTTATTGTCGTGATGCAAAAACGGGTGCAGCGTGGCTTCGGGGTCAGTAGTAGTCTTTTCACTTGCGCTTCTTTTGCCTTGTTCATGTAGCAGTTGTGTTGGCTGCAACACTGTACGCTGTGTGTGTAGCATCTGTGTGGCTGTGCTTGCATAGTGCTTGCATAGCATGATCCTTGTACATGTGCAGGCTGTGTGTAGACACTCGTCTTTTCAAGGTCCTTGCTGAATGAAGTCCTTGGAATTGTATAACAGTTTTCAAGACATCTGTACTTCTTCCAGTATGCTACGCGTGGGCAGCTGTGCCTTGACCAGGCGCGTACGCAGGGGGGGGTTTCCCGTTGCCCGGAAACCCCCCAAATGTTCCAAACGAGCAACGTTTTTGGGCATATTTTGGTAGGGCGCACAATCGATCTGGCAAGAATGCAAAACTTCAACAGATCGTAACTCAGTCAAATCTTGCTCAAATCCAACAATCCAAATATCCAGGTCGAATACAAAACTCTCAGCTGTCGGTTGAAACAATTTGCGATGCGCTGCGAGCAATGTCTCTTGAGATACATCGTTCGTAAGTTGAGCCGCGATCTCGCAATTTCAAAAGCACACAGCGCGACTCGAGTATGGAGAATTTGAGACTTTTCGTCACGCTGACTTGCTCACACTTGCAGGGCCTAGGGGCTTCACTTGTGATATTTTCAAGAGTACGAGTCGTACGCAGCAAAAATCGAAACTCTGCGATCAAGAAAAACGAAATCGCTGGAGCATGCTAGCAGTACGCGCGTTTGGGCCTTTGGCCCAGTTTGGGGCATTTTTTCGCACCGTCGCTGCACTCTACAGCTAGCATTATAGCGCTGGATATGTACATGACTGTACTGTGTCTTAGATCCTGGCTATCATGGTCGACCTCATTCCCTCCCTGGCCCTGGTACCTTTCCACTTCCAGGAAGCCTAAGTCTCGTTTTTACTAAATTGGGCGCTGTGACACAGACACAAAATTCCAGCAATATTACTCCGCTGGGCTGTCATTTGCCACTTCGTTGCCGTCAGCTGCCTCATCCAGCACCTCGCTGCCACTAGAAATGTCTTCCTCTTCTTCCATTGTTGTCAAAACAACATCAATGTACACGAAAGGAATAAACTTCAATAAACTTCAATAAAGTGATCACAATATCCCAAGTCGATATTGTCGTCAACGTCGTCATCTTCTAAAAAATAAATTATTTTTCCTCACTCCACGTGAACTCGTGTTTTGCGCTTGCTCATACGACGCACACCTCACCACTCGCGTAAAAATATTTGTTCTCACGGTGGAATTTGGTCGAGAAAAGAAGCCCTCGCGAAGGTCTCTGGATCGGTTCTGGAACGTCCAACAAGCGAAAACGTATCCTTTGTGATGTCCTTGACCAACACTGTAAGCGGCGATTTGTCCATCCGAGAGTGCAACGGCACTTGTGATTTTGAGTTTTGGCTCACGGACAAAAGATAATGAAGATTGAGTGAGTAGAACCAAGAGTACATGAAAACCAGAGTGTGCAGCTCGGATGGGTTGCTGTCACGGCGAAATTCCGTGATTACATCATTTTAGTGATGTAGTGCGTACAAGCAGAATTCAAGCAGGTCTCTTTCTGCACAACTGCAGCTCAGTTGTACGCACTACGCCATTTCCCGCCTCAGATCTGGGCCAAATATGATGTAATCACGGAATTTCGCCGTGACAGACACCCATAGCAGAAAAGGCCCCAAGCTGCACACTCTGGTTTTCATGTACTCTTGGTAGAACTGACGTTATGATCCAAAGAACACGAAAAAATGCATAATTTTGAAAAATTCCCAGGCTAGGGCTCTTTAGAAAGGGTTAATTAATTAATTAAAACGAGTCACTGTTTGCGATTCGGATGGAAACCCCCCTAGAGGTGACCCTGCGTACGCGCCTGATTGACTGTGTCTTTTCTTTTCTTATGGGGATGTGTGTATGTGTGACACCATTATTTGACCGTGCAGGGTAAGCGTACAGGTTGGGATGGATACAAGGCATGTGTACGAAAGCAGGTCAGCTCCTAGACCGTGAGCCTGTTGCACGGTCCAAGGACATGAACGTCTTGGACCGCTTCAGAGCTCATGTCAATACCAGGGCATATTTTGCACGTCGGCCATCGGTGCTTCTTTTAAATCTACAATCTGGATCCATTGAATGCGAGGTGCAATTATTTTCCTCAAGCGGCCTCAAGTGGCTGCCTTTTGTCCGTGAGCCACAGCCACACGACTTGGCTTTTGCAGGGTGCTCTTTGCGCATGTTTCGCGGACAGCCATTCCTGCATTTGCTCTTCCTCAGCACTTTTGATCTCATTCAAACTCACTCACAACTCACTCCAAGACTGTTTGTCTACTTTCTTCTAGTTCCATGAATGTATTTTGGCGTTTGACACACAAGTATATTTTAAAAGCCCGTTGTGTTTCAGGCGGAATCGGCAACCATTGCCCGTCAGTACGTCATTCGTTGTCAATCCCCTCACAAAACACATACGTTTACCTTGTAGTATATGCCACATTCTAGGCGCTTTTAGGTAGGGTGTTTTTTTTAATAGCGTAACATCATCAGTTCCGTCTGCAAATGAAGCAGCTCTTGTTTCAAAGTATATCTGCTGGCGGTCACACTCTTTTAGTTTTCGTTCGTGTGTTTGTGATGTTATCCTGTACGAATCTAGGGTGATAGCAAAGGGTATGTTAAACCGTGATTAAGGGTTGGCCTGCAACGCATTGCATCCATTACATAAGTTGTCCATACCACGCTTTGTACTGAAAACTTGTGATCTCTCGTACGTACAGGCATTGCTGCTTTTGCTTGATTCGTTTGAATCATGGCGCCCAGCCCTACATATTCTGTGCGAAACTTAGTTTTGCACCACAGTACGAGAGGGTGAGTTTTTGATCTTTCGCACCATGAGGCCTCGAGGGTGAACTTGTACAATGCAATCAGGTTAGGAAAGCATGCACTGCGAGGCTGGCCCATATTAAAGAGACCACGGTGGTGTATTCTGTGGGCTCTTGCTTGTACTACCAGTACATGTTCAGTTGTGGCCAAAAAAATCCGACACGGGGTTACACATCAGTTGTTGGCTATCGGCATTTCAACATGCCAATACATGTAGTACTTTTTTCCTTCTTCAAACAGTGATAAGAGAAAAATCAAGCAATCGCGCAGCTGCCTTTCATTGACAACAGTAGAAGGAAATACAGGAATACGGTGTGTTGATACAAGTAAACGCGAGGTCCAGTTTGTGTCATGTGCGAAGTTCTTTGACTGAAAATACAATAGGTGAAAACCATTTTGCGCGGAAACTCAATGACTGGCATGGCATGATCTGATCAACTATGCAGCATACATGATGTAATGCTAAAGATAGCTCTGTTTAAAAAGACGAATAGAAGACAGAAAGAAAGAATTCACGCACAATACCTATTGAATCGTGAGGACAATACACAAGGGAGATCAGTGTGAGCTTGATCTAGATAACCAGGGTAGAAACAGTAACAAGAAACAAAACACTTAACATGACTGACCATCACTACCCCGGGCTGGATGGAAGCAAGCCACAAGTACATGTACAGTACAGAAAAGCTTAGAGATGAACGGCCTAACCCCAAAGAAATCTACAGTTGCACATAGGTAAAACCAGGGTAAAAAGCTAACAGAGACGTGTTTTAGTTTACATTACAAAGGCAACGAGGAACGTGTGAAAGGCCATTGGAGGTGATGATGTTCAGTAGCAAAACCATGCCAAGTTGTTCCGGTGTCGCAGTGCTGTCGTTTTGCATGCTTGTCACAACCATCCGGCTTCTGGTTTCAGCTGGGAGCTGATTGCACCAGGTGCCATCATACAGACACGCATGCAAATGTCAAGCACTGCTACACACCGAAAGCAAGCAAGGCCAGTCGTGCACACCGTACACATCACAGGCCGCTGACCAAACACATAAGGCCCTCCTAGCGTGCAGAGCAAGTGGCATCTGAGCCAAACTTACACTGGCGCAACACCTTATGCTTCAAGTCCTCGTTCTTAATACAGAAGCTCTCCCACTCCTTCTCCAGATCCTGTGCAGCTCCATATCCACCCACGTAACCGTTGAGACGACAAGCACGAGAAGACTCGATGAGCTCCCTATTGGTTTTGATGCCCAGCGCTGATACGATAGCAGGATGCTTCTGCAGCAGATACTTTTGGTGATAGCTGAACACAAACAACGAAAGAATACACACAACACATGAAGATAACAATGCCGGTAGAAATTATTGCATGGTAAGCTGAGGGCGCCAACTACGCACAATTGGTCGGAGTTCACCGAGCGCAGCTGTACATTAGGCTCTAGAATACAGAGTGTAGAGTGTAGTTATGTAATTAGCAATCTGTGTGTCACCTGTGCAACCATGCATGGTGCATTCCAACTGCACAAGCCTTCCGGCAGATGATTCGGAATTCGTGGAGAGGATCAACGTGCGGTTCATGCGCCGTCACGTCGACCGTGAGCTCCGCATCCATCTCCAGACGTCGGACACCACGGGCGCTAAAGCTGTAGCCACGCTAGGCCGTCCAGAAGCCGCACAAGCCCACCGGCGGTTAAAAGACGACTTGGTGTGTTCATTGAGCGGATTAATGTACATTTAAAAAATGCTAAAGAACCCAACAGGCCCTGCGTTTAGCATACCGGTACATGTAACTTACTCTTCAGCGTCATAGAACACTGTGGACGAGGCTGCAGCAATGACGGTAGCAATCGGTTTCTTCTCTTTCTTCTGATGGGCGGCCTTGGATTCCTCGGCCAGGGTCTTCTGGTGGCTGCTGTGGTACCAGATAGCCGACATGTATTGCCGGGACATTCGGCTTGTGCAGCTGTGATTGTTCCAGAAGAAGTCCAGCAGCTCGCTGTACGTCGTCTCTTCTGTGTTGAAGATAATCTCCACAGCTTCTGTGTGATCACCACTGACATCATTGATGTGCATTGAAGGGCAAGAAGAAGAGAGCAAGAACATAAAATGCAACGTAAGGACCATGGGCATGGTTATGTTTACAGGCTTCATCAAAAACGTACAGCGGCAAATCGCTCGACATGCTACTTGTCTCTGCATCATCCCCAAAACAAAGACTGCAATTGAGTCTTGAAGCTTTGAATATTCAAAATTACTTGTGCGAATGGATTAGTAGCTCCAACTCCAAGAGTGCGGATGGCTTCAAGCAAGAACCAAAACATGTTACGCATACAGGCACATGCAAAGGCAAAATTTTCAGGAGCCAACCATTCAGTCACAGGACACTTCTGTTAGCAGTACTTCCCCTTGTTTAGCACCATAACAAATAAGTACTACTAGGAACATGAAACAACACACAGCCTCAAGAATCGCACCATGCCTTTTTTTTCATGCCACTGCAAAGTACACCGGTGATTCGGAAAAGTCAAGTCATTGCAGCCGTGGCTATAATAATAATGCCTTGTTTCTTTCATGCAGCGCAGCACACAGGGAATAGAAGGCTGCCTTGGAGGACGAACCGAAAGTACTTACAGGCTATGGTAGGTCGGATTTTTCTTCTGACCTCCTGTGAAACCAACCCTGGTTTTCACAACTCCCGGGGCACAGCCGACCTGTGCCTCGGGAAACCAAAATCAGCTCATGGCGAAAGTGGCAGTTTCGAACTGCTGCGGCTCAGAGTCGGTGGATGCAGTCGACTTCTTGTCCATTTCCGCTGCTGTTTCTGGTCTGCTTTTCGCACTGCCACTACCCGTGATCCTTCTGAGGATAGAAGACATCTCTGCAACAGACTCAGTGGCCCCTGTGCCTGTAGCCGCACGACTCCGTACAACGACTGGCACGTGCTGTAGCGATCCACGCAAGAATTTTTGAAACAAAGGCATAAAATAGAAGCACTTGCTCCTGAGCTGACGACTGTGTTGTCGTTGTTCTGAACTGGAGAAGACTACGGTTGGTGCGGCGCCTGCACATGCACTGCCCCGATCTCCTTCGGGGTTCGATCTTTGATGGTTCGTACAGCTCTCGATTGTTTCGAAGAGGCTTTATATATATTACTATTCTGTGTAGGCACATTTCCAAAACTACTGTGTGGTGTACGGTGACGCTGTACGGTGACGCTGTAGTACAGTGTTGGCCCGTAGATCTTATCTACGTACATACAACAGTGAATTATTTTTCGAAGTACCACTTGAAGTTTTTAGAGCTATTTTGCTGGGCATGCCTTCCAGAAGCATCAAGCGACAGCAGAGAAAGTCAAGAGTCACTTCTTTTGTCAAGACGGGACCAACGACGTCGACTCGGACATGACTGGTGTCAGCGTAGCTTGACACCCACTCTCCAGTCTGTGATCCAGGCCGCTACTCAGTCTTTAGTTTAGACGAGGGGGACTCACGAGCTGCAACTGCAAGCTAGGGCGAACACTGCCCACTGGATCATGGACATGGAGCGTCTCTGTTTGCACAGTACGGTCAGTACTCAGTAGTCTGCTGCTGTAGCTGCGGGACTATTTTAGTTGTGCACCGTCATCAAGGTCAGCGTGTAGCCTTAAAGGGGAAGTATACCCTAAAATCAAATTTTCACCAGTTGTAGTCTTCTGGGTGCTGAGTCGAATGGTCTTGGTCCGAGGAAGCTGCGACGCTCCCTTCCTACTTGAATCCCAATCGAACTCGCGCACTTCCACCGAAACTGGGTGACTGCGCCCTACTAGATGGGGATTTGTATGCAAAATGTCACTAAAAGCGCCATTTCGTTCTTATAAAAGCACGGATGACCGCGATTGGCCCATATGTTGTAGTCTTTTGGACGCTGAGTCGACTGGTTTTGGTCCGAAAAGGCTGCGATGCAGCGTTCCTCCTTTATTCCCAATCGAACATGGTTGAACAAGCGGTCACGTGCTCCTGGGTGCCCAAATCACCTGGTCACCGCGCCAGCAGGCGACAACTTTCACACCAAGGTTCAACTCGAGTTCAACTCGAGTGACAGGACTGCACCCAAAAAAGGTCAAACAGTTTAGTAAGTTGTACCCTGCAGGCACGGTGACCAGGTGACTGGTGTACGCAGGAGCACGTGACCGCTTCTTCAACCATGTTCGATTGGGAATAAAGGAGGAACGCTGCATCGCAGCCTTTTCGGACCAAAACCAGTCGACTCAGCGTCCAAAAGACTACAACATATGGGCCAATCGCGGTCATCCGTGCTTTTATAAGAACGAAATGGCGCTTTTAGTGACATTTTGCATACAAATCCCCATCTAGTAGGGCGCAGTCACCCAGTTTCGGTGGAAGTGCGCGAGTTCGATTGGGATTCAAGTAGGAAGGGAGCGTCGCAGCTTCCTCGGACCACGACAATTCGACTCAGCACCCAGAAGACTACAACTGGTGAAAATTTGATTTTAGGGTATACTTCCCCTTTAAAGGGGAAGTATACCCTAAAATCAAATTTTCACCAGTTGTAGTCTTCGGGGTGCTGAGTCGAATGGTCTTGGTCCGAGGAAGCTGCGACGCTCCTTTCCTACTTGAATCCCAATCGAACTCGCGCACTTCCACCGAAACTGGGTGACTGCGCCCTACTAGATGGGGATTTGTATGCAAAATGCCACTAAAAGCGCCATTTCGTTCTTATAAAAGCACGGATGACCGCGATTGGCCCATATGTTGTAGTCTTTTGGACGCTGAGTCGACTAGTTTTGGTCCGAAAAGGCTGCGATGCAGCGCTCCTCCTTTATTCCCAATCGAACATGGTTGAACAAGCGGTCACGTGCTCCTGCGTACACCAGTCACCTGGTCACCGTGCCTGCAGGGTACAACTTACTAGCCTGTTTGACCTTTTTTGGGTGCAGTCCTGTCACTCGAGTTGAACTCGAGTTGAACCTTGGTGTGAAAGTTGTCGCCTGCTGGCGCGGTGACCAGGTGATTTGGGCACCCAGGAGCACGTGACCGCTTGTTCAACCATGTTCGATTGGGAATAAAGGAGGAACGCTGCATCGCAGCCTTTTCGGACCAAAACCAGTCGACTCAGCGTCCAAAAGACTACAACATATGGGCCAATCGCGGTCATCCGTGCTTTTATAAGAACGAAATGGCGCTTTTAGTGACATTTTGCATACAAATCCCCATCTAGTAGGGCGCAGTCACCCAGTTTCGGTGGAAGTGCGCGAGTTCGATTGGGATTCAAGTAGGAAGGGAGCGTCGCAGCTTCCTCGGACCAAGACCATTCGACTCAGCACCCCGAAGACTACAACTGGTGAAAATTTGATTTTAGGGTATACTTCCCCTTTAAACATGAAACACAAGAGTCAAGACAAGAGTCAAAGATTGAAAGATACGGGCCATTATGTTGTGTACTTCAGTATACTAAAATGCAGTAGATGACCGAAGGAAAGGAGTCAAATACATGTACAACGTAACATAGTATGCAGTCAATATTTGACCCATTGTCTGCTCCAGGCCAGACCCTGTTGGGGGGGGGGGGGGGGAGGACCGCTTGGAAAAAGAACACCGGGTCCAGGTGACCCAGTTGGGAATACGATCAGAGAGCCATAACATGTTTACAATTGCTCTGACCCGGACCACCCCGGTTGCAATAGTTGTGCCAGGTACACGTGTACCAGGTTGGTTTGAAATCCTAGAGCAGACACTGTGACCGCTTAGTTACCGTAGTAACGCACATTATAGGCATGTGCGCGTGTATTCGGATACAAGCGCACTCTCACCAAGAGTACATGAAAACCAGAGTGTGCAGCTTGGGGCCTTCTCTGCTATGGGTGTCTGTCACGGCGAAATTCCGTGATTACATCATTTTGGTGCAGATCTGAGGCGGGAAATGGCGTAGTGCGTACAACTGAGCTGCAGTTGTGCAGAAAGAGACCTGCTTGAATCCTGTTTGTACGCACTACATCACTAAAATGATGTAATCACGGAATTTTGCCGTGACAGCAACCCATCCGAGCTGCACACTCTGGTTTTCATGTACTCTTGCTCTCACTTATAAGCGCATGCTCTTATAGGCGAAGCACTACCTAAATTATCACTTTGACACAATCACGGATAAAAGTCTGCGTACAGCATACAGGAACCATGAAATACACTACAAGACCTAGTCAAAATTCACTTTTAAGCGCATGTGCTTATATGTGCGTTATTACGGTATCAGGGAAATCAGTGGGGTGAAATACTAAGAAGGCGATAACATTTAGAGAAGACGATCACAACGAGAAGACGACCATAAATAGATCATAGACCTCATAGTCGGTCTATGCATGCTTTATAGACGGCGACAACATACTAGTGCGGTAAAGTACAATGCTGCTCAATGAAATCCCATCTTGTGAGTCAAGTTTGCATCCTGCACTATAATTGTAGTACAGTGCCATGAGTATTAGTTTCCAAGTTCTTTACAAGATTGGTGAAAGCTAGATGTCTTGAAGGAAGTGAAGAAGCAGGTGGTTTATATAGGATTAAGAGAATAATAGAAGACTATGCAAGGTACCGTATTTTCCCCAATAAATGTACAGTCAGTGCTTTTATTTTTTCAAAGGTGGTCAGACCTGTACTACTATAGGAGACTGTACTAGCATTGGAGACGTGTACTTTTATTGTTTCTGAGAAGATTTATTGCCTGGGTTGGGTGGCAAACAACTAGAGATAATGATGCTGTAAGGCTGTAAATACACCCAACCATGGTAAGAATCAGTGTACAAAGACACGAAGATGATGAACGGGTAAGAAAAACGAAGTAAGGTGGACCCTAATATCTGTACCCCACTAATGCCCATCACATCATTCCGCCATGTACTATTATTAGAGACATGTCCTTTTATATTTTCGATCCTCACCCAACATGTACTACAATTGGGGACGTACTAGTAATGGAGACGGGTACGTTTAATGGGGAAAATACGGTAGTTTGTTGTTACCTTAGTTATTTGACGTTTGGAACTTAGGAGAGATGAGCGAAGACTACCTAAGTTCTACCATAGTGTTGTGTGTGCGAGAAATGCCTTACATTAAAATGTGGATTGGAGCTACGATGGGCAGATATTACACATCATCATGGTTAGTTGAGGAATATTTATGTGATGCAGGTACTATGAGAGTCAGGTGAAATAGCGTTTAATAATAATAATAATTCGCGGGATTCGCGTTGGCATCGCTTGAATGTTCAGAAACACACAAACTAGCCTTCGCTTCCGCAGGCCACCACTATGCCTATGCCTTGCACACCTTAGTGGCGAATGCAGACCTCACAAGTGAGTCAGCGGAGAGTAGGTGAGTCTCTCAACCAATCGGGCGTGTAACGGCCCATAACCCTGTAAACTGCATCCTTGTTACCCTCACTCCGAGCTGTGAGTACCCAGTTGACCGTGGGTGTCGGCGCAGTTCACCACGCATAAAAAGTCTTTACTCACGTAAAAAGTCTTTACACGCTCCCTGCTACCAGCGCGGGTCTCGAACTCGGGACCTCATGATTCGCAGGCAAGCCTGCAAACCAATCGGCCATATGCGTTGGTCTGCGTTTGTGGTGAGGAAATCAGGAGGTGATAGTATGTGTGCGTGCAAACGAATTTGTGTGTGTTTACAACTTCACTGGATCCTTGAGGGTAGCGGTGTTCCTAGTTTTTAACATGTCAACCCGGCTAGCCCGTAAACGCGCACGCTTTGGGTTTGCGTAGATGCCCACTGCCAACCGGGCCAGGTTGAAGACCAGCCAGAGCCGGAGTGTGTGTGTGTGTGTGTGTGAGTGCGTGTGTGTGTAGCTTTCCAGTTGAAGACTTCAATGGCATCGCCCGGGACAGGGAGAAATAGGGTCTGAGGTGCCGTGACGGAGTTGAGCACATCGTCAACAACAGGACTCAACCGGTAACGAAGCCGTTCCAATGCCCGGTATGCCACCGTTGTTTTCGTCGATGGCAGGATGAGAGTTGCCACAAATGTAACGCGACAAGACACTCCCGCCGAGCGCCCTGATGGACAGCACAAATCCGAGTCTGCCCCTTTGGGGGTCACATAGCCGGACACGGCAGTGGTACATGTACAAGGAAAGAAGGAAGGTGTGTGTGTGTGTGTGTGTGTGTGTGTGTGTGTGTGTGTGTGTGTGTGTGTGTGTGTGTGTGCAGCCAGACCAGTCAACTAGCCCAGGCTGGAGTTGTGCATAGAGTCAGGGGCTTGATGAGGTAACATAAACATGGGCAGCTGGAAAGCGAGTCGACGTGCACGTCGCTCCCATGTTGGCCCATTCCTGTTCCCCTTTCGACATGGCTAATGTATGCACACTTTGCATTATAGTATTTATACTTCGAAGTAATACATAATTATACATATACATGTATATGGTACTGGTCTGGGCTACGCTTTGGGTCAGCATTTCAAAGCTGCACTTGCGCGTTGCATGGCCCACGGATCACTTAGAACTTCCGGATCTGCTTTTGAAACACGCGTTGTTTTGGGTGGTAAATTATGGTCTCAATCATGTCATCTTCCTTGATGCTTTGACTCCCTATTAGAAAGATTCTGCGTCACGTGGAGCGTACCGCAATAACGCACAGAGTCTGGGTTGGAGTGTACGGTTTCATGTGTTTGGGGTCCAGATTTCTACGTGGAGAGGAGGTTCTAGTGGTGGCATATGCAAAGAAACCGTGTACAGATCTGCTGTGTATCCTCAAATTAGCGAGAAAACCAGGGAGTAGTAAATACCATATTTACTACTCCCTGGAGAAAACTGGTGAACGTAGAGCAGGACACAGATATCTCATGTGTCATGGAAATGCGAAGAGTGATCGGGGCATTCTTGATGTCCCATTCCCATAACATGAGCAGAACGTCTCTACTGTCTTAAAAGCGGAAACATTCGGGTGAGCTTTCACAAACAAATTCAGACTGGATACGATGAGATCATTTGACTTGCTGCAGACCACAGTTATCACCGGCAGTGCAGGCAATACGCAATAGTTTGGGTGGCAGCGGTTCTCTACAGCATCTCTTGCTTTGATAAGAGGCTTAGAGCATTCCAGTTCTGCATGAAGATGCCTGCATTCAACTGGCCCGCAGCTGTGCAAGAGATATAATAATAATTGTAGTCAGATGGTGCATCCACTGACATCGAGACCACTGTTTTGCAAGATATGATTGTCTCGTTGAGTCATAGTACACAATCCAGTAGGTTGATAGCTGTGTACAAATTTACACACAATGTACAATGTACATGTGGTCTTTCATCCTAACTTTCTCATAACTATCTCAGTATCCGAGCCAGCATGTTATGCAACTATCAAGGGAACATCTTCATCGTGCTCGCATGGGGATTTACATGTACTGACGTGGGACAGCTACAGCCAAGACACTGGATGGGTGACAACGACGGGTTCAACTACAATAAATTACCAAGCATATAACAAGAATAGAATGTCACATGACATAGAGATACCAAGCAGCATCCACACGCTGGACTGCCGCACAGTGTAGTCACTGTGAATGGCTGCCTATGGCTGTGAGTGAATTCCACAACCCGAAAAGTACTGCTGTAGTGGTGGAATACCAGGAGCCACGAGATGACAAGGCGAGTGGCAATGCCACATGTTCTCTTCCCCTTCCCCTGAAGACATTAGAAGATCAGCTTGTCTTGCTTTGAGACTTTTGAAAAGACCGCAGGCCAATCAGCATCCACAGAATGGAAAACCCTACACAGCACGGAGCAAGAAAGAAAGTAGGGAAAAAATCAAGCAATCACTCCAGCAGCGAAACGTTATTGCGCAAGAATGAACAAGAAACAACTATAGCAGTACAGGAGATCGTAAACTACCTTCTGTGCCCTTGTAGGCCGGCCCAAATGACATGCCGGTACGTACTTAAAGTAGTAATCACCATACAAGTCTGCCACCATACGCTACTCTGAAGTAGAAATAGTGAAACATGTTCAGTGAAATATGAAGCGGTACACGAGGCTACTAGTACATGTACACGGCACAAGGACACCCAATCGAGCTGTGGATCATGCATTTTCACCTATACCTTACTCGAATCACACAGGTCTAGACACCAAGCTAATCACAATGGTCCTAGTTACCTGACACTAGGAGAGGTGCGACAGTACCAAAGTTCACATCAGCTGTTTTGTACACAGCCAGCTCAGTAGAGAAGTGACCAAACGCCAAGATGTACGAATAAAGGGTAGCGTTGTATAGGCTGGAGCAAACAGGAATCACACAAAACCTGCTGTCAGGCAAGTCACGTCGTCATAGTCAAAGATTCATGGCATGCAGAAACAGGGACATCTCTATACTGTACTTTACATTAGTACTGCTAGTACGTACTACAGCAGGACCGCCGGAAGCAGTAACTGTTTTTGATTGGTCCGGTAGTATTGTGGCCTTTCATACAGTTTGTGTATGGATATGGTGGATACACATGCCCTCCACAGTAGTACACACTTGTTGTGGCCAACATGTTGGTCAGGTGATAACCTGACCAACTGGACCGGTTCCGGCGGGCCTGTATACACCAGGGTTGCCCATGGATACAGAAAGGCTTTTTTTAAATTAATTCCATGCAAATTCACTACAAACCGCCGATATCCATTCATTCTTCCGTGGCATCTTTTCTGGTGAGAAATGGACGAAAATCTTCTGTGTAGTTTAGGGTGGATGACGGATGTGCCGTGTACTAAAATAGTATGGAATCATCCACCAGGACATGCACATACACTAGTCAGTCACCATTGCAATCCGAACGTGAGTTGACACTTGTGGCTGAGCCTTACTGGTTGTTATGGATGTTGTATGCACACCCCAGTCGCAGACCGCCCGCTAGTAGAATCCATGCACCAAATAGACGTGCTGTGAGCGGTGTAACTGCACAGAGGGACACACAACACATGTATAGTACTGTTTTTTGACGCATACTGTGAAGTCGCTTCACAAGTAGAAATATCGACAGGCAACGGACCAACGGTTTTAAACAGTAATACTGTATATTCTCTATTATAAGCGCTGTGCTTAAATTTTTTCAACACCCCTCTACCCCGTGCTTATATTGGAGACCGCGCTTATATAGGAGACTGTGCTTATATTTTTTCAACCAATACATCCATACAGAGCAAGAAGAGATACATGCTAGATATCATGCATGCAGCATTGATTTCCACCAAGACCGTGATAATAATAGAGACTGTGCTTATAATGTTTCGAAAGGTGCTCACAGTGTGCTAATACATTAGAGACTGCTAGTAATGGAGACCTGTGCTTATAATAGAGAAAGAGAATATACGGTACGATCCTTACCTTGTTCTGGCTGTTGTGTGTAGATACGCTCAGCGAGGAATGTTGGACTGCCAAAGAAGCACTGCACGGCTTGCACATTGGCCATAACACCAGTCACGGCGATCCATATGCGCATTGGAAGCTTCATGGCAGGATACACTTCAGCAGTGGGCATGGTTGCATCAGCCAGGCTGTCCTAGTCACAAAACTAAATCGAACAGACACCATAGAACTAGGCTAGTACATGTACTACATGTGCCGCTGCATCATGGTGCATCATTGGAAAATCATTGGGAAATCATAAATATATCAACCAAACAGGGGATATGGCATGATGAAAGGATAACACAGGAAGTTGAAAAAATTGTACACCATTGTGATCATCTCCTGTTGCTCACACAGGCAGACATAGCTACTAAGTACAAGAGGAGGGTCAACTCGCCAGCAAGGGAGGCGTGGATTTATTAGGGTACAGCAGACTCACACAGCATACACTATAGTTTTGGTCGTTTCTCGTAGTTTCCATGTGAAAACTGAAAAGTGAGGCTACGGCAATGGTCACATTATCAGACCGATGCACACGCAGAATCCCAGGTCCGCTCTGGGAGTCACAGAGCATACTCGGGCTCTTTGTGTGTGTTCATGTACATGTAGTCGGCGACTATCAAAAAATCCCGCCAGAGCGCCCCTACCTCCTCGACGCTTCAGGTGGGGAGGGGCGGATGGGCGAGTCCTACTTGCCGCCATTCAGTGCTACATGAAAAAGTACTCCCCCTACGAAAACTGTTCGTGCATCTCGTACACCGACCAAAACACCCTCTCTCTTTGTATTGGCCGGTGTTCTCACTGTGCTATGAGATGCTGTAATAAATAAATAAATAAATAATAAATAAGAGCCAGGAGTCGTACAGACCCGACAAAACGCAGGGTTTGTGCGATCCCTGGTCAAGAGGATGGGCACTGTTGCGTACATAATCATTTCCAACGGGGTTGAGCACGCGTCTGCAGTACAGTACGGCATCACAGACTGCGACAGAGTCATACGAGGATACAATCAATCACGTCCCTGACAAGAAGTCAGGGAGGGGCGGATGGGACAGACGGGGCGCTCTGGCGGGATTTTACGGTACTAACCCACTTGCACAGCGATTAGATGCAGCATGCCGCCGCCCCCCCCCCCCTCCCCCGTATTTAGTGCGGCACCCACCCGGCTCCGACCCAGTTGAAATGGTTGCGCCAGGTACACGTGTACCCGGACCCGGCTGTCCTACAATCCTAGGCTAGAGCAGACACTGAAAGTCTGTAGAAAATGACAGCGAAGTTTGCTAATACCGTATTAGCAAGAGTACATACCGTATTATCTCTAATATAAGCACGGTCCTTTATTTTTTCAATATATCTCCGCCCCGTGCTATTAATGGAGACGTTCCTTTATTGGAGACTGTTCCATTATTATTTCAACCTCATTTCAGAGGCATGTTGCCATGCCAAATTCATGTCAGACACACACATTTCAGGATTTTTTTCGCCGGTACAGATAATGAATTTACACAGTGTGCTTATAATGGAGACTGAGCACTTTATTTTTTGAATGCCGCCCCAAGGTGTTCTATTATTGGAGACATGCTATTATTGGAGACTGCTTATATTAGAGATAATACGGTAACCATTGGTTATGTACTCTGTTATGTACTCTTAAGATCTTGGTACTATTAGCAATAGCAAAACTATCACCATACCCGATTTGAGCATGAGCTGTTGGAAAATCATACAATCTGACTACTGGTATCTGAGATAGTGTGCATCACCACTACCAGGCCTTACCTGGTCACTAGTGCACTTCCCACTCGTAGATCTACTCAGCGGAGGGCCACGGAAAGTCTTTACGAGTACTTGTTGCTGGCACTACTCTTGTAGTAACTGATGCAGTAGCTGCTACTGTACATGAAGGCGAAACTAACCACCCCCTTCAAAAATACTTACGCGACTCTCGCTCTCTGGTAATTGTGATCATAGCTAAGTAATAGTTGTAGCGGATTTTTCCTGTGTAGATCTAGATCTACCTACCCAACGACCTCATGACCGTCATGTCATGAGCTCAGATCAGTCGACCTCTCTATTACTAGTCAGTCGACCTCTCTACTGTATACTCTTTTTGTAGGCTCTAGCTTTAGCTTTGGCTTTGTCCCCCCCTACTGGGCCCCTATATGTAGGCCCGGGCGCCCTGTCACTAGCACTGGTCACTTGTCCGAGACTGTGAAGTGTGATCTTCGATCACACTTCACACTGATCGTCGATCAGTCAGTGAAGTGACGTCACACTAACGTGACAACGCGGGAAGCCTTGCTTGCTTGAAAAGTTTCCAGATTTCGTGAGTTTTCTGTGGCTAGCTTCACCTTGTTCACTTCAGAGTTCAGTTCTTTCCTAGATCCTGTCGTTGTATAACATTAACAGGTGAGGCCAACTGGACTCCAGTGAAAACAGAAAACTGCCTGAGCTACAATTATTATGTAGCTGGCTCGACTTCAACTCCCGCGCGACCCCACGAGGCTTTACTCTAGATCCGGTATCCCGTGGCAAACGTGCACGTGATCCAGGTGAAACGACGTGATTACATTCGTGACTACATGTATTCTGTCATGGTGATTTGCAGTGTGTCATTTCGGTGTTGAGTCAGATGACATCTGACTGTTTTGTCATATCGACTCACAAGTAACGAAAACAAGTAAGTAATAGTTAGTAACAAGTAAGTTGTACATGTAGCTGCTTGCTTTGACTTCAACGGTCTTTTATTTATTGTGCAACTACGGGTTGCTTTGTCGTAGAGGAACTTGATTGCAGAAGGGACGGAGGGCCAGCGGCTAGATCATCACACTACCAGTGAGTGGTCACTTACAAGCAGGGAGTACATGTAGTAAAATACATATTTTACTACTCCCTGCTTACAAGTAGGCTCCGTCTACGTTTCTTTGTGTAGCATACATGTACCAGTATTGCCACAGTGATTACTCGTATATGTGGATCCGATGTCTACCATGATCTACTTGTACTTGTAGCAGCTAAATAAGCTGTTACCCGAGTCAGTGACTCAATCAGTGTGTACTGGGCTGTGGAGTACAAGGCAGAAGCTCATCTCCGCCGTTCACAGCGGGTAGAGCTAGCAGCCGGTTTGGCCGGACCACTGTTGCCAAAAGGTATTACACGCCTGTGAATACAGTGGCGGTCATCTTCAGCACAATTGGTGGCAGGCTTTTTAGATCAGCAGCAGCAGCAGCAGCAGCAGCACATTCCCGCCACAGCAGCTGCACCGACAGTCTGCTCTCACCTCTAGCCAAGATGTCGAAAACACAAGCAGGAGGTGTATCTGTGGAGGGTGTGCAGGCCGAAAGAGTGCGTAGCCTGAATGAGAAAGACTGTGTGGCTGGTGGTCATTATGTCCTGTACTGGATGCAGGCATCAGTTCGCTGTGACTTCAACCATGCTCTAGAGTTTGCCATTGCCCGTGCCAATGCGTTGAACAAGCCGTTAGCATGTTGTTTCGGATTGACAGATGGCTACCCGGAGGCAAACGAGCGACACTACGCCTTCATGCTTCAGGGACTTGCCGAGGTTCAATCGGACCTTCTGCGACTGCGGCACATCAACTTGGATGTGTTCAAAGGCTCGCCGGAGGCTGTTGTGTCGGAGCTGAGCAATGACGCGTGCGAAGTCGTGACGGACATGGGCTATATGCGCATTCAGCGTTCATGGCGAACACGTCTGGCCGAGAGAGCACTGTGCAACGTGTGGCAGATTGAATCGGATATTGTTGTGCCTGTCGAAACAGCATCGGACAAGGAGGAGTTCGCTGCTCGAACTATTCGCGGCAAGATCCAATCAGTTGCAAGCAAATACCTGAAGCCAGTAGAATGTGTGGAACTGGAGGATATGTCCATTGTGGACTTGCAATCGAGAACGGCTGCACCAAAATTGGACCTCTCAGATGTTGATGCCGCACTGGCAGGATTGGACGTTGACCGATCTGTGCCGCGTGTTTCATCGTTCATCGGCGGCCGGTCAGAAGCACAGCGGTGTCTCCAGCAGTTCATTGATACAAAGCTGTCCAAGTATGGCGAAGGTCGCGACGAGCCAATGGACAATTCGCAAAGCTACCTCTCCGCTTATCTCCACTTTGGCCAGATCTCTCCAGTTGAGATTATCCTAGCTGTACGAGCAGCGAAGGCATCCAAGACTGGCAAGGATAACTTCATAGAGCAGCTGATGATCCGGCGTGAGTTGGCCATCAACTTCTGCTGGTACTGCCCGCAGTATGACTCGCTGGAGTGCCTGCATGACTGGGCAAAGACAACACTTGCCGCGCACCGGGATGACAAACGCGACTATGTGTACGACCTTGCAAGGCTGGAGAGCGGGCAGACGCACGACCCGTACTGGAACGCCATTCATCTGGAGATGGTGGTCACGGGCAAGATGCATGGATACTTCAGGATGTACTGGGGCAAGAAGGTTCTCGAGTGGACCACGGACGTGGACACGGCGTTCAAGTGGCTACTGTACCTGAACAACAAATATGAGCTTGATGGACGCGATGCTAATGGTTACACAGGCGTTGCCTGGATTTTCGGCAAGCATGACCGGGCCCACGCGGAACGCGCTGTCTATGGCAAGGTGCGCTACATGAGTCAAGATGGTATCAAGAGGAAATTCAAGACGCTCCCGGCCTATGTCAAGCACATTGAGAAGCTAGCGGCAGACTACAAGAAGACGTATGGCCCAATCGGTGCGGTGAAATCTGGAAAAGCCGGCCCGTCAGCAACTACCACTGCATCTAGTGCTTCTTCTGCAAGTGAACCTCCTGCAAAGAAGAAGAGAAAGTGAACTTTCAAGTGTGGGGGTTGTATTACCCTTTTGCCACCGTTGACGAAGAGCTTTTGAAATCAGCAAAGCCCGGATGCATGAGCATCTTCCCTCTTACTCTCCCCCTCTTTCTCTCTCACACGTATGCACGCACGCGCACATACGCGAGCGCGCACACACACACACACACACACATGCCCCTTTCCATATAATATTATACAAAGCATCTGTCTGTGAGTGTCTACCCATCATATCCTCATCATTAATTTATTCATCTATCTACAAGTACCATCAAGAAAAATAACCATGCAGTGTGATAATGTTCTCATGCTACTATCCATCTATTTACCACGTGTGCCTTTGAGTTCTATACTGGTAATTTGGCCTAGTCTGTGACTCTTTGTGTAGTATGCTAGCACATCCTGTATGACCGGTATGTGTCTTGATTACTACATTGTAACAGTAGTACAATGTAGTCATAATGCTCCTTTGTCTCTTGACGACTTGCGTCCCTGGATTTTACAGTGTTCTTCCGTACCTTGTGCTCCTATTTGATACACACATGCATGGTGTGTGGAACACACTCATGAGCTCTTGTGCGCCACAGTTCATTTATTATTATTAATTATTCCACGGCCATGATGCGTGCATGTTCAATGTCATGTATGTTGAACTGACAACAAGTGACGTGGGTATTGAATACCAGTGCTGCCAAATAATTTTCGCCCCAAATTGGACACCCTTCATCGCCAAAGCTGGCCACATGGTGCGAATTTGGCCTCGGCAATTTTTTTTACAGAGAATTCAAAATATCGCCTAAAACACCATGAAAATTCGCTTTGTTGCCATGGTAACCCCGGAATTGTCATGAATTTTGTGAATGACTAGAACATAACACCAAAAAATGAAAAAAATTGTATGTGTGAAAAAACGCAAAAAAACAAACAAACAAAAAACAGGAAAATACAAGGGCACTGTCCTACCCACCATCGTCTCCAAAACCTCACAGCCGGCCCTCCGAGATTGCCAACTCTCGCAATGCATTCACATTGAATGAATTTTGTAATGATGAGTGTGGTCGCACACTGACTCTGTACAGACTGTCAGCGTACATGCCATCCAGCCTGATCCAGGCATGTTACTTTGCACTTCCACAATCCACAGCCAAGCGCTAGCCTTTTTAGAAGCAAATGTAGAGTGATTTGTGCCTTCAGTTGCGCTGAAAAGTGAAAGTACAGGACTTCTGCATAGGGAAGTAATGATCTCCGACATTTTTGCTGCTTTTCGGACGTTTCCCTTTTCGGACCGGTTTTCGGAAGAGCCTTCAAAAATCGGACACTGTCCGAAAAATCGGACGGTTTGGCAGCACTGGTATTGCAATAGATAGCATTTACCATTTTAACCCTGATGGGCCAGGCTCGAAAAATTGGTGAACACTTTTTTTTTCGAAGTAGCGCCTGCACCGAAGAGACAATGATCGAGTGTTAAGAGGAAACCTTATGTGTAAGTGGCTGCAATGGAGTTTGCGAGTACAGTACTTATAAAATTATTTACACCCAATGGAACAGATATAGCGAGAGCAACAGGTAAAAACGGCGCAACTTACAACCCGCCATATTAATGAAAAAGAAGGAAAAGGGAGAAGAGAGAACTCGTTGTGTTATGGTAGGAATTCTGTCAATGGAAATGGACATATATTCCTATTCAACAAAGGTTTGATGGGCATCAAGTGTGGTCCAGCCACATGGTGTATGCACATCAATGTGAAATAGAAATGCCTTCTCCCCTGGCCCCTGCCACACAACAACGCAGGAGAGGAGGAGAACGGCGAAAGTCAAACAAAAAAAAAGATCCAACGGCAAAAAGACAAGGGAACAACAAAGAACAAGCAGTATATGCAGTACAAGTAATAAAGCGACGGCAAATCGAGACGACGAATCAAGGACCAATACGTACAGAACACATGACCATGAATCACACATCACTCTCACTCCCAATCCAAACTAGCACTACGCGCATGAGCAGCATTCACTTGACAGTCACTCTCACACAGACGGAAGCAGATTCTCAGACTCTGACAACGCGTACTCCTGCATGCACCACACACCATAAACGTCACACATCACACCATACTCACACGTACACTTAGACCATATATGACATCAGACATACCGTAAAAGCCCGTGTATAGGCCCCGGGCGTATAGAATAGCACCCTCGATTTCCTGGGCGTATACAAGGGTACGGGCGTTATTTTGGAACCGGCCGTATACTTGAAATAGGGATAGCAGTAAGTATTGGGTATCAGTACCTGTACATGAACTTGTGTTTCCGGCATACCTGGGCGTATACATGGGCATGGGCGCTATTTTGAAACAAAAGTGTTGACTTCCCCTGACTGGGCGTGTACACGGAGGGTGGGCGTATTTTCGAGTGGGCGTATACAGGGGCTTTTACGGTAGGACTCTACAGGACCAGAACCAAATCCAACGTGCGTAAATAATGGTCGAACGGAATTTCGCAACAAATGTATCTGGGAGTGGGACGCAGATGAAGCTAAACATTATATATATTTCGTAAATGAGATTTGTGGCACCTACCTGCATTGCTGTCAAAGACTGACATCTGGAATGTACTTCGTACTGCAGAGGAATTCAAGTGGCTTCAGCATTATCAAAAGCTGGTACCTAAACCATTGTCCTTGTCCAGCAAGGTCTCCCTAAAATGGGACAGCTCCTGCAGGCAGTGAACATGTTGCATTGTGAAATTCAATTCTATACAAGCACATGCGCATGCTGAACTGCAAGAAGTTGAGCACCGGTGCAATGGCGTAGTGGCGCTCAGTAGCCGCGTGGCAGTGCGAGTCACTGAGAATGCAGTCTTCTCTAGTCAGCAAATGCGGTGGGTCCTCCATGCTCAGGTGAGGTCCGAAGCGTGCCTCAACCGTGATGTTGAGATGCGTGCGAGTCCTGTACGCCCAGTCTCGCATCCGTACACTGCACGGCGTCATCAACCAGACGTGGAACATCGACGGCGACTGCGTGGAAGCGTTGTGTAAGCTATTCACCAAGGAGTGCAGCTTCTCCCGAGGTGAACCGGCCAGATCATGCACGTGCAGTCGGCTAGAGAGGGCCCTCGGCCAGGCAAGGAGCGTGCGTGGCGGCATGTAGGTCTTGTAGTACAGCAGATGATGTTGATAGTGCACCTGGCGGCCTGCAAACGGGACCTGACGAAGATGCTGACGCTGATATTGCAGGCCCGGGATGACACCGCCCTGATGTAGGATGCCAAAGAAAATCGAGAGGAGTACACAGTGCACAATGGACAGGCTAAGCAGCAAGCGCGAATTGAGGATGTGATGGGCGAATCCGATTATCAGGGGAACAGCGAGTGGCAGCAAAAAACGAGCTTCTTGGTGTGGAGCTGTAGAGAGCGCCAACAAGGGTACGAGTATTGTTCCTGTCAGGAGGTACGTAGCGTGCTTAACCGTTTGCCATTCATTCTCCTGCCAGCTGTGCTGCGGCTCGTTTCTCCAGTTCAGGCCGCCATGGAAAGCATGCAATGAGATAACACTCGGTGACCGTATGAACAACGCTGCTGAGCTCTTCAGATCCCGGTACAGCAGCCAGTGGGCGCAGAAGGCAAAGAAGATCCCGGCCAGCACTCCGAACAGCATCGGCATGTAGACAGCAATGTGCGTGATTCTTGGGTGAATGCCGTGCTCCGCCAGGTTAGACGAATGCATGTTGTAGTGCAGCCAGTTCAGCGGCGTCAGCACAATGGAGAGAGGACTTGAAGGAGAACAGCCAGTTAGCTTGTGCACTGTCCAGTCCACAATCTGTGCGGGTACGGGTGCATTGCTTCCACAAGTCCATGCCTAGGGGATTTGGTATTGTGGTCAGATGAAAACACACACACACACACACACACACACACACACACACACACACACACACACACACACACATACACACACCACACACACGTGTACAGACATACACACAGGAAACAAGTAGAGCGTTCGATGTTCCAACGTAATAGTAATAAAACCATTCAGGCTACTATCATGAACAGGTGCAAGAACATACATTATGTGTACACAGACGGATCCACGGCACATGTATTTCATCGGCTTGCAACAATAACACAAGGCATCGACGAGACGCGATGATACAAGGAACATGTGATTTACACCATACACTGCACATACGGTGTGCCGCTACGGCCCTATGATAGTCCAAGCAGCAGGTGTGGCGCCAGCGCTTGATCATGCCAGAAAGCATAGCACTGGCAACACTAATGTGGAGGACAAGCACGGGTACTATGATCAAAAGACCAAACACCTATGCAGCCTGACCTTGGTCTGTGAAACAGGAAGAACACTCGGGGATTTCGCATGACCGTTGTGCACAACTTAAGAATACGTACTGGATTGAGGTATTCAAGAGGATGAATTGTACAGCAATCCAAGTGTGCAACATTGCGCAACATTGGGCAACACTGCACAGCGCCAGCACCACAAGAAGCAACAGCACTCACCCTGTTGTGGTAACTGAAGTACACCGTGTCCAAGGCAACGAGGAACAGTGACGTACCAGCCCCCTGCAGTAGCAGGTTGTGGACGATCAAGCGCCGGCGTTCCGCTGGCCTCGGGCAATGCACAAGCACATTGTACAGCCAGGACAGCGTTGGAACAACGGCAAAGAAAGCGAACGTTGGTCGGTTGAAGAACCCCATGGCAAGATAAACGCCGATTTTGCCCTTAGGCGTAAGACCAGGAAAACTCAACATGATGATACCAGCAAGCAAGTAGACCTCGATGGAATTAGAGAATGGCCGAAGCATGAAGGTATACCATATGGGTGACAGCATCAGCGGCAGGCAGGATGTGTTCTTGCTGAACATACTCAGCATATAGCGGAAATAGCAGATGAGGATAACAAACAATAATGCCATAATGGCCCGGTACAGAAAGATACTACCACCAGGCTCGGCCAAGAACGAGCCGGACGCCGTGAAGAGCAGCATAGGAAAGAAAACGGAGCGGCATGGCGCTGTGCCTGTGAACTCCCATGGTGTGTAGTGCACAATGTCAAACCAGCCTCCTGATATGACCTCGGAGGACTGGAAGAACTCATCCGGGTGGATGTATGATCTGAACGTACACGTGTACACGTACAGGGCCAGGCTAAACGCGGCAGGGGCCCACCACCCTGACATCATTACTACACTAGCTTCACTGCATCTGGATCACCCAAGTCGCAAGCAGTGCCTTTCATTCTACGAGGCCATCTCTCTTTATCCAGGGCCTGCACACGTAATTCATTCAGTGTCGTTGTGATGACGAATATACATTCCAGGCCAGCATCATGTCACTCAGTCTGAGAGAAGGTAGAACACTTGGTCACTGCCGAAAAGACGGGGCGCTCAGATTACTCAGCTCAGTAGCCTTTGACATCCAAATGCAAAATCTGACAATAGGCGTTATTTTCATCACACAGTACTGCCGCAAGTGGTCTTGGGTGTTTGTTCGAAACAGTCCTTCACTGCATCTGCGAACAGTATTCTGGGCCTCAAATCTACCATAGAAAAAGACTGTCCATTGTAGATCAGATCCTTGGCAGAGGACAGAGCAGCAGGGAGAAGTGAAAAGTATCAACCCCAGAAACGATTTTTTTTAAAGCAGAGCACCCACGTTGTCTGGAAAAGGGGAATCCCCGTGCTCCGACCACACTCCACGGATGTACCCCAGGGACAGATGGCAAGACCACTGTCACCAAGAGTACATAACCCCCCGTACTCTTGCTGTCACTGATATCAAGAGTACATAACCCGGGGGGGTTATGTACTCTTGCTGATATCTGTGACCTGGTATACCTGGTATACAGGGACACATGCCACTACGGCACTTGCCAGAGGCTTTCAAGTACAGGAGTCATGACTGTATTTGTTTACATGATCATGATGATCGCGATCCTACTACAACGCATTAAAACCGTATTCGTTTGGCCTTATCAATATATTATTAGACCTGCCCGGGCGTCGCGTTGATTCACATAATAAATTATTGTGTTCAGGGGGGGGGGGGGGGTATCCAATGCCCCGGCGGGGTTATCCAATGCCCCGGTGGGGTTATCCAATGCACCGGTGGGGTTATCCAATGTGCGGCCCCAGTGGGGTTATCCAATGCCCCAGCAGGGTTATCCAATGCCCCAGCAGGGTTATTCAATACCCCAGCAGGGTTATCCAATGCCCCAGCAGGGTTATCCAATGCCCCAGCAGGGTTATCGAATACCCCGGCAGGGTTATCCAATGCCCCAGCAGGGTTATCCAATGCCCCGGCGGGGTTATCCAATAAGTGCCCCAGCAGGGTTATCGAATACCCCGGCAGGGTTATCCAATGCCCCAGCAGGGTTATCCAATGCCCCAGCAGGCTTATCGAATACCCCGGCAGGGTTGTCCAATGCCCCAATGGCATTCCCAGAGCACAACACTCGTATCCGCCATCATCAGGCATTGGCCAGTAGCGTCCCTTTCAGTATACTTCAAAAGAAGTAATAAAAATAAAAATAATTATAAAAATAACAGAGGCTGGTGATATTTCTCATTGCTAGTGCAGCAGTATGATCATCCGAGACTAAACTATGTCACAGTATGTGTGCCGGTATACAGTAGTACTAGTCAATACGGCAATGTTACAACAATATCCAAATAACCGATTATGATTCTAGTTGATGGTTGGCTAGCCTGGGTATGATATGGGGTCTACTGTCAAGTACATCATGCTGGTGTGGCAAGGTGTAAGCAGACAGTCTAGCATGCAGGGAGGCTGTACTTGAGTGGCACAGACCATGTCGCGTACCTGAGACTAGCGACATAATAATTATAACGTTACACTGCACAAACAATGGTCAGTATGCTGGTTTATGAACAATGCTTATTACGCCGGCTTATAGACAATGATTCAATAGGCGCTCAAGGCTGGCAGTCTGGAGCTGCTTGGACGACTGGTCAATGTTGCAAACGCAGTGTCTCTCAAGAGGACAGACCGTGAGCACGAAATGCAATTGGCACCACAACTGTACAGTCAGCAGTGCTAGCTCCTAGTCAACTTCATGGACTCTTCGACTGAAAAGGCAAATGAAACTGTCAGGTCACTACAAAGTACATACAGCACGATGTGGCCCTTTGGCATAAGAGACTGGGGAGAGCACATTATAGAACGCTAAACGTCAAAGACCTGCATTTGGTATAGTGCTGGCAGTGAAGTGCTACTACTAGATGTGCACAGCCTAGCTTGTGTGGACACACACACACACACACACACACACACACACACACACACACACACACACACACACACACACACACACACACACATGCAGTGATAGTGGAAGTCGGAATTGGTGACACTACAAATCCAGCTTTATGACGCAGCGTCCATGTGGTCCGTGAACGGGGCGGAGCCGAAACCATTGTTTCCGGGATATTTAAGTTATCGCCAACCCGACACTGAGATGTGCTTACCAAGTCAGCTGAACGCACTTGGACACTGGCAACTTCAGTGTTGATGCCATCATCAGGTGAGTCCACTCCACGCCTTACAGTGAAGAGATGCTGTTTCAAATCACGGGATCTAAGCTTGCGAATATCGTCGTTGGTGTGAGTGACGCCTATTTCCGGACAACCCTGTTGGTATTCACTGCCAGGTCTGTTTGACATCGCGCTTCTGTCACTCAAGGTCAGAACACCACTGTAGGAAAGTGCTAACTTCTATGCAGCCGACTGTCACCCGTGTTCAAAATCCTTGCAGCAGGTGTGTACGGCTTTCACGATGCGGCGCTAGTCAGCAGCTTCGGCCTCTGGCTCAGCAAGACCCCTCGAATTCTGCACTCGTTTGATGAGCAGAGCAATATGCCGCTTCAGCTCGATCGAGCTGCTTGGCATGGTCAGATTTGTATCGAGCACAACCTCCGACTCATCTTTGGTCTTGTGGAAATGAGTGCTGATGACGTGTATTAGCGACGCATCTGTCATCTCCTCCCAGCCAATTGGGTCGGTTGGCGAACTGATCTCAGGAGAGAGGACTGCCCCGAACATCTCAACCTCTTCCGGCGTCAGGCGCAGGTAGAAGCGCAGAAGAATGAGCATGGTACGTGTACCAGCACTTAACTCCACACTGCTGCGATTCAGTTCCTGGCGCTGTGTCTCCTCTATGTCCAGGATGTCCATAATGTGCTGGTAGCTACGACTGAGCAGCATGTCCAGGCATCCCAGATGGGTGGGTGTCTGCTGCTTTATGCGAATCAGCAAGCGCTTCTGTAGCATGCGAAACTCAGCAGCTCGCTGCTCCAGGGAGGTGAGAGACTCGTTGAGCGCTTTCCGCTTCTCCAGGTGGTCATCAATCAGTGCAAAATACTCCTTCAGTGGTAGATCGCTTGTTATGCTCAGCTCCAATGGAGCTGTCTGACTCTTGGTCGAGTCGGTAGTGGAGAAGTACTTTTCCAGCCTGTCTGCAAATTCTTCCATCACCATCCAGAGAGCCTGGAAGACCTCGCTCTGAATGCGATAGCGGTTGGAGTGCTTGGCGGCCAGTATTGATACAGACATGCCGCCAGGGAGACTAAGCGTCAGGGCGTTGTGATTCTGGGACTCAGTCTGGCGTTCAACATCGCTGAACAGCTCCAACAGGTCGACGCACGGTTTGTTGCTATTGAGGACCATCTTGCACGCCGCATCTTTCACCACCTTGACGGACTTGGCAAAGAGTGTAATGGGTAGTCTGATGTTATGCACCAGTGAATTGGGATATCCAGTGGCGGACGTGTAAGAAGCCACAACTGTAGCCGACGCATTGCATACGGTTGTGTCGCTAGCGACGAAAAAGTGGAAAAGGAGCTCGGAGGAGCTTCCAGCAGCGACCCGACTGACGACTATACCAGGCGGGTTGACGATGACGGGCTCGACACAGCGTACAGTAACGGCGACTTCGTGTGCACCACCTTCACTCGGGGCATGTATTGTGAGCTTGACGACTGCGCATGGCCGAGGAGCGCCCTCATTTCCCTCGCCAAAACAAGCCACGAGCTCTCCAGGTGGAAGCTCCATGATCAGTCTCTGCTGGGTTTCAACACGCAGCTCTGTCGTCACCTTTTTCACATCAATGTCCTCCGGCGGTGCCTCGCGCTTTTCAATGGAGTCGATGAGCTGCATGAGTTTTTCAATATCGCCTGTTGTCACGTCCGTATTGCGTCTCTGTGAGAGTGGGTTGACTTGTTGTAGAGGCTCGGTTCCCAGGTAGGAGCATGTGATGCAGCCGTTGTCACCTAATGTTACGATCAGGCCACGCTGCTCCTTGTCCTGGCTGCCGAAAGACGCCACTGCCACTGCTATCGGAGTGGACGTTGGGAAGTTGGTGGCCCACGCTAGGCGCGTGTTGCTGAGCACGGCCAGGGAGCCGCTGTCGTGATACGATAGCAGCGTCAGCACCTCCACGGACGGCTTCTCGCCCGCCCTGTCGGGCCGGGCACAGCTCAGTGCATACGGCGCAAAGCAGGAGGCCGGTGAGTCTAGCTTCTTGGCGAAGAGAATGACACCGTTCATACCTATGCAGAAGAGTGACCGCTCTCCCAGCACCATCAGGCACGTGTCGTCTTCGTCCTCTTCAACGTCACCTATTCCCGGCACCGCTCGTTTTCGATCGTAGTCTATCATCACCTCATGGATGTCCAGGATCATCTCTCCCAGGTCAACGGACCAATCGGGAGATACGCGCTGCGTGGACTGTGATGCCAGGGTGTCAAGCCCGTGGCTCGTAGCAGCCTTGGCAATGGCCGTGTACTTGAAACACTGTACCTGGCGTGTGCTCGAAGCTGTCAGCAATGCAGTCAGACTCTGGCTGTACGCGATGGGTCCCGGCAGCAGAAAGCTAGGTAGATAGCAACCATAATGCAGGACGGCCGCGTCAAACGTGTAGATCATGCCGTCCAGGCTCTGCACGCAGATGCACTCGGTGCCGTCGGTTTTGCCGAATGAGCCCTGGCACATGTTGTAAGCAACGTGTTTCAGCGCGTGGCGGTAGCATTCCTCGAGTGTGTATGCTGCACCCGCCTGACTATCGCTACTGCCACCAGTGGTAGCACCACTGGCAGCCTGTGCTGATTTGCTCTGCTTCCTCAGACTGTAGACAGCCAAGCGCCTTGGCATGAGCACAGCAATGCTAATGTCCTTGTCGTGCGCACCGAACCGACCACACATCACCTGCAGGATGGGATCGCCTCCCAGGTTCTTTTCCGCCAGTACATCGCTGGCTTGGAAGCCATTCGGTGTTGGCTGGTACACGCGCAGGCAGCCCTTCAGGCTGCCCACCACGATCTTGCTACCTGTTGGTTGGTTGTCGCAGTTGGCCACGCACATCGCCGACGGGTTGAACTCTTCGTTGCCGTCTCCCGCTACTGTTCGCCACCATTCCCTGGCTCGGAACTGGGACATGGTCACAACTGTCTACACTCGTACATGCACTGTGCTTTTTTCTTCAAAACTAACACCGCCAGCAGTCCGCTAGGCACAGGTCCTGGAGTCGATCAAAGTCAGTGCAAGACCTAGGACCGGTTGATGTCATGAATGCTAACCTCAATCTTCGATCAAGCAAGCGACTACCAATACCATGAAGACGGAAGGCAGGGCCGAGGGACTATTTCCTTGTTCTTTCCCCTTTCAGGCTTTCTACAACAGTATCAGCAGTTTATTTACAAATACATTCTCTCAATGATCCGCTGAAAGGACCAAGGAGGAGGTAGTGCAGCTAGCTGAGAGTGATCAGAGATTGACTCGGAGGGGAAGAAGCAAGAATTATTTTGAAGAAAATGTAGGCATACTGCCGGCCGCATAGGCTGCTAGGCGCGAATCGGTGTGATCGCGCGAGCACCAGCGAGTACGTGATCCGACTGATCGTGAGTAGGTCACACGCGTTGCTATTGGTAACGTCTTGACAGTGGATTTTTCCTCGGCTTTAGTTTAGACCATAAAATAATTACCACTGAGTCTGTAGACGACTCGATGATTTTCCTGTTCTCTCTTCTGTTCTGTCTTCACCATGATGTATCAGTTCTCTTGTCCTGGTCTCGGTACGTCATTCATTGTACAGTCATCATTATCATCGCTACACCAAGATCATGTGCTCTTGCCACTGAGTCTTGGCATTATTCTCGCGTTGTAACAGTACAGCGTTGGGTGGGATACAGTCCTGTCGTTGCCAACAGCAACAAGGAATGCCGAGACCAACGGTCACCGATTTGATACAAGGCATTATGCAGGCTAGAATCACATCCCCATTGTGATCATAATCAAGATCGACCCACTCGCGCGACAACCATGCTGCACACTCCTGACATGGGACTGTGGCTGAGATATCCCAGACTGTTATCAGCCTGATGTACATGTAGAAATATTACCAATGATGAGGACAATATTTCGAAGTATCAAAGCTCAGCTGAACACTCATAATATAATTATAACGTTAGAAGAGATAACAGTGAACACAAATGGAAACATTACTAGAGAATAGATCGGGAAATGCGGACTTCAAACTTCAAGCCTTCTTAAAAACTAACAACGATAACTGTGACAAAGCAGCAGAGGTACCAGCACCAACAGAGGTACAACACAAGTTTCGACCTCGCCTCGCCAGTACATGCTCATGCCGGGCAGGAGCTGAACTATTAAAAAAAACAAAACAAAAAACGATCAAGCAATGCAGCACATGTGAGCATCGAGAGTCATATCGCCTCTGTGTCTCATAGCAGACAGAACAAAAGCCAAAGTTACTATAGTAATACATAAAAACGGGAACACGCGCACACATCAACAGACATGCATACATACTTCAAAGTACTAGCCACATACACACACACACACTCGCACGCATGCACACACCTTAAACATAGCAAGAACACTGTGTTGGTTGCCTGGATGGGCTAATACTAATAGCCAGGAAAAAGTCTATGCACTTCATACACACTGCCAGCAGTAGTGAGAGAAAGCAGTAAACCTGTCCTGACAGGTTCTCATCAATAATAAGAATTAGACCTGGACCCATGATAGCTACCTCTGCTGCGCATGGAGGAATAGTGCTGTTGCTGCTGCTGCTGCTGCTGCTGTTGTTGTTGCTGTTGTTGATGTGACTGTGCTGCTTGATCACGATGAGTGTATGCACCATGGCCATACGCATGTTGTACTGGTGCTTGCTGCTGCTGCTGCTGGGGTTGTTGCTGGATGATCTGTACGTGTTGCTGTTGCGGTGCTACATTGGCACCCGCCAAGTGCACAAGCCGCTGCTGCACATCACCATGCTCAGGGTATTCCCCATCGCCACCAGTGGGGTGCGGCAGCAGTCCGTGGTGGTGGTGCTGCTGCGGCTGCACCTGGTGGTGATGCATCACACCGATTTGACTATGTTGCTGCTGCTGCTGTTGCTGCATGTCTGCTGGCATCTGGGTCGGCACTACTTGATACCCCGAGGGCACAAGTTGCTGCACAGGGGGTACCGAGGAGTGCCGTACACCACTGCCGGGACTGTCGAGATGGCTGCTACTGCCGCTGCTACTGCGATGCACATGGTGATGACCATGATGCACTGCAGTCACTCCTCCCGTTGCCGCACTACCACTGGCGCCGTCACCGTGCTCAATGGCCATTGGTACAGCATGCTGCACATGTCGCTGTTGCTGATGGTGTTGGTGCGGTTGCTGTGGCGGCTGCTGCTGCTGCTGCGGTTGCTGTTGTTGTTGATGATGCATGGGATGCATGTGTGACTCGCGCCGATGCTGTCCGCCCGACAGCTGCGGGTTTTGCAGTAGCGCTTGTCTGTGCATATTCACCTGGCTCTGTGCAAAGGTAGCTTGCTCATTATACTGACCCCCAGGAGACTGTGGTGCTGATGCAACACGCTTCGCTGGGTAGTGATGCCCAGCAGTTGGTGGTGATGGACTTCGCTGTCGCTTTCCACTGTCTTTGGCCCACCTTCCAGAAGCGTCTTTACGTGGTGTACCAGGTAGAACATTTCCAGTCCTATCTGTGGTCCTGTCATCAACAGCCATGTTCTCCAGGGGCTTGGCAAGGGGCTTTGCCTCACGCTGCCGTTCACGCATCTCTTTCTTCTGTGTCTTCCTTCTTTTATCATCCTCCTGATTAAGAACTTGTCTGAGCTTTGTAAACAGGTCGTGTTTTCGCTGATGCAATTCCTCCAGGTGAGCTTCTACTTCACGGATCTGTGCATCGCATTGCTCTACGGAGGTTTTCTCCAGCGCCTGCCGCTGCAGAAGCTCACCTCGCTCAGATTCTTTGCGCCTCTGCTGCAAGATATGCTGGCGCACAGCTTGCTTTTGCTGCGCCGACTGCTCAGCAGCTTTCACCAGAAAGGGCATGGCAGCTAACTCAGCCCCAATCCAAGCGTATATATAGCCAGATCGTGCAGTGGACGTCCAAGGAAGGAAAACATGAGAGAATTGCGAAGGCCTATGCGACAATCAACACACAGTCCTCTGTCACTGGCCTTTATGACGAGGCTGACTCTTGACTCCTGGTCAGGACCACTAATCAGAATTTCTCCTCCAGAGCTTTATAGTCCAACAACAAAGCAGCAGTTCTACTTGTCCGAAACGATAGGATCGTTCACTGTTCAGTACAGGTATTTGCACTAGTCCAACTATTAATTAAATACTTGGAATTGTCATGGGGAAGATTTATTCAGTGCAGCTATTGAACACAGAATATTATTGATTACAACTAATTACTTACAAGACAAGATAAAGGACAGTCTAGGGAAGCAAGGAATGGGGACAGCGTCGACCACAAGCAGGATCGACGCCCCCACAGTAAAGAAATTTATTATTTGAAATAACAATTCTGCTCCCTTCAATCAACGTTCCCAGGTTCCGTGTCTCTCGTAATCGTATGTACGGTGTCGATGCGCATATGCATCGCATGTCTTGGCTGCTTCATGTTTCTATGGCGATTTACATGCTTCGTTTGCTCCGAAAATAATTTTTTACATGGTGATTTCTACGTCGTTGCAGGTCGGATCATCGACGGATGTTGCATCAAATGCAAAAACGACCACCCCATTTTCAAAGTAGCGGCACAGACTCAGTGCAGTGCTCAAGTCTACACAGAATGTGCTGCTTCTTTTGTGTGAATACTTCAACAACTCTGCACTACCAACCCCGAGCAAGTAGAGTGAATGGCACTGACAACAAAGAGGTTCAAAGTAGTTAGTTAGTTTGAACTCTTTCACTCAGTCTTTGCCTTGGCTGCTACAGGCTGGCCGCTGCAGTGACTTCGGCAGGTACCGTAAATCTGCGATAAGTTCCGGCACATAGTAATAGTAACTGTTGGACAAAGGCTAGAATTATCAGAATTATTTCGTGTCTCGACCTGCAGCTAGCTGTAGTGAAAAGCCTCCAAGCATTTAGCGCCGACAAAATAGTATCTTCTCAGACCTCGTAGTAGGACTTTCCTTTATTCACTGACCCCTGTAACATGGACGAGGGAGACGAGCAGGTCGCTGTGTTCGAGAGCCTGCTGGTCTGGGTAAGTTGTGTGTTCGAAGAGGTGGCTGAGAAAGTTTGATCTGGACAATACTATAGTGATGATGCCTTTGTGGGCTGTATTTGTGCATCAGCTGCGAACATTTGGTGACTTACATGGCTCCTGTGAAACAGCGCAGGAATTGTCTGATGGAGTGGCGCTCAGTCAGGCCTTGCATCAAATGTAAGCCATCAGTACATAACTGTCTACCATGGTCTACGTCTCTCCAATTTTCCAGCATGTCTTCTTTGGAACATTATTTTTGCACATCAACTTTGGAAAAACATAGTTTGTAGGCCATGCACAGTAGTGGGCACTGACATCTGGAATCATCCCCGGGTACAGTGCCTATTGACTATCAGGGGCGTCACACATGGACCACTTTTCGTCCAGGATGGTCCACCCAATTCATCCTAAAAAACAATAAAAGAGTGCTAAAACATGCCCTGTTGGCTGGCCGAAAAGCCTATTTTTCCCCAGTGGACACGCTGCACCACTCCGCACTGCCCTGTGACACCACTGACTATTGCTGTATAGTTATGGATACATGTGTGTCACAACTAACGGCAAGAGTCATAAGCAAGAATATGCAACTGTGATCTCGTTTCCATCGGCCAGGCGCAGGTCGTATTGAGCGACGCGCTGCCATCATTACGTCATGCAGCTACATACACACACTGCAGAAATCAAACACCACACTTTCCCTGCGGTTTGATACCAAATTTTGTACAAGCACGGCACTGAAGTTCATGCACCCAGAGTTTACTTAGAGATCGTGTTGGCCCTCAAACGAATCGAGCAAAACGGTTGTGCTTTCATGAGAAATTATACACAATGTACGTTCACCATGCAGGGAAACCGCAACCGGGTCTGAGAAGGGTGTCTTTAAGTTCATGGCCATCTGCTTCTCTGTACCTATTCCGGCCACACTTCCAATGGCCTCGATCCACCAGTCCTGATTAGATCTTGAGGATTGGGAGTCTTGTCTGATTGATCACTCAACTGCACCAGGGTCTCCACAGTTGGAAACTCCAGTGGTGTACAGGCATAGCCAGCTGCTGCAGTGTCCCGTACACATCATCCATCCATCCCTGTTCAGAGGTTGGTCATTGTTCACTCATGCCCGTTCCAGATGGGTCATGGAGTCCTTCTCACAGCCTGTCAGCTGTTCAACAGACAAAGAATGATTGTCATGATCATGACTTCTGTTGAGTGAAGGTGTTCACTGCAGATGGGGCTGGTGAATTTCCGGTTCAGCTACCACCTTCATGTCGGTCTACTTGCTCTTTTGCTCATTTCTCCTTCCAATGTAGCGTCCCGGATTGGTTTGATGATGAATGGCTCGGGCGTATCAAGGTGGAGTCCTCCAACAACCGACGCATCCGGGTAGGACATTTGAAAACATCTTTGGGGCAGCAGTATTGTGCTTGTAGCTTTTTGACTGTATTAGTCTCTCTCTCCCTCTCTCTCTCTCTCTCTCTCTCTCTCTCTCTCTCTCTCTCTCTCTCTCTCTCTCTCTCTCTCTCTCTCTCTCTCTCTCTCTCTCTCTCTCTCTCTCTCTCTCTCTCTCTCTCTCTCTCTCTCTCTCTCTCTCTCTCTCTCTCTCTCTCTCCCCCCCCCCCCTCTCTCTCTCCCTCCCTCCCTCTCTCTGCAAGTGTTTGCACATGTGCTTGAACTTGAAGTACTGGTATAGGCCGCAATTTCACTCTTGGAATTGTGCTGAAATTGTGCGGGTACCAGGCAATGCTCATGATTTTTTTAACGGTTTTCGGTCAAGGATATAATTTTTTTGAATGTGTAATATGGGTTGGGTGATGGATGATAGTTTTTTTCTTTTTCCCCTTCTCACCTTCAGATCAGTAACGTAAAGAAGGTGATCAGTCGAATCAATGAGTACTATGATCAGGTAAGTGTTAGTGTCTTGTCTCTTCATCTGTCTGTCTGTCTGCCCTCCTCCCTCTCTCTCTCTCTCTCTCTCTCTCTCTCTCTCTCTCTCTCTCTCTCTCTCTCTCTCTCTCTCTCTCTCTCTCTCTCTCTCTCTCTCTCTCTCTCTCTCTCTCTCTCTCTCTCTCTCTCTCTCTCTCTCTCTCTCTCTCTCTCTCTCTCTCTCTCTCCCTCCCTCCCTCCCTCCCTCCCTCCCTCCCTCCCTCCCTCCCTCCCTCCCTCTTTTTTCTCGTTGTCTCTGTTTTTGCTTCCACCTCTCAGTTAAACTTTACTGTGCACTGTTGTTGTTGCAAAAGGGATACCCTGTAGCTATTGGCCTACGGAATTGATGCATTAGTTTATTCTTGACGAATACATCCCCTTGCGCGCGCGCGTGTGTGTGTGTGTGTGTGTGTGTGTACATGTGTTCCCGACGATTATGGTCAAACCTGTCTTTCTTCTCTTTCTCAGCCTCCACCTGACTATTCTTTCATTCTCCTGGTTGGTTATCAACAACCCGTGCATGCCAAAGTATGTGGTGTGATGTGTGCATGGGGAAAAAAAGAAAAAAAGACCAAAAAGTTGTGATCCACTGTCCAGAAAACCCCCCACTTCGAATAGCTGTGCGATGTAGACCAGGCTGAATAGTGGCGATCAATTCTCCAGCCTTGCAAGCTGTTAAAGGGTGCACTCCCAGGACAAGTTGCTATGGCTCCTGCTGTAGCGTCACTATCATCGCCTCTGGCGATGGGCTTCAAAAGGTCAAAGGTATGGGTGTGGGTGGCAGTGTTATTACTTACTGTTGGCACATTCCGGTGTGATGATTTTTCTTGATCCTGTTCTGTCACTGATGCTTTATAGGTCCTTCGTCAACAAATCACAGACTTTGAGTGGCCGGATGCTGGCATGATCGGTAAGTGCATGCTGGTATCTTTGGGTTGATTTTCTGCGCCCAGGCCCGTATGGCCTCTGCAACCCTCAACTTGTACTACGGTGCACACAGAGTATATTATGGATTGGATGTATGAGCAAAGTACAGATATACCAGTATGGGCCAGTGACTTCGACTTGGTACATGTACCCTCTGTTTCGCAATCTTGGTCTTAGACCAGCCTATCCTGCTTGCGAAAAAGGCTCAAAAGCCAACTTTAATTTCCGCAAATATTAGGCAGATTCCACACTACGCCGAAAGTGGCTTTGCCTTGAAGGCATAAAGTGGCTTATAAAGTGAAGCTGCATGTACTAGTGTCGATCACGGGACTTTGCTTTGAAGGTTATAGTTACCCTGGTAACAGAATGGAAGATCACTTTTCCGGCTTGTGTACGAAATAAATAATTTAATTCGAAAGCATCTTGTCGAAACTATTTGAAGAAGAAGAAAATTAATGTTGTTCACATAGATCTACTGCTTGTACATGTAGTTGAGTTTTGTCTCAGTATGAGTGGTCCAGTCCGATCGGCCTCTGGTCGCCGGCGTCGTCGTTTGTATGAGCTAGCTATCCGGTATACGTCCGACATTGATATTCTCCAGACACAACCAAATTATTTTTTTCCTCGGCAGTCCATGGAAATGACAAACAATGTTTTGTTTGATTGCCTCAAGCCTGCATCTGCGTCCTCTTTCTTTGTCGTTCTTCTATTCATGATGTTGAATGAAAACATTTCTGTTGAGCGGCAACTGTGGACAACTCATCCGGAAAATGAACTTGGTTTGGCGGCTGGATTTTGGGAGAAGGAAGTGCTTGGCACCTGGCAGAACACAAAACAGAAGTCCAAGAGATAGTGGAAGGCAGCATGGATTGCGAACTTCAGGATGGAGCAGCGGACATTCTGTTTTCTTCTACAGCGATGCAGCCGTTTGTTTGAGAGGCAATCCACTCACCTGCGCCGCACTATTCCCAGTAGCAAACGTCTGGCCATTGCCCTCTACTACTTGTGCCATTCCGAAACGTATCATGAATTGGCTGCGTTGTTCCATGTGGGTGTCAGTACTGCTTCGTGCATTGTGCATGATGTTGTGGAAGCTCTTGTTGGAGAGGTCACCAGAGATAGCATATTGTTTCCTCAAGGAAATCAGCTGTCGAAAGTGATGCGCAGATTTGAGCAATTGTCAAATTTACCGATGTGTGGAGGTGCGGTTGATGGTACCTTTGTGAGAATCGTGAAGCCAGAGATTCATGGCGACACTTACTGGTGCTACAAGCAGCACTCTGCCATTATCGTTTTTGCCTGTGTCGACCATCAAGGATGCTTTACATTTGTTGATGTAGGAACTCCCGGTAAACTCGGAGATGCGGCTGTGTACAACAAGAGTGAGCTGAAGACCAAAGTTGAGCAGGGCATCTGGCTGAACAGAGCTGTTTGGAGAGCTGGCAACAAATACATTCGACCATTTTTTGATCGGTGATAGTGCTTTCACCTTGAGCCCGTATCTCAAGAAAATTCATGCCGGGGACAACTTGACTCCGCAGCAATCAAGTTTCAACTTTGCACAAATCCGGGCGCGCCGTATTGTCAAGATTGTCGAGTGTGCATTTGGTCGCCTCAAAGGACGGTTCACAGTTGTGTCACACTCCAACTCCAATGACCCAACTTTCATGAGCAAAGCTGTTCTCCTATGCTGCAGTCTCCATAACACCATCGAGGTTGTGTCACACTCCAACTCCAATGACCCAACTTTCATGAGCAAAGCTGTTCTCCTATGCTGCAGTCTCCATAACACCATCGAGCGCAGAAAGAGAGGTTACCTGCCTATTGTCCAGGACTATGCACCTCATCCCCTAGTTCTCATGCAGCACTCTCCAGCTGGGCAAATGCGGGATGCCCTTGGCACCTATCTCCGTAATTTATACTGAATATCAACCACTACGTTGGCCAAAAAGCTATTGGTTTTGGTATTCATATCTCCTTTCCTCCAACAGTTATGTCTTGCTCACAATCTGTCTTGGTAGCCTGTGTAGTGTGAACTCTATCTCTGAACATTGAATTGCCTGTGTCTCCTGGCTTCTCCTTCCTACTTTCACTAGCTTGATAGTAGTATTGACCGAATGTGTGTACGTGTACACCAAACCACATCCCGCTTGCCGTGTCATTTACTCATGAATTCCTGCACCGCAACACTTGCTTTCTGCGTATCACTAACCCTTCCCCTTCTATGGCACAGACCCTACACTGCATGCAATACTTGGATGCGTGTACTGAGACTAGCAATACACCGGACATTGAGAACATAATACTACGGGATAGAACACGTCACACGTCAAAACAATAGAGTGGCTACAGTACACTGGAAAACAGAGAATAGTTGTCCAAACAGTCCAGAGTAGTGTCGCAGAGAACAGAACAGGAAACAGAATAGTTAATAAGGTGGCAAGCGGACTTCAGGTCAAATGAGAAAAAAATACTCCCCCATTTCAAACATGGTTCGAAGGGTGCTGATATCCTCGTATTTGAACCAAGGTGCCAGGGGGTGCTTGTTGAGGTATCGCGGGTCTAGGATCAGCCTCAGCTTTTTCTGTTCAACTACACCTAGGGTGTGTTTGGTTGGTACGATCTAGAACAGGATCGAACAGCTGGTGCACATGGAGCAGCCTCATGTCAACCAAACGGTACTCCAGAAACAGAGCACATTTTGTGAAAAATGTGCCAAACTTGGTGCATTTTTCAAAATGTGTATGGGTCACCATGGTCACTTTGTACGGTACAACGAATCCAACCCAAAAGCGTATGCACGTGATCATTTGGGACCAAAATCGATGTTCCCGCCAGGTTTCACTGTGAAAAAGTGAAACTGCTCGGTCTGCTCCGGCCTCAAGCAGAACATGTTCTGGCCGACCCAGAACAGGTGCAGTCCCAACCAAACGCACTGTTCTGGTGAATCCTGTTCTAGTTCGTACCAACCAAACGCGCCCCTAGAGGGCTACAAATGCTGATCTTGTCAGCAGTGGTTTTCTCTATGCATTTTGCAGATAGTAAAGTGACGATAGCTTCGGACACGAATGATACATGTTTGAAACAACTGGAGTGATTTTTAGCAGTATAGGGTGTGGAAGTACCATAAAGTACCGTTGATCCGCCCCCTCTCTAATTCCCGCCCCCTGTCGATTTTCTACCTGTGAAGCGACTTCGGCGTATACAACGAAATACGATGTTGAACCGATGCATGCACTGCTGTACACAATACTTGCCAATCCAGGATGAAAATGTTCACAATCCAGCACATCGAGTCTGAATTTCTGTGTTGTTGTACATCGTACTGCACTTGACAGCCTTGATATAATTCCCGCCCCCTGCCGAAAACTCAGCTGGGAAGCGACATAGCGTGGGGGGGGGGGGGCAGATCAACGGTACTTTACGGTAGTTGTGAATGGTAGATAGTAACCATTACTTAATACATTGAATGTGAAGGACGAGCAGCCAATAGATGACCAAACACTTTAACAATTACGAAGGCGACCGCTGAGTACAACATTACACGATGAGGATAATTCACAATAAAAATCATTGGCAGAATGCATGGGATAGATCAACTCAGCAATATTACATTGAGGATACGATTGAGGATACGCGTGACTCAAATGATACTTCTCTGGCTCATCGAGCTCTCCTTGCGTTTCCAGGGGCTGCGTCTGGGCAAAGCTTGGCCCAGTGGCCAGGTTTTCCGCAGGCGAAGCATACGACTTTCGCCGGTGGGGCAGCGGATGACTGCTGTTCGGTTCACGGAGCTGGAGGGACCCTGGAGCTCCGCAGCGAGTATGGCTCGTAGTGAGGACGAAAACTACTAGAACTGGGCCTCACTGATCGGCTCTGTCGCCTGGTCTTCTCCACTTCAGTCTCAGCCCTCTTGATTCTTTTCGCGTCATCGTCATCGTCGGCGATGTCATGCTCACCCTTATACTGGGTCGCTGTGGCCCAGTCATACTTAAGTACTTGTTGACGATTTTTATAATTTTCTTCCTTTTGTCGCACAAGGACATACCTTCCACAATGGCGGTTCTGGCAGGTCCGTCCGGGATGGTCCGGGCCGCGTCCTCCAGTTTCGCTTCCACCTGGTCAACAAAGTCGTGATGCTCCTTGCAGCTCTCCTTACGAAAGGAGTAAGTCGGTTGCTTTGATTTGAGGCGATGCATCTCCGCAGTGGCAGTTTCGAGTTGTTTCTTGCATGCCTTCATTTCAGAGACAGACTTCTCTGCTAGAGCATGCTGCTCTTTGACAAGTTGAGTCAGGTTCGCTGCCCAATCTGGCGTGGCGGACGAAGCTGAAGCGGAAGCAGATGCGTTCTCAGCCATGCTGATAAGAGAAAAATAATGTCGGTTGGAAAGACGGAAAAGAACGTGGTGTCGCAAAGGCTACCTCAAGACGACTGGCCAGTCGTGCCCATGCGCAGCGGACTAGAGAACATGTGAAGATGGGGAAATGGACGAGTAAAAATTGATCAGATGACTGCTCACTTGTGAGAAAAACACAAGAAAAAACCGCTGTGACGAGAAAATACTTCTCGCCTCTGTCGCTGCGCTCTGCGGCGAGAAGATACCATTTCCTCGGACAACACTCACAAGACGTACTCCATCCGGTGCGGCAGTAGAATAGGTAGGCATTCGAGAGGTGGATGGCGTTGGAGGAGTCTGGGCTTGACTGTGAGGCTTTCCTGTGCTTGATCTAGCAACGGCGGTGCTGGAGAGGCTCTTTGTTGGTCTAAATCCTGGAATATCACCCATTTTCGTGTGCCAAGTCTTGAAATTTGACCACGCTGTGTAGGCGGATTCCAGATCATAGGTCGAATCTTCGTCAACCTCGCCAACAGGCATGCCGGTGGCAGTTTTCTTCGTGTATGTCTCGTACAGTCCTTTCGCCTTTGTTTTCATGTAGTCGATTTTGGAATGGACGATCGACCGGACGCAGTATAGATTGCCTCCTCCCCGAGCTGTTCAGCACACAAATTCAGCTTGATGGCGATCTCCTTCTCCGCGTACCTCCTGCGAACTGTACCGCCCGGAGGTCGCCTCAAATGTCCGTTCCAAAGCTCGATCAGCTTGCCCTTTAAGCTCCTGGCTAAACATGACCCTGGGCATTGCTGACAGCTCACAACTCACCACAACTGAAAGATACGACAGGAAACAAATTTGGAAAAAAATCGAAAGGCTGAAGAAAAGTCAGAAAAGTGTCCTGAAAAGCTAAAAAGTTGCCTTGAAAAGAGGGTGCTGGTGTTGCTTTGTAGACAAGCACTTTTCACTTTTCGCGGGCTTCTCAAAGTGATCGCCATGGCAACTTGCCTGAAAAGTGGCTTTTTAGACAGGATTTGGCGTAGTGTGGTATCGGCCTTAGGGCTGAAACGATCGTGTATTTTCACCTATCGATTACTCTTTAGCCTAACGATCGATTAATCGATTATAATCGTTAGCAAATAGTGTTAGAATTTTGTGCAAAAATTACTCTGTTTCCAAAAGCTAGGCCTTCATAATACATGTACCAAAAATCTGCATTAGTGACAGGGTAACTCCGAAACATGGCAGTTTTGAAGTCAATTTAACCTCAGAATATGCACCATGCCCCAGGCAACTGCAGACTCACAGTGGGAACTGATTCAAACTTCACAAAACGAGGGTTTTCAGTACTTTTTGGACTCAAATCCCTAACGAGTAATCTATAACGTAACGATTACTTGATTGATAAGGAATTATCGATCGCTTACCGAGTAATTGGTATAGGTAATCGTTTTGGCCCTAGAATATATCGGAATTCGGACCTGATGGACCTTCTTTTTCATGCATTTGCCATACTTTATCCCTCCTAATTTTGTTAAAAACTGGCCGAATTTTGATCTCGCCATCCTTGGACCTTCTGCCTGGAATGTTGCAAGGAAGAATTGTGCGGGTCACACAATGCAGGATGTGCTGTTGTTTTCACCTGTGTGAATGTGAAAGGTGATAATATCATGGGTTGCTTGCGGAGCAGAACTTCTTTTAGCTAGTAGCATCACGTGTGCAGTGCATCACGAGAATTGAATTTCATGTGTTGGGAACTAACAAGACATTCACCTCTCACTTCTGGACACCCCTGGTGGGTGACGATCTTCTAGTATCCCATGAGATTTATTTTTGCCTGACTAAGTATGGTGTCTTATTGCTTCTGCATTTGTCGTTCATCTCTCTCTCTCTCTCTCTCTCTCTCTCTCTCTCTCTCTCTCTCTCTCTCTCTCTCTCTCTCTCTCTCTCTCTCTCTCTCTCTCTCTCTCTCTCTCTCTCTCTCTCTCTCTCTCTCGCGCGCGCGCTCTCTTTCTCCCTCTCTTTCTCCCTCTCTTTCTCCCTCTCTTTCTCCCTCTCTTTCTCTCTTCTCTTTCTCTCTCTCTCTCTTTCTCTCTCTCTCTCTCTCTCTCTCTCTCTCTCTCTCTCTCTCTCTCTCTCTCTCTCTCTCTCTCTCTCTCTCTCTCTCTCTCTCTCACTCCCTCCCTCTCTCTCTCCCTCCCTCCCTCCCTCCCTCCCTCTCTCTCTCTCTCTCTCTCTCTCTCTCTCTCTCTCTCTCTCTCTCTCTCTCTCTCTCTCTGCATGGTGGTTGTTGTGCTGGTGCTGCTACAGGGGATGTTCCTAGTGTTTCCCATCTCACCCGTCTTCTTCAGCTGATTCTTGGTGTGGCTATCTCATGTGACCAGAAAGAAGGTAAGCTAGTGGGCGCTTGAACCATCCGTGGCTAATGATATGTGCAGACTGTCTTCACCGGGTTCATGTTAATACGGTACTCGAATACCGTCAAGATCGGATTAAACTGTTTCTATATGATACTTAATCTCTTGACAGCTAGCTGTTTCAACCTTGTTGGGTCTCGTCCTTAGAAAGAAGAGCAGAATACATGTATATGGAGAGACGATCGCTGATGATCCATTTCTTGCTTGAAACTCGCTTCCTCAGCCAACCAACTTCCTATCTCCTGTGGACTTACCTGAGATTATGCATGTACTTATAGTTCATAGTGTTCCCAATGATTATTGCTTGTGCCATTCTCAATCTTACCGAAGCAGTTGTTTCCCTTTGCTGGTTTATGATTGTTGTTTCTGCTGCTGCTACTGCTGCCTCACTTTATTCACCGTAGTTCATATCCAGAATATCATGCTGCTGGAGGAGTCCGTTCAGCATTTTGTGATGGGTGCGATTCAAGAGGTAGGCAGTTTGTGCGTTTATTGATTAAGCATCAAGCAGACACGAAATGTACTGTATGCGTTTTACCCCATTGGCATTCACCCTTGTTTAACATTCAAATATGCATTACATTATAAAGTCCGATCGCGTAATTTATTCTTGTTTGTTTGCACATATTAGCCTGAGGCATCTGAGTTGCCTTCTCTTTGTTTTGGCTATTTACTCATTGCACTGTTCTTGACTGTTTCTTGCCATTGCTACTTCTTTCCTGGGTAGCTTCTCCGTCGCCAAGCTCCTACGTCAGTTTCGTTGGAAGTTTACAAACAACTCGAGGAAGAAGTAAGTCGACGTTGATGTTTCTTGTTGCAATAGAATGCCCCGGTCTCGAGGTGTACGAGGAATTCAAGAGCCAGCTCTGCGCAATACACTGCAGTATCTATGCCTTCTCTTTACGCTGCCATCGGGTCTTCATTACTTAACTTTCTGTTTCTGTGTGTGTGTGTGTGTGTGTGTGTGTGTGTGTGTGTGTGTGTGTGTGTGTGTGTGTGTGTGTGTATGTGTGTGTATGTGTATGTGAATTGTGTGTCTGGCGTGTTGCTGCAGAATAAATCTATTGCTGAGCAGCTGAGCGAGGTAATGAATGACAAAGATGGTATTGCGCAACGGTGCTATGACTTAGAGCAAGAGGTAAGCATTTGCCTTTGCATGCACGTGTGGGTAGTACTTCAAGTGTATGTTTTGGTGCCTCGCTGGAAGGTGCTGCAGAACGCATTGGTAAATGAAAATGTCCACACGAAGTCTATTTGCTGAATCTCCTTTGGTTATTTGGTTGGTGGCTCATCGTTGCATACTGGTTTTCACACCTGAACTGTTTGTTTCAATATGTTTATGTTGTATATAGCGCACCACACTGCAAGAAGAGCGCGATGCACTGGCAGCTGACAACCAGCGACTACGTGACATGGAGAAGAGTCGTGACGAGACCGACAGTGGACCGTGAGTGCGCCGAATGTTCTCTTTTGCCCTCTATGTGTGGCATGTGCAGTATGTATTGGTCAACCATCTCTGGCACAGGCGTAGGATACCAGTAAGGTAGTTACACACTGTGCACTGTATGATCTGTCTGGGGAGTTACTGGCTCAATTTGTCTGGTGCCGACCACATCAGTGTGAGTTCTTGGCTGTAATAACTAATATGTTAGTTATGCTCAAGCGACAGTCCCTGGTGACAGTCAATTTTTTCTTCAGACTTTTCCCGTTTGTGTCTTTCCCTCAAACCAGTGAATAAGTTAGTTATGGTATGACATAAATCCATCCGTGACTGAATAGACACACCATGTTGTACTCTGTCCCATTTCTTGTGCTTCCAGTTCCGAGGCTCATCAAGCGAATTATCGTCAACAGCAACTGACTGCCCAGATTGAGCAAATGACTCAGGAAAAGTTTGAAATGGAAGCAGGTAGGATATGCTGCTGACCAACGCTGAAATATACAATGTACGTGCACATCCATTGATGCTGTAAATCCACCATGGTGCACATCTTGGCATTTGTTTGGGGAGGGAGAGAGAGAGGGGATTACGGCACAGGCTGTACGAGATGCATTTCTGAGACGATATGAACGTTAGGAATCGTCTGTGTCTACTCTGTTGAACAGCTCGCGATGATTTTCGGCAGCAGATTGATGATCTACAACGGACTATAGCTGGGTTGCGCTCAGAGGTATGTGGCTAAAGCAAGGTTGCGTGTGTACTTTAACTTGGTTAATAGTAGTACTCGGCAATGTGTCAGCCAGGCCAAAGTCATGGCAACTCTTGACTTTGGGTCCACTTGCATCCAACCGTTGTATGGTGATGTTCTTTCCCAATGGGGTGACACACCCACCAGTACTGACTGGACTGGGTCCCCTATGCCAGTACTCCACTGCTGCCAGAGACAAACAAATGACTTTATAAATTATTAGTCACACCATCATGTGACACGAGGGGCCTGTCCAACAAATACTGTCGTTATTTGTTGACTTCTGAACTCATCACTTTCAAGCACCAATGTTTATTTCTCCTGCCTTGGCTGTTTGTTCTCTCTCTATCAGAATAAAGATCTCACAGAGCTAGCGGAGAGTGCGCAGAAGCTTGCGGACGAGCGCGACGAGTTTCAGCTAGCCGCCGATAAGCTGGTAAGACCATTGATTATATAGCTCTACGGATAGTTTTGTGCAGTGTTCTTGGTGTGAGTATGAGCATTGTTGACATTTTGTTGCATTGGCAAGTACAACTAAGCCCATGTTAGGTTGCTGGTTGGCCTCTGAGAAGTCCCAAAAATTCTATTTTGAAAGGAAAATCGGATGCAAGGACAAGATAAGAGGAGCAGTCCACTGCAGTGCGTAGTAAGTAGGTGTTGTAAATGCATAGTCAGTGGTCGGCAGACATTGGTGGACCTTTCGTAACTCCTATCCAATTTAGAAAGGGGGAGGCAAGTTTCGACAAGTTGTGCGTTACTGTACTGCACATTTAGCTAGATGCTAGACAGTCACTGTCGGATCGTACGACAACTGGTACACAACTGGCAACTGGCAGACAACTGATAACTTGTCCTGGCATTCAGTGGCCTGATAGTCAGCTGTAGCACATCCTTCAACACTGCCTTCCTATCTGCAAGGCTAGTCGTAATGGTGGATAACACCTGACGGGAATCTGATCGCAATTAAGATTACACATGACTGACCTCCACAGCTACGGAGAATGTTCGTTAATACAGGATGTGTTCTGTAGCAGTGCTGTGCTCTTGTGCTTCTCTGCTCTACTGTAGAGGAAGTTTGAGAGGCAGATCGAGTCGTACAAGCTGAAGCTAGGTAAGTCGAATGTGGGGCTTTGCTGTACAGTACATGTACTGAAGTATATTCTTACAACAATAGTCGTGTGTGCCGATTACACATGTAGTGTAGACCAATCTACAGTGCAGACTGGCATGTTCTTCATTCTTCATTATTTGAACATTTTGATTGTATGCTGCAACATTGTTGTTTGGCAGAATTCTGCCCTGCTGTCATTCGGCATCCTGTTCGCTGACACGCTGCATCACCCGTTATGAACTACACACGCAGTGCAAACGTGTAGCTGTCCGGTCCCTTCAAGTTGTGCCCTCAAACATGACTTGAATGCTGGTGTGCATTTGTGTGTGTGTGGATGCTTGATCCTGCTGCAGATGAGGCGAATAGTCAGAAGAAAGCGGCGAAGGATCAATGTGACACATTGTCTGACCGAGTAGCGGCACTGGAAGAGGATAGCAGACTGGCATCGGTGGCCAAGGTGCAGGCAGAAAGCTACCGGCAACGGTTGGAGAAGTTCGAGAAGGAGATCGACGATGAGCGAAAGAAGGCCGATCGGGTATGCTGTGTGCTATGCATGTGCATTTTTGTGTGTTTGTGTGTGTGTGTGTTTGTGTGTGTGTGTGTGTGTGTGTCCCATATGGTGTGTGTCCCATATGGTGCAGTGGTATGTGCAGCGATTTCCAATCGATAGGTTGCGGGTTCGATTCCCGACGATTATGGTCACACACGTCTTTCTTCTCTTTCTCAGACTCTTCCTGACTTTTCTTTCATTCTCCTGGGTGGTTACCAACAGCCAGTGCATGCCGGAGTATGTGGTGTGATGTGTGTGCGGGAAAAAAGAAGAAAAAAAGACCAAAAAGTAGGGGTTCACTGGCCAGAAAAAAGCCACTTCAAAGCTGTGTGGTGTAGACCAGGCTGAATAGTGGTGGTCAATTCTTCAGCCTTGCAAGCTGTTGAATGGTGCAATCCCAGCACAAGTTGCTATGGCTTCTGCTGTAGCATCGCTATCATCGCCTCTGGCGATGGGCGTCCAATGGTCAATGGTGTGTGTGTGTGTGTGTGTGTGTGTGTGTGTGTGTGTGTGTGTGTGTCGCGCACACACACTGCCCGACTATTTTCAGCACCCGTGTGACCTTGAAAATAGGAAAAATGCACTTTCCCCACTTTGAGACTCCATATAGAACACAGTGCATATCTTCGTACGGTATTTCTTAGGTCTACGGATGACAGAGAACAACTTAGAAAAAAATCGTTTTTATTATGGTTTCGTGTGTTTGATGGATTGAACATACAGGTACTTTAAAAGCCTTTCACCTTCAAAGTTGCTTAAGTTGTTGCAAAGTTTGTTATGAATGCAACAAAGCAAGATCATGTTTGTAAAGGGAAAAAGGCCCCTAGCCAGGTGTGATTCTGCTGTCGTGGCTCTTATCTTCAGATGTGATATCACCCCTTCATTGTAACAAACTGTAGCAAGATCAGTAGGATTTCTGCCCTTTTGCAGTGGGTCAATTCAAAGACTCCACTGCAGCTGCATACATGTATATGGTTAAATGGTACGGTGGTAAACACACGCCTGCACGCACAAGCTCTCTAAACTGCAAAGTAACTAGTTTCACTCTGGTGCAGAGCTCTCCTTCTCGCCACCACTATCAGTAGGTACATGGCGCCTGGTCAATACATTGCTGGTGGTATTCGACATAGTGGGCTGCTACGTCATAGTGTAACTTTGTAGCTTAAAGAGCTTGTGTGCGTGCAGGCGTGTGTTTAGCGCCCCTTCGCCAGGTGTGTCTTTACCACCGTATCATTCAACTGTGTAGTGCGTGTTTAGCAGTTTTCTTCCCACCAGAAGCTAGGAGGCTACACCTTGTTTTTGGCTGGTTCAAATAGCTTAGTACACCTTGTTTACCAGCAGTTGTTGCAGATTGATTGCTTTCTGCAAATACCTGGATAACATTGTCTATAGTGGAACAGATGTGTCCTTCCCAGTTGTTTCTCCTTGTTTTATTTTGGCCTTTTCTAGGTTTGTAAACATGTATCTTGTTGCATACTACCTCCCACTGGGAACTTCTTGAAGGTGCACCATTGTGACCTTGCTAGACTTCATAGCTTGTACTGGGGGATGTTTGAGTGTGAATGCACCGTCTGCTTATATCCGCTTCTGTGTGTATGCCTTTTCTTGTGCAGGCGGAGTTTGAGGCGCGGAAGGCGACTGAGCAGATTCGTGATCAAGAAAAAGAAATCAGGGTAGGCCTGGCTTTCCTGTGATGTTGTGTGAAGCGTATTTCTGTTATTGCTTCCTCTTTTGCTGCATTTCCAACTGTCCTTCCTGTCGCCACCTTGTTTCTCTGTCATGTCTGATATTAGAACTGTTGCTACTGTAACACTGCGTCTTAGCCGTATGTTTGTTCCTGTTTCGCTTCAGCGACTACAACAAGAGGTAGAGACGATACAGGACCAAAGCGTTGAGATGCACATGTCTCACAACAAGAAAGGTGAGTTGTCATTGCTGCAGGCAGCTGTTGCTGCGGCTGCTACTACAGGGTGCAGTGCTGTTTGTGCTGGGGTACTTGCACGACTAATTTTGCACGTGTATATTTTGTATTGTTCATTTACGGATTCTCCAGAGGTATGGACACCTAGGTATCTTGGGAATCTCGCAACATCTGTCGCCTAGGAGAGATTCCCAAAATAGGTATCCATACATCTGAAGAAGAAAAACTATTTATTGGCAAAAAATTGTTTACTTGCATACATAAGTTAAGTGTGTGTGTTGAGAATTCCGGGCAATTTCTAGTTACGGGCAGTGCTCGGTCCCAACCTGCCCAGAATGCAGGAGTTTTACTGTATTGGTTTGCTTATGATTGACAGGTACATTACATGATTGTACAGGGATTGTGCAGGATGTGCTTCTTTCAGTCCACACAGCCATGTGGCCCACCTATCATGCACACTCTTATCACATTGCATCCGGCATTTCTGTTCTTTGCTCTTTCAGGCTTTTCTCTCACTGATGAATTATCCTCAGTATCTGATATGCAACAGTAAGTGCATGACTTCTAGCCAGGCACACACGAGGTGTGTGTGTGTGTGTGTGTCTGTGTGTGTGTGTGTTTGTGTGTGTGTGCGAGGGGGGAGGGGGGTACTTGGTCCATGTGTTTGTGTGTGTAGTTCATTGTCAATACTTGATCACCAGCAAGAAAGGAATCAGTTGTTGGTGTTGAATGGCATGAGCATCAGAATTGAAATCGATTATGATCCATTGCCGGTCTACAAGGCAATACTGGTACAATCTTGTGTCATTCACTGGTTCAGTGTATATGTTACTGTACACTCTACCCTGTACCCTACTAGTCATACCACTGGGGAGTAGTGACGGCCGCTAACACCCCCAATATCCCAGCGGCAGAGGGGCAGATGCAGCGCCTAGCGATGGGGGTGAGGGGATAAGTCTCACAACCCTGCCATGGAGTTATGTCTATGCTGACCTGCTGTTGGCTTGCTCGTTTTGCTTTCTCAGAAAGGATCGGGTGCACGAGTTGGAGAAGGAGGTCGAGGCACTGCGGCTCAGTCCTGCCAACGATGACCTTGTGGCACAGCTGCAGGTGGCACAGTCCAGTGTGGATGACATTACAGCACAGAAGGAGAAGCTTCAGCAGGATAATCGGTTAGTTGTGGTACTTTGACCCTGCTTGCGACATATTTGTCTGTCACTTATGAAATACTTCAAACTTACTTTGTAACGGTGCAATGACTTTCTGCAAGCTACAACAAGCTGGTGAGAAGTGTGGGTTGCATGCTTCACACGAATGTGTGCTTTGGCACTACAAGCAGTGACATTACCGGTAGCTTGTCATGTGGTACATCGTATACCAAAGTCAGTCAGGCTGAAATTCATGAGAGTGAGAAGCAATTTGTCCTCCAGTGATACCTGTCACCACCAGGACTCGAACTAGGGACCCTCGCTTGTGGCTCTACCACTAAGCTATGTTATTGTTGTTATCCCATCAGCGACCGAACAACATTTTCTTCGAAAAGGGTTCATAAAAACCTTATAACCACAATCAATAGGACACGCTGAATCGACATGAAAACGTTATTCGTGCAATATCAAAAGGTGGAAACTACGTGCAGTAATAACTAGGAAAGCATGAAGGAATGGCGAAGAGCACGATATAGATTTGAACAAGTTTTCTCGCAACACTCACCAGGAATCTTCGTTGTACGAATAAAGTTTCCGTGTTGATCCGGCGGTTCTTATTGATTGCGGTTATAAAATTGTTTTCTCCTCGCCATCTCTTTAAATGTTATCATTGGATAAGAAATTGGAGCTGAGGAACTTTAGCAAAGATAGCTACTGGACATCACCTGCAAGGTCCCGATGTTTGTCAATCTGTTTGCCGTCATACTTGTTGCTAGGTCACAAAATCAGCGCATTATGGAACTGGAAAGCAAACTGGAATCAGCAGTGACTGCAGCAAGTCGTTCATCCACCAGCAGTCCATCTCATCCAGCTGCAGTTAGTAAGACGGAATCGGCGGCACCCGTGGTGAGTAATTTCTCTGAGTTCTTGTACGCGTCTTTTGTCAGCAGACCTTCCTTTGGTTCTCATGTGGGATGGGCACGGTCTACTTTGGTTCCCCGCTGGCTCATCTCTTTCGTTTGTATCCTTGTAATGATGCAAACTGTGTGTGTGCGTGTGTGTGCATGCACACGCTTTTTCTGTTTGTACAGTCTACGGAGGCTAAGCGCGCTCTTGCTGAGCTCAGGTACGTGTTCTAATACTACGGTTACATTTTAAGTATGTTGTCTTCTGTGCTGTTCTACCAATTCAAGACTGAACTTTGCCAGCAATACAAGGGTGCTTGTACATACAAATGCTGTGTGTTTCGGCTGACTGGCATTCCTCTACCTGTCGGTGTGTGTCGGTGTGTGTCTGTGTGTGTTTGTGTGTGTGTGTGTCGGTGTGCGCACGTGTGTGTGTGTGTGTGTGTGTGTGTGTGTGTGTGTGTGTGCTTACATGTACCAGTGGCGTTGTTGGTTGTTGTAAAGTAGCACAGGGTTCTTATATGTGTCCCTTGACTCCTAATACTGTTGCAGGGCAGCCACTTGCTCCGATTTTTCGGAAATCATCCGATTTTTGATCGCCTGTCGGACAAACCGACCGATTTTGTTCCCAAAGAGGGACAACCGATTATTTATTTTTTGAGCGCTTTTTAGTCTAGTTGGCCATTCAGCGCTTCCAGGTCGCGTTTGGCCGGTCATTGTACGTGTACATGTAGCTGTAACATGCACGCGTGCTTGCATGTGTGTGGACAGTTAAAAATGTGCTCTGGGGCCCCAACAGCAAGCTATTTTCCTACAAATTTTCACCGGGGGGGACACCTCCGACCCCCGTCAGATTCTTCTCCCTCCAAGTGTGGCAGCTCTGCTGTTGTTCTTGTATCGGTGCCAGACATGTACCTCAGGACCTCATGTACCTTAGTACCTCAAGATTACCGTATGTAAGCGCCTTTAAAGCCGTGATCTTGTACTGTATAAGCAGAAATATTCGTCTGGAATTTAATTTCGTCTTTTTCGTCCAAGGAGCTTTTGGACTAAATTAAATGTAGGACGAATATCGATTTGTCCAGCGTTTCTATACACTCTTATGATCTATGGACGAAATTTTCAACCGGACGAACTCCTTTTCTTTGGAGTTGGACGAAATTATTGACCGACGAAATTTTCTGCCTCTACAGTATTCGAAACACCGCTGCTGTCCTAACTATTTTTTTAAATGCAAAATGACTCGCCCACTACGCGATGTCATCAAAGTCAAAGTCCACACAGAAATTTCAATCTATATCCACTTGTTCACCCTTTCATTTATGAAGCCCATGGCTTTTTACCTGAGACTGGATTTATAATCGAATTTACCTCCATGGCTTTAAAGGTGCGGGCATACGGCATGTAGTTATTTGCATACTCAACACCCTAGCAGCAGATTTGCCTTACTAGTACATGTATTCTGCGCATTCCCTTCATTGGGACTTGGCACTTGTATTAGTTATAAATTCATGATGTCTGTGACTGTGTGATGCTATGCTGTACAGATTGCAGAACAAACAGATGAAATCTGAGCTTGAGCAGCGCTCTGGCAAGTACAAGGAAGCTGGTAAGTACCGGTATGCAGTACATTGATATGATCATTGGTGTAACTGCACACTGTATCCAGGTAGCAAGTGAAGTCTGAAAACCGGCTTTTCTTCCTTCAGCTCCAGTATGAACTAGTTTGCTCAAAACGTTTCTATTTTCTAATTCTGAGCATGAAATCTTTTGAGTAGCTTTCGTAACGGTTAGTTCCAAAGTCATCACATTGCTTTTCGACACAAAGAATGTTCACCGAGTCTTGTTTTCACGTCATCTGGAGCTGAGCAGTGAAATATGAGCTACAAAATTAATAATCATTGAGGTATGTTGAGCTTACAAACTCTCTCTCTCTCTTTCTCTCTCTCTCTCTCTCTCTCTCTCTCTCTTTCTCCCTCTCTTTCTCCCTCTCTTTCTCTCTCCCTCTCTCTCTCTATCTCTCTCTCTCTCTCTCTATCTCTCTCTCATACGCCCCTATTCTGTACTGCAATATAGCTTCTAAGGTATCAAATCTGCAGGAGGCTCTTGTCAAGAAAGACAAAGATATGAAGGCACAGGAGCAGAAATACAAGCGCTATATCGACAAGGCGAAGAGTGTAAGTCAACGTTGTTGGAGACGGGGCTGGGATGAGCTGCTGCTGGTGATGGTGGTTTATCTGCCACACTAACAGGAAAGAGTGCAGTCTGCACTTTTTTGCGGCCAGTTCTGCTGCTAATAACTGCACGACTCATACTGTCCGGTGTTGAAGAACGGATGATCGGCCTTGTAGGCTGGGCCGTTCTTATTTTCATGTACTTGAGTCTATACGCAGTTGAGCCACTGTGTAGTGTGTTTATATCGTTATGCTGTGCTTGGTGACATCCTAGCCTGTTCATTCTTCGCCACGCCGTGTTTTGACAGCTGACAGTGCTGACAGTGCTGTATGCTCCTTTGGGTACTTGTACTTGTCAGTAAGTGAGTTGTTGTATTGAAGTATTAAACTCTTTTTTTCTTTCTCGTTCATGTCCAGGTTATTGAGAATCTAACCGAGGCTAAAGAAAAGTCCGGCCAACACTCTTCTTCAGCAGAGGTGAGAACCACTACAATGCATTTAGGCCCTGAAAGGTGATAACTTGTACGTCGGTGACCAAACAAACGGTACATTGGAACTCCTCTTATCCGGTCATATTAGAATGGGCACAGCCTGTAACCCGGAACATGCATACTGTTTGCATGTAAGGAGGGAAACCCTTTTTACCAATCAATATTCTGGTGCCCTTTTTCTGTGCAACGAGACTTTTATTCTGTGACTCAGAGGGGTCAGAGCAACGTTCGGTGGTAGACATGAGTCCAGCTAGGGAGAGGTACTGTGTCTGCCTTTTTACATGGGCCGACTGAGTGAGCACGATGATCACGCGGAGTGTTAACCTGCAACCACTTGCGTCCGGCAGCATTGCACAGCCTACTCCTTGGCAAAGCCCCCGTTAAGTGTAGATATCAGATGCTGAAGGTTTCAAGCTATCCACTACGATGTTGTCTTGCCATGTGTAAGTGTTTCCAGTTGCACAGGTGGCTACGAAAGCAGACTGTAGTCTTCAAAGCATCTTTTACGTTTTACAGCTTCCCCTGAACAGTGGTCTTCATTGCTCTTTGGTCTTCATGCTGGCTCTACATGTGCTGCTGCTGTTGCTCTTTGGTGTCCAGGTGGGACAGCTGAACAGTCGCCTCCAGGAGAAATCAAAGAGAATCGAGAGTTTAGAAGTAAGAATGGCCGTATAATTGCAGGGTCTGCATTTTGATTTTGTGTCGTTGACATTGCATGCGACATCAGGGATGAATTTATCCTGTATCGCATCGCAATTTGCGATGCAAAATCGATCTACTGCTACTCAAAAGTCACCGTGACTCGCAGAAAACTGCGATACATACAGACTATCCATGCCTGTAGCCTGCGCTGTCAAGTAGCATGCATACAGTGCAGTGTATGTGGTGCAGGCACTCTCAATCTGCGTGCACATGTATGATTCAGTCGGTTTTTTTGCAAATGGGCTTTCAGGCATCACTCTCAAGAAGGACAATGTGGTAAACACCTAACCTTCAAAGAAAAATGCTAATCAAAATCAAAGACTGCTACACAATTGTGATTTTGTATAGCAGAAACTGCTATGGAAAAATATGACAATAAATTCATCCATGGACATGTAAAGACGCCTCTTGTGCACGCAGGAGTGGTACCCCTCGTGTACACATCCATTGCACATGCAAGCCGCCCTAGTACAGTAGGACTGAATCACTAATGCATAATGCCTCTGTGTTTTCGTCTTTTATGTGTGCATTGCAGAAAGACCAGCTGCGCGTTCGCCAAGAGTTGGAACGTGAGCAGAGGATCATGGCCAGCTCCTGGTATGAAATGGTGAGTGCTAGTTTACATACCGTAGTGTCTTGTATTAAAGCCTATCTCATATAGAAGCCTGTTTTCAATAGAAGCCTGATTTTCAACATTCACTGCCAGCACGTGAGCCTGGTTTTAGTGTTGACACACATGGAAACACCTAGTTTGAATAGAAACCTGATGTGAATATAAGCCTAGCCCTGACCTCGGCTTCTACAGGAATAAGCCCGGCTTTAGTACACGACATTACCGTACAGTGAAACCTGTCTCAGGCGACCCCTCAAGGGACGAGAAAAGTGATCGCCGTGGCCAGGTGGTCTTCTTATCCAGGTTCAGTGATCAGTGCATCACAGTGCACACACCTACATGTATGCTACTCTAGCACGACTCATGTGCCTGCCACTGCCTGGCCGGGCATGGGCATGATGGGGTCCTCAGACCTGTCAAATGTCGTGCATGCACCATAGTACACTTCCTGCACTGATGTGTAGATCTACCATGCCTGGTGCACCATGCAATGCATACATTTACATGGCTAGCACTGTGGAACGCGGTCGCGGGTGGGTGGTCGCCGGTCGCGTTGAGCGAGTGGTCGCCTTATCCGAGGTGTTTTGAATGTGAATGCGTCCGTGAGTCGTGACAAGGAAAAGTGGTCGCCATATCCGAGTGGTCGCCATTACAGGTTTTACTGTATATGCTAAGTGCTGATCGTCGATTTTATCTTTTCTCGTCTTGTTGATTTTGCCCTTACCCTGTCCATAATAGTGTAAGCATGTGCAGCGCAAGGCAGCCGAGGAACGCCTGTCCTCATCCACTGCTCCCACGTCGCTCAGTAGCAGTACACCGGGTGCGTCGTTCCTGGCACGCCATCGGCAGGGTGTTCTGCGTACGTCACTAGCCAGCACGTCGAGTATTACACCGCGATCATCAGCAAGGTGAGACTATCAAGGTCTTTTAAAACTGTCACTGTGGCTGTGTTTGTGTTTGGGACATGTTGTTGTGCAAGCGCTGCACCACGCTGCGGGATGATGTCTAAATATGGTACTCCATCACCTCTGCCCTCTTTTCTTAACACCCTCCGTACATATTCTAGTGAATGCTAGTCTTGGTCATGCTGTCTGACGAGTGTTTCTTAAAACACGAAACTCTGAATAACGGCAGAAAAGGACTTGGTTGTGTCATTGCTGTGTGATCATTGTATTACTGGCTCTGTCCACTGGATATAGAGCACTATGTACAGCCTGGGGACCTTAGTCTTAGACAACTGTCTATAGTACAACAATGTGTGTGTGTGTGTGTGTGTGTGTGTGTGTGTGTGTGTGTGTGTGTGTGTGTGTGTGTGTGCGTGTGTGTGTGCGTGTGTGTGTGTTTTGTTTTCTATTATGACAGTGATCCTTGATGCCTGGCTGTAGAACACTACAGGTCCTCTGCATTGTATCCCCCACACATCATCAACTAGCCCCTGCAATAGCTGCTGCAGCAACAGCAGCAGCCATCTCTGTCTCATACTTTGCACTACTTGCAACCTTGATATCTTTTCATATGGTACCAGGTAAGCCCAGCATTTGAATGCCCATTTGCGACCATCATGCCCCCCCCACCCCCTCATCGAGAGTATACTGTTACTTTCCACTCGACTATTTTGGTTTCATAATCCCCAACTATGTTTTTGAATATTCACGCTATACCGCTGTCCCGACCGCTGCTTTGTTGACTTTAGCTGTACAATTTGACAAAAACCAAAATAAATACAACTGCCGGCCATTGGCATCATGAACAATTCCATGCAACTTTGAAAATTAACCTATTCTATTTTTTTAACCCATGGATAATTTTGTTTAACACGTCCAAAATTCAGCTTGTCTGGTGTGTTGCTGTCATAGTACTGAAGTATGAATATTTATTGCCGGTTTGTATGACTTGTTTCATAAAATCGTTTCATATCGCCAATCTGCAAATCCCCAGGATGTGAATTGGTAGTGGAAGTGGTGCGTACACTTGTTCGCAGCAACAGTCCCGTTTTGCATGTAATGTATTTTTTTGCTTGATCCCGATCATTGCCCGTCTACTAATTTAAACAGTTGTACTGTTGTGTCGATCGTCTGTGCGTGGTGGGTTGTGTGTGTTTCTGCTATGAGTTAATGTAAAGAAGAGGAGGGGAGATACTCGTACCAGAACATGTCCAAGAAAATTCTTATCATTTGTTTAACATATCCAACAGACAATAACTTGTGCTGCAACGAAAAAAAATGTTCGGTAATCCATTCAAGAAATTTAGTTAGTGATTCAGTGCCAACTGCTAACTCTCTATTCAGTTTTTATCTCAACCATCAGCATTTCGAGAAGATCAAAGCCCACATAATGCAGCTGGGAAGTTCTTTGCTACGGAAAGCCTTGTCCAGTGGTGTAGTCAAAATCAATATCCAGTCGCATTTGTTAAACGTTTTAAAGTGGAATTATTGCGATACGATGGTGATATGCTTCTGTTGTAGTAAGGTATTCATATTGTCAAGTTAGATCCTCAATGTGTTTGGGGCCTAATGATGGCTGTCAGGAAATGAAGCCTGCATGAATGTCCGCAGGTGGTTTAGCCGTGCACCGATGTCAGCAATCCGCGTCTCGTCGTAGTCCATCGTGTCGTCATCTGCGCAGGGACACACGAGTGAAATACGTGCGCACACGCACACACCACACCACACACACACACACACACACACACACACACACACACACACACACCATTTCTCAGTTTCGAGCCACAAGGGAGTGTGCAGCATTGGATTGGTTCAAAATGATTCAAAGTCTAGGGCTATGATCATTTAGTCGGATCCAGATCCAGATTCGTCGGATCTTTCAGAATCAACCGATCACTTTTTTTGGACCTTGGCTGTTGCCATGTTGACGAAGTAAAAAATGGCACGGACAGGTCACCCAAAAGGCGAAAGTCGTACTGACCGCGCGCGCGCGTCGTACGAAAAGTCAACGAGACGTTTATGGATACGACAATGAGTACAAAAAATGGTTTTACCCGCCATATATGCACAAAGGTCACATTCGGATCCGATGGATCCAGTCAACCCTGCTCCCGGGGCAGGGTTGCTCGGATCCAAATCCGAAGGATCTGGATCCGGATTCGACCAATGGATCGCTACAGATCCAGTGGATCCAACGGATCTGGATCTGGATGAGACCAAACGATCACAGCCTAGCAGTATGACTCGTACATTGCAATTTGTAAGATACATGTACTGGTAGCCCATCATGATGTACTGTAAATCCAAAGCACTGCTTCCTTACCTGGGCTGGCATTCAATACTCTGGGTTTGTGCTGCGATTTCCGGGGTTTCTGGAAAGAGCGTTACAACACGAGAAGAAGAAAAGGGTTCGAAATGAAAACGGGAAAATCTCGAACAGGTGTTTCCTTATAACAATCTACAGTCATGGAAGACTCCAAACGCACCACATGTATGCACAAACCGAAACACACCTGCACACAGCTCATGTGCACGCACGCGCGCGCGCGCACACACACACACACACACACACACACACACACACACACACCACACACACACACACACACACACACACACACTATCCTGAGTTTGAAACTCACAGAAGCAGGACTGTCATCAGCCCAGGCTTGTTTTCGTTGAGTCCTCCCTCTGGCACCTGTACCACCACTACCACCACGGCCCGTGGGAGGTTTGGAGGACTTTGGTGTCTTTGCCATGGATTGTCCAAGGCGCTCAAGGGATGAGCTTCTCCGTTCCAACGATGAATTGCGACTTCCCGGAGCTCTACCTGCATGTCAAAGATAGGGAACAGCGCCAGACATAACTTGACATAGGCACTCCAGCCTTTGGGTAATATCCGTAATTATGAATAAAATAATACTATCACTAGAATGGACTCGGATGGAGAGCCATGGTCCTTTTTCTTTACTATCACTAGAGGAAGGAAATAGTGTTGTAAGCAGACGTTGTGACTGCTCACTTGTTGGAAGTACATAAGTGGTAGCATGAGAGCATCGCACCACGTATACGAGTAGATGTATGAGTGGTAGGAATCAGTCTTTCTTCCCTTCTGTCCGTTGATTGAGTGAACTCTATCAGTCAGCATTACATCAGCATTACATCAGCATTACATCAGCATTCTTCAGACAGTACATGTACACCATGCACACTACATGTACTGAAGTACATTCATCTATTTTCAAAACAAACCTCCTAAAACTCGCCCAAAAATAATTGATAACCACTGCCCGCGAGAAAACACTGCAATTTCTGGATGCCGGGCAAGACGTTTTCTAACTGCCACTGGCAGTCTTTAGCTAAATCGCTCAAGACTGACTGTACACACAGTCTTACCATGTTGCCTTGATGTGGATGGCACTGCAGGAGGGCGGCCATGTGTCCGTGTACTGGCTGTTGACTGCTGGTGACCTGCATACGAGTCCACGGAATTGGATCTGGAACGCCGAGCGGCACTGGGAGATGGCGACCGACTCATACTTCTCCTGCAATGCCATCAGACAAACGAATCACATGGGACATAGCCTATACGTATGTAGGACTCAGTATAGAGTCCATGCACTATATGATGTCCAGCACCCTATATAGAGTCCATTGGTCCAAAATCCACTATACAGAGTCCAGAAGTCCACTCTGTTTTGATCAGCTTCATCCTGCCGCGCAATCCCCTATAAGGAGTACACTTTCTCTACAAGTCCCCTATTCACGGTCCAGGACTCACAGCATTCACGGTCCAGGACTCACAGCAGAAGTCCAGTTTATCCAGTCACGCCGTCCTCCTGTGTGTTGTGCCCGAAAAAAAACACCTTTTCAGTTTTGCTTGCCTCGTGGCAGCGCATTCCTTTCTTCACTTCAGCCATGGCTGCCAGTTCTGCTGTGCAGTTGCTGACAGTAATCTGTCTCGAGGTAACCAAGGAGGATAAGGAGACGTTCAAAATCAAATCTGGAAAGCGTCTTGTGGTTCTCTGAAGACGTTTCATCAGTGCGCGGGATGAAAGCAGAAATTGCAGAACGAGAAAAGTTCAGCACAGTTCGAATCTGACGAGTCAGGTACACTGACACTCTCTTTCGTTCGACGCCACAAGGAACCCCTGTTTGGCTGGCCATTGCTGCCAGTAAGACGTTTGAACGGTTTCATCAGAGCGAGGGATGAAAGCAGAAAGCGGAGAACGATAAAATTTCAGCACAGTTCCAAAATCTGACGAGTCAGATACACTGACACTCTCTTTCGTTCGACGCCACAAGGATACCCTGTTTGACTGGACAAGAGCTGCCTGTACCACCGTGTCAAAAGGCTGTCCAACTACATGGCAGGACGATGACTGAGGTAAGGAAGCTTTTACTCGTTTCGATTGGTCTGCTGTTCTGTCGTTATGCTTGAATTTTTTTACACTTTCAAAGAGCGTATCGCTTTTGTTTGATGTTGCTTGAATGAATGCCCTAAAAGTAATCAACCACTTCGTAATAGTCCTCAAGGACTGCAGGCGCGTACGCAGGGTCACCTCTAGGGGGGTTTCCAACTAAACCGAATTACAAACAATGTGTTCTTTTTTACCTTTTAAAAAATTTCAAAATTATGCATTGTTCGCGTTCCTTGGATCATAACTTCAGTTCTACTCACTCAATCTTCATAATCTTGGGCTTCCTGGAAGTGGAATGGTATCCACGAGAGAAAGGGAATGAGGTCGACCATGATAGCCAGGACACTGCAGGCAGGTAGCACCGCCGTTGGTGGTGGTCTGGGTGTATGGGGGTCGGGGGTGTCCCCCGGGAAAATTTTGAAATTAGGGAGCAAAATCCTGCACTCTGGGCACTTTTGGCATTGGTCCGGAACAGCCGGACCAGCTGCTACGCTGCTGCACTGTACCTGTATCCATAGAGTGCAGCAACGGTGCAAAAATGCCCCAAAGGCCCAAACGCATCCTGCTCCAGCGATTTCGTTTTTCTCGATCGCAGAGTTTCGATTGTTTTGCTGTGTACTCTTGAGAATATCACAAGTGAAGCCCCTGCAAATTTGAGCAAGTCAATGTGACGAATAGTCTCAAATTCTCGATACTCAAGTTGCACTGCGCGCTTTGGAAATTGCCGGGATCGCGGCTCAACTAACGAATGCTATATCTCAAGAACCATTGCTCGCAGCGCTTCGCGGATTGTTTCTACCGACAGCTGAGAATTTTCTATTCGACCTGGATATTTGGATCGTTGGAATTGAGCCAGATTTGACTGAGTTACGATCTGTTGAAGTTTGCATTCTTGTCAGATCAATCGCACGCCCTACCAAAATGTGCCCAAAAATGTTGCTCGTTTGGAACATTTGGGGGGTTTCCGGGCAACGGGAAACCCCCTCTGTGTACGCGCCTGGACTGCAAGGACTTTGCATCAAGATCAATCGTATACGATCGTCTAGCTATCATCAATTATTATTTTATTTCATGAGAAATGTATTTTTATCCCTGTGATAATTATGTGAACTCCACGACACTCTTCCTGTTGTAGGCTCTAGTATGATGTCAAATACAATAGGATCCACAAACGCAGTGCCAGTGTACTAGTAGTAGTAGGAGGAGGATTTCTTGTATGCCGATGACAAGAAAAAGCTTCTCAAGCTAATACATGTACTCGTATTCCATGAAGTACAAGTAACCGTTTTGATGTCACAAACATGACATTGTGTCAGTGAAACTGCCTCGTGACAACAAATCATTGCATTTCCATCTTGGGGAAGACTGACTGACGGCAACGCTGTACAGATTGTTCAAATCATCTCATCAATTTAGTTGCAGTGAAGTGAAACACTGTGTACACTACATGTATGGTGGTGTGTTTGTGCGTCTTGAGTGTGCACAAACGATCTTATTCCTCGTATTACTAATAGATTATTGTCCCCACCGTCACCTGTTCACAGGTCTTTGAGTGGATGGATTTTCATTGAGCATCACATTCGTTACTTGGTAGTTGTGTGGTCCCATGCATCATTACGGTAATAAGCGTATCCTTGTGCAATCTATTTGTTGCAGGTGTGCTGATCTTCAGAAGCTTGTGGAACTGAGTGCTACTGAACATTTGCATGGCCATGAGCAATGGTGAAGCTTGCTATTGCACTCTCAGCATGTGCTAGTATTATGCTGACTACTGCACTATGTTACTCTCTTACACTACTACATGTATGTAAACGTGCGTGCATCCGCCCACGTATGCATTCGTTTCGTATAATTATTTGTTATCCCTCTTGACTTTACGTGTAAATGGGTGGACGTTTGCATGGCTGTTGGAGTTGCGTGTGTATTGTGTCTCTACTCTTTTCTTGGTGTTTTCTTGGCGTTGTATAAGTTTGTGTGTGTGTGTGTGTGTGTGTGTGTGTGTGTGTGTGTGTGTGTGTGTGTGTGTGTGTGTGCGCGCGCGCGCGCACAATAATTTGAAAACAAATAATTAATCCTTGGCTCTCCATTATTCTTTTTCGATTCTTGGTTTTTTTCTAGGTATTTTCTTGGGGTTGTGTGGGTGTGTGCATGTGTGCGTGTGTGCGTGGACAATAATTTTGCAACACTACATGATTGAGATATTGTAATTTGCAGCGTCTGCGAAGAGACCACTTGATTTAAGGATGGTGTTTGTAGGGTTTTCGTGTAATGAAGTGGCTGCAGTGGCGCCTCAATACTTATTTTTTATCTTGAGAAGTGAATGATGTAAAGGATTAAAGGGAGAGGCCGTTTTCTGGTTAATATTCGCTGCTTACAGCAGATCCTATGTCTAATTTGGAACTCTGGATAGGGGATGCCTAATTGGCTGGACTTTATACAGGGAGTGTTGTCCACATAAAGACTCTTTATAGTTGATTTCAAAGTTTGGACACCGTACAGTTGATTTTGGACCAATGGACTCTATATAGGGGTGAAGTCAATTGGCTGGATTCTATACAGGGAGTGATGTCTATCTAAACTTTGAGCTCACAGTTGATTCCAAGTTTGGACTCTGTACAGTGGATTTTGGACCAATGGACTCTATATAGGGGTTGGACATCATATAGGGGCTGGACGCTCTACTGAGTCCAACACGTATAGTATCATGACCTTATCACCACGCATACACATACACATACACATACACATATAGTATCATGACCTTATCACCACACATACACATACACATACACACACATACACACACACGTGCACGCACACACGCACCGTTGGTGTTTCAGAGCCATGATGCATGCAGCAAGGTAAACACTCACCCTCTGCGCCGGGCAGCCTCCTGTTGCCGTTCTTCTCGTGCACGGATATAGCTGAGTAATTGATGTTACAGTCAAGGGAGTTGCACAGTTGCACAAAATTACACTTATTTAAAAGCATCTATGCAGTTTGTAGGTGTACTGTCAATTGTAATGGGCAACGGTTACCCAAGTGCCTTAGCCTTATTAGGTATCATTATTTACTACTGACTGTGCTATCAGAGACTGAGCGCCTTCTACTGTAGTAGCTCAAAACACATAGTTAGAAAAAATTAGTAAATGCACAATCGTGATGTACATGCACTGCATACTGTACTCGATAACAGCATAACGAGTAGCCATCATAGAGATAACGAGTAAGTTCCGAGTAATCGGTGTAATCGTTTCATCCCTAGTTAGAATGCACAGTACATGGAAAAATTATGGCATCTTTGGGAAAGGGCTAGTATGTGACCTCCGCAGTACTGTCAGATGCCGTGTACATGTACACCTCTTCGCCTTCTTTCAGTGGCTCACTTTCGGACTAACCTTTCCACACATGTGCATACACATATTTTACATACACCTCTTCCCTCTCTTATACCCTATCTCTTCGGTACCTTGTAATTGGGAAGAAACACCCGTTTGGATTTGCGAAATAAACAATCATCATCATCATCATCAACCATGTACACTGATTGCTGTGTTGTTCTGTGGCGATTGCCCCCAACAGGCCACTCTACCATTCACCATGGTTGACTTGTTATTTCTTCTACTTGATACTGCAAAGCATGGCGAAAACCTAGATCGTGGCAGCCTACACACAACCTACACACATACATGTATAATGCACTTTTCCATATACACTACATACACAATAGCGAGAGTTCCCAGATTGCCTAGAGTGCTCAACACCACAAGGATGGAGCATTACCACAAAGGCAGAAGAGAACAGAGACAGCCGGCTAGGTCATTGTTGTAACGCTGCGTTTCATGCACATAGCAAAGCTAAGGCAATCCTCAGGAGTTGTGTGAGGATTGCCTTAGCTTTACAACAATGACCTAGTCGGCTGTCTCTGTTCTCTTCTGCCTTTGTACACTACACACATGTCCATATACAATGTACTGGTACACGTACGAGTATTATGCTTTTTTTGTATTATGCTTTTTGGTATTCCTTTCTGGCTTCCCTGCAGCCCGTTTATATCCCAATGGTCTTCATTCCAGATTTTGCCACCTGCTCCGAGTCTTTCAGTCATTCTAGAACACTATTGAGAGCTAACAACAAGAATATAACACTAGCTGCTATGCTGTTGCTATGCAGTTGCTATGGTAACCATGCACAGAACTTCCATGGCTCGTTTCAGTACCCGGCTTCCATCACGTTTCAAGGGTGGAAAATTATATTGTCGACCTCCTTGTGCTGTGGTCCCCAGTACATGCTAAAATGCCCGAAAAGTTGTGCGCTTTCCACTGCAACGAAAGTAAACATTTTGGACACCTGGCCCCTGTACTATGCGTCTATGGTGCTTTTGGTGAAATACAGACAAATGAACAAGCAGTCAGTGGTGGGTCTACAGAAAGGTACAACACACATACATGTAGGATACGCAGTGGGATCAAACCTGGGCTTGGCACCACCTGTCACAACCATTGAGAACCACACATTGGAAAACACAGCAAAGCAAAGAAAGGAATAGAATGAATGGTGCAGTCATTACTCAAATGCACACAACATCACCACGTACATGTATAGGACAATACGACAGTCAGTAACACAGTCAGTAACACAGTCAGTAACAGTCAGTAACACAGTCAGTAACAGTTACACAGTCAGTAACACAGTCAGTAACACACTCGGGAAACGAGGAAGCAAGGCAGGTAAAAGAAGAACAGCAGAATGGAGAAACGGAGGAAGCAGCACCATGATCACAATGACTCAGAAGGACAACTGCAAACCCAGGCAACCGTGACCAGCCACTGCATAGCAGCAAGTGAAGAGGAGAAGGATAAGCCTGGCATTCTGTACTGAGTCCGGTCCTTAGTCACTACCCACCTGAGAATAATTGCCTGGCTGGCTGTCGTCGTGATGCCGGTGCAGGTGGAGAGGGCTTTGCAGGTCCCCTCCAGGACGTAACGGGATCCCGCGTGCCTCTAGGAGCTGTATCCCGCGTGCCTCGAGGAGCTGAAGAAGTGTGCGGCTTGGGCGACCAAGATCGCCCCCGACTTCTCTCAGCGGACGCAGTCCTTTCCGGTCGGTAAGGTCCGTATGATTGGCTGTCAACACATGAACAGGGACATGCCTTAAGAGCTTTCTTCGCACAAGATTTTAGCATGCCACGTATACTGTACTACCAAGAGAAACACAGTCATACAGCCCCCTGCCCCCTGCCCCCCCCCCCTGCCCCCCCTCATCCTAGCATACTGTTAACATGACAGTCATGCTTGCATGTGTCAGTCAGGTACATGTACATGGAGTACTAGTGTAGATGCTTATGCAGTACAGGGTGCTTAACACATACAACTTGAGCTGCTGTGTTACATGACCCTCAGACTTACTTTCGCTTATAAGCGGCCAAGTCATTGGTAAGATACTTGATACGCATATGCAGTGTGTGCTCATTGGAACGTAGCTCATCAAGCTGTAGGAGCACAGCACAGTGCATGGTGTACACACATCATAACAGAGAGCCACTTGTTTACGTCCTTGCACACAATCACACACACACACACACACACACACACACACACACACACACACACACACACACACACACACACACCATCACACAGACACGGACACATACACAGACACACACACATGCATGCATGCACAGCCATTTCTCCCAAAAGGCACTGAGCTTCCTGATTGATTCCATGATTCGCCTTCACACCCTCAACAGCATAGCGTGCACACGAAGAGGACCACAAAGTTCGGCAGCACAAACCACATGCAGTCTATGTGAATACTCTACTTGCACTACCGAGAGTGAGGAGAACACCCGCGCGCACTCACTTACTTCTTCTTGCATATCACGCATAGCATCACGCTTCTGAGCGGCAAACCTCTGATGTTTGGTCCGCTCCTGGATCAAGTCACCCTGAAGCAGACATGTTTTATGACGAGAGATAATAAAGATATACTTTGTCAACACCTCAATGCAGAAATCGAAAAGCATTTTGCTGGGAGGACCACCTTGCTTCAAAACTCACCTCCAATGTGCGAATAACCGACTTGAGTACTTCTGTCTTCTTCGAGTCGGAGCCTTTATCCGCAAAGCGGGCTTTCTCTCGTTCAGTTGCAAGCTGCTGCTCAACTTCATCCTTTTCCGCCACCAAGTCATCATACCTATAGTCCAACACCAAGCAGAAACCTTTCAATATATGTTTGGTTGGAGGAAAGCAAATCAGCACACGAAATATAGTTTCGACTAGGCCTTTCGTACCATTACTCTTCAAGTCGAATACAATGGTGATTAACAAGGTAGCAAGCAAGTCCTTATAACCCGCACTTTGGCGGTCAGAGCATTGACAAAAATAGCACTTGAAAAATAGCGCTAGTGGCCCCAACAACATATTTGGAGGTCAGAGCATAGACCAAATAGCACTTTAAAAGATAGCGCTAGTGGCGCTAACTACACAGTGAGACAATGAATATTACCAGTATCAGACAATGAATATTACCAGTATCAGACAATGAATATTACCAGTATCAGACAATGAATATTACCAGTATCAGACAATGAATATTACCAGTATCAGACAATGAATACTGTAGAACGGGTAATCATCGCGACTATTGATTTTAGCGTTTTCCCATTGTCAACCGGTTAGCGACGTTTTATTTTAGCGATTTGCAGCGATTTTACTCACGGATCACCAGTGCACTACTTTAGTACTAATGTCTCAACGGATTAGCGACTTGAAACTTTAGCGAAAAGGAGTCGATCGCTAAATTCGCTAGGGTTTTTACGTCGCTAAAATTACCCGTTCTACAGTATTACCAGTATCAGACAATGAATATTACCAGTATCAGACAACAGTGGGGACCACGGTACTACAGTCTTTTCAAGTGCTATTTGGTCTATGCTCTGACCGCCAAATATGTCGTTGGCGCCACTAGAGCTATCTTTTAAAGTGCTATTTGCTCTATGCTCTGACCGCCAAATATGTCGTTGGCGCCACTAGCGCTATCTTTTAAAGTGCTATTTGGTCTATGCTCTGACCGCCAAATATGTCGTGGGCGCCACTAGCGCTATCTTTTAAAGTGCTATTTGGTCTATGCTCTGACCACCAAATATGCTGTTGGCGCCACTAGCGCTATTTTTCAAGTGTTATTTTTGTCAATGCTCTGACCGCCAAAGTGCGGGTTATAAGGACTTGCTTGCTACCTTGTTATTCACCATTGTATTCGACTTGAAGAGTAATGGTACGAAAGGCCTAGTCGAAATTATATGGCTTCTGTGCTTCGTGTGCTGAAACCTTTTAATGGACAAACATGGACAGTGTTACCCATACTTCGTGAAGTACATACACATACACACATACTTACTTACTTCGCAAAGCTACAACTTGGCACGCTTTCTGTACGACTATCACTTGCAATGAACCATGTTTTAGTTCATGGAGGAAGTGCATCACAACCATGCGGCACATTGACTAGCGGACACCCATCCAAGTACACGGTCAGTGCATGCTCAGCAATGGTGCTTGCTAGTACCATGGACACCAGTACATGTACTGTACGGCGGACCGTTGAAGTAGGAGGCATGTTTCAAGAAACAACTGTGCAACTAGCCAACACTTGGCTTCTGGAGGTTAGCAGTAACATGAGGAGAATGCCTTTCACCTCCATCCGCGATGCACGTACCCCACCGGACACACTCTCTCCAACAGGTCTATACTGCACATATGCTACTCACTGTCTGCGTAGCTTCACAGCCTCAGCATCACGGTTGTGTTTACGACCCTGCATGCGCACAGCACAACGGGAACAAAACATCAAATCATTTAAACACCAAGTGACCAAAGTGCTAATGGACAACCAACAAGTATTCAGTGTTGCATGTCTACCAAGAACATGGTAAGCAGTGTGTAGTTTCTCGGAAGTGTGTGTGTGTGTGTGTGGGGGGGGGGGGGGGGAACTTAGTATGCATGCAATGTAATGCAGTGTTATAAATACACCACTGGAACACACAGTGTGCAGGGTACTCCTGTGACTGGAAAGCAGTGTGCAGGGTACTGGTGTCAATACACATAATTAATTAGGGGCCGTCCGTAAATATCGATGTTTTTTTAGAGACGATATTGGTGCGTCTGGGGGGGGGGGGGGAGGGGGTTTGAGCCATGTGCGTCTTTTCGAGCATCAGAAAAATATCGATGTAAATATCTGAAGTTTCGCCGATCCCTGCACGCGGACGTCTAAATGGCTATACAAGAAAATGTGAAACCAGCTTCCGTTCGCGGAGCTAAAACTCGCGACACAAGAACAAAATCAAAAATTGGAAGCTGTACGCCCATGGCGAATTTCAAGAGCAAAAGAATGAGCTATTGATTGTGGAAATCGGCCGAACGATGCCTGCAGGAGACCTTTTTCAAGACGTAGAGGCAGTGCGAACAAACATGGACGAACTCCACAAGAGTTTCCAGTCTTCACTGTCTGAACAAGGACGGCACAGACGCTGAGAATGGTACAACGGAGCGATGCGAGCACTGCAAGTATGTCTTCTTGTCAGCGGCTGATAAGCTTCGCCACAACCGCCTGAGTCATAGCAGTGAAGGCACTACATCCAGGCAGCAGAAGGAGCATGTGTGCTCGTATTTGGATGGTGCTTCTACTTGTGGCTTAGCCTTCACCACCTACTATGGGCTAATGCAGCACAAGAAGGCTGCTGGCCACAAGTGTTCTCGAGGGCGACCAAAAAAGTCATAATGCTCTCCTGCTCAATTAGACCATAATAAATACTGCAAACTAACTTGCCATCTTGGGTTCATATTATTGACAAAAAAAGGAAAAAAATGAGCATCCAAAAATATTGATTCCATGATCTAGATGTACATGTGCGTCTTCTGGGGGGAGGGGGGGGGGGGTCAAGGGAGAGAAGCACCAATATCGTCTTAAAAAAACATCGATATTTACGGACGGCCCCTTATGTCGCTACAAGTGAATTCAACTCTTCCAAAGCAGCGGAGAGTGTAAGCGATTGTAATTGTTGTGTGGACCGCATTGATAAGGAGAGTTGTCCTACCTGCCTTGATCGTAGATCCTCCCTTTGCACCTCACGTAACGATGTCAACAATTGTATCGGATCCAGTTGTCCCCTATTCTGCAGCACCAACGGGTAGTGTATTCTGAGAGGCATATATAGGAGTTTGTATGTACATGCACACACATACACACACGCATATACACGTATGCACACACACACACATACATACATACATACACACACATGTACATACACAAAGAATTTCACATTACATCACTCTCCTGATCATGTAACAAACTTGAGCTGCACAGAAAAGTTAGGAGTCAAATGAGTCATCTGACACAGAAGCAAAGGAATAGGAACACGTTCAAAGTTTGAGAATGTCATAATTGTAGCATACACAAGCCGTATACTATGTTACTGCTCAATGAGATCCAGTCGTGGTACTCAAGTTTGCGCCCTGCTCCGTTTCGCAGCCCAGTGTTCGCAGATCTGGGGCTGTGCAACGCCCGGCGCGTACTTGCGCGACGTGACTGGATTTCATTGTGCAGCACCGTCGTATTATTTTCTATACTGGAAAGGTGATCACGAGTCGCACGGTTCTTTTAAAGTAACACATGTATTTGCCGCATGTCACTGTGCTGCTACCTCACCTGTCAAACTCTACATTGTATGTCAAGATGAGGTATCGTTTGTTACTGGTCTGCAGTGGTTTGCCAAGTGAAGAAAAGTTGCCGCTCTTCTGGCGCCGTAGCTTCTCCAGGTCAGCTAAAGTCAACAAATCCAAACTGACAGTGTCGCTCTTCTGCAGATTGGGTAGAAGGCAAAGCGACAAAACAAACAAATCAGTATTAACTGTTATGTACATCGAAGTAGCAAGGAAATGACACACTGCAGCTGAAATCAAGTGACGTAGTGTGCCATACAGTATGTTCGATGCAATCCTATGCAACGCATGTACAGACGTGTAGCCGCATATCGACCATATTCTCAGCTTGACCTCAAGTTACATCCTGGAAAGGCTTCCTCTAGCTGGTCGATATTTGCCATGCACCGGCACGTAAAGTCACTGACCTTCAGCAATGCTGCTTGGAACATATGCAGAAACGTCGCAAACGGCTTGAAGTTCCCGGTTTTGCTTGAAAGATCCTCTACATCTACATGCAGGCGAAACGCACAACACAGGGACAATGCATGTAAGTAACTTGTACTGTCAAGTGTCAACCAGCTATTCTAACTGTAATACGTTGTGTTATGTTGATATTTTAGCGAAGGTGCGGTGCAGAATAGACACACAGGCATGTACTACAGTACAGTACCGAAGCAATCAAAGAGAAATGCTGGCCAAGTAAAGTATCAAATCTTCGGAAAACACGCACACACTGACGCACAAACTGACACACACACACATGCACGCACACATTCTCAATCTATTGTTCTTCCTCTCCTGTGACTTAAAAAATCTCAGATCTTAAGTTTTTTGCACTCCATACATAATTTTATTTTCATTTTTATTGGTTTGGTGAGACTCCCATGATAGGTATCCATTTACGTCTGGAGAATCCGTAAATAAACAAAACAAACAAAACAAACATACATACACACACGTACACACACACAGTCCACAAGTAAAATATTTCCTCAATGTTTGAAGTGGAGTACAATGTCAAGTATCAATTGTGTCTCCTTTGGCTTTCTCTCTGTCTTACATTTTGCAGTGAAGTCGTTGCTCCATTGCTCATAGCTGCTAGTATTCTCCACTTCGACCAGTAGAGTGTCCGCTACAGTCCTGCTAGCAGAGTCGCTACTAGCGTCAGGCGAAGAAGACGAGCGCACCGTCACCAAGTATTCGTCGCCTTTGAACTCGTGCTGGGCCGTCAGAAACACGTCGCTAGACATTTCGACCCTAGGCTTAGTGGAAGCCACCGGTGTGGGGAGGGTATTTGGCAGTAGGAAGAACAAGAGGAATGCACGGCATTTCACGGACACATAGCAAGGACTTGGTCAAGAGAAGCTAGAGTTGCTTGGATATGGCATGAAGATAAACTAGAAATACGATACTGGACAAAGTCAACAAAACAACACAACTCTGAGCACAAGAAGTGCTGATAATGGTGTTGTGCCATTTCACTCTCCGTACTCGACGGTGGCGGGTGTTTTTTGAATCGCGTCGTTTCCATCGCGATTGGTGTCGTCACGTGCGTCTGTTTTCACACATACAGTCATTACAATCATGTAGATCTACCTTTACCATGTTTACACTTACACTATAGGGACTTGTCTTTCCTCTGCACATAACGTTACCATGCATACTGACATTTGCCACCAACTGTCTGTGTGACTTGCCAGTGTGTATCATGAATCAAGGCAATAATGTCAATGCTACATCATACATGGGAGCCCCCACCATAGCAAACTCGCACCCTTTGTATTGTTGGCTGTTACTAGATGTAGACTTGTCTTTAGCCTTTAGGTCAGACTACAATGAAAGAGTCAATCAACTAGATTAGCAGATTCACAACCATGGTGTAGCAGACATGAATCATGCAGTGGCAACGTGACGTTCCGGGTGCCTCGCATAGTACTGCTGTTGAAGTTATACTGTTATGAACGCACTATACATGGTCTGTAGCAATAGCTGCATCTGCACAGTACTCTCTCAATCATAATGAAGCCTTTTAAAGTGAAGAAATATTGAGAACTTGGAAGTTATGGGAAGCCCCCTCCACCAGAAGCATAATTATTATATGTGGACAACAGGTGACATTAAATGGAAAACCTTACACACACCATCTTCAAACCAAGTGGTCTCATAATAATTGTATTCAGTTTTCATTCATTCTCTTCAACTGAAATACAAGCAAATGTAACGAATGAAAAAGAAAGAGTGTCACTAGTAGCTAGTCTAGTACTATTGGAAAATAGCACAATGCTGTACCTACCTAGAGAACATTCATGCACAGATCTCAATCTTGAAAGTCTTTAGATCATTCACAGTAATGTAAAAAACAAACAAATGCACAGACTCGGTGTTCAGCATGGGCAATGCGCCTGGACAGTCCAGCTGTCTTCTTATGCCATCCTATCAAGTAGCAGTATGGTCAGAGAAAGCAAAGCAACTCAATCACCTATGTATCTCAACGTTTTCAGCCATATTCATGCGACGGAAAGTAGCTTGAAATAGTCGTAGCGACACCCACACCACTCTAAACTCTCTTGTCAACTCTCTATCTATGAACTTTGCAGCTCGTCAATAAATATTTCCACTTCAAGCAATGCCATACTAATGAGATTGGCCACTGTCTTTCAAGTGAGATAAATAATATTCTTTGCAGCAGTCTCCTGCAATACACAATCAACGCATACGTTGGATGTAGACATGCATGTCCGGTTACAGGTCATCCATCATGTCCTCATGACTTGCCAGTCGTGGCTGCAGTGGAATCCGTCACCGAGAGCGTGGCCATCTCACCAAACAAGGAGTCCAGCTCGGTGTCAAGTTGCTCCTTCACTGACGGCGAGCCATCGCCTGCACAACTGTAGCCAAGCTTCGACAATGTGTCCTCATGGGCTGCAGCCATCTGTTCATAGTAGAGTTTCTGCAGGACATAGAAATGATGCCAGTACGCAGTACACACACACAGAGTCAGCATGAATTATCTGTGTACTATAGTCATGTGTAACGACCGGTCTTTCACGGTGATGAAGCATGGTGTCAATTTTTCAATGCATTATTCTTTTTTGCACCTCAAACCAGTCCAAAGTCCTCTCTGTTTGGCTATAAATCACTATGGTTTGGAAGGACAATTATTATTTAATCTTACCGGAACATTCAATGATAACCATAGTGTTACTCATCTGCGCACCAATGTATACCATGCCCAACAGCGATAGGTTGGTTTACACCCGCAATAGTGTACACAGCTCCATCAGCCAACACACTCACCTGTGCTTGTATGTAACAGCCAAGGCATGCTTCAAAGAATTCCAACCTACCCGCATGCAGTACGGGTAGTTCCTGCGGATACCAAACGTAGAGCAGAAAAGACATCTTTGACCAACAACTTCCCCAATAAGCCGAGATTATTACCCAACACCTGATGGGCAGTGGCAAATACATGTATACCAGGACATGCATTTGGCATGGGTAGATGGCTTCAATAGAGAACGCTGTGCAAGATCATCATACTCCAGGATATCTGTAGTTGCCTTCAAACATTCAACTAGTTGGGGGGGGGGGGGGGTGGCGGAAAAGGGAGGTTCGTCCGCATACTATGAGTAGTATGAACAATATGCTCTCCCGTGACTGTGTTACCCAGATCTGGGCTCTACATTCCCTAGCCATACATAAAACCACCCACCAATGAAGATAGACCCGTTACATCGCCAGTTTAGGCCATGTCCACTTACCGCCACAACAATGCTATCAACCTTTGCAAAATCCTCCTTTGCTTTCTTTGCTTCCGCCACGGCCTGCAGCACAACCATAATAGCGGCAACAAAAATAGCCACAGAAACAACCACAACAACAACAGCAGCAGCAGCAGCAGCAGCAGCAAACACCCACTAGCATTGCACCAACGCTGACAAATGTCCTGCAGAGAGCTCAAACCAAAACACACCGCCTACCCATACAATGATCACGCACTACAAATACTTGTAAACATACATCACAGAACATTTCAGATGTGTTGGTGTAACAGTGGAAAGCTATTAAGGCTCAAACCAAGCTATTCGGATAATGCATAGCGATCATCTTACCAAGTCCAGTTTGGGAGAGTTCTTCTCTTTGTACTTCTCTACCTTGGTATTAGCCTTCTCCATCTCCTGCCAGCCAAAACACATAACAAATAGTGCAGAGATGCAGTTAAATCACCAGTATTGGGACCATCATACCACGCACACAAATTCAGCCGAAAAGTATAATCTACACCAAAGTTTCATGCAACGGCATGATCATTAGAAGGCTGGGCATTGCAACACACCACGTAACGCATCCAATTTTTCCGTGAAGTTGTCCGCCAGCAAACTTCGCAACACTGATGGCATACAGAACTAATAGTGGACGACATCAAGAAGGTCTCTAATCACAAAACCACTTGGCAGACATCTCCCACATTGGCCATTCCCGTATCAGTAGTACATGTGTACATCAGCACGTGTAACAACGAGAGTGTTCCAGTCATTGCATTTCTGAACAGTGACCACCTCACCTGTTTCCTAGATTCCCGTTTTGACAGCGCAGAATTGACTGTGGGGAATATCAAAGAATACCTGAAAAAAAAACAGAAACTCCAATCAATATCCGTCACAGTAGAAGTGTAGTGTCAACAAAGAAAAGCATAATAACCATACACATGTAAGTAAAGTTGTAATTCAGAGCAAAAAAGAGAGGGAGAGAAGGGGGGTGCTCTTCCGCCCAGTTCCACCTTGAATCAAGAACCATAGCACTACTGAAGTACATGCAGTTGGCATGAGGTGCACCTCAACTCACTTCTTCAATGGTTCCATCATGAGACGTTCCTCGTCAAAACGCAGCCGCACCTGCATTTCATGTTGCTTCTCTGAAATGGCTAACTGGAGTGAAGCCTGCATGTCCAAATAATCATGAAAACAATAAAGAAATGGACATGTGTAGACTGAGCATCGTAACACACAAGGTAACATATCCCAATTATCCGTGATGTGTAGACCAACGTCCTTAAATACAGCACACCCAGGCTGTATGTGACACCAAAACAAAAGATATCACACAACTTTAGAACAAACTGAATCATAGTGCTGATGAGCAAAGTATCCTCAACGATCCCACACATTTTATGTACACGTACGGAGAAGACTATGAATAATGGTTTGTGTATGGACTTACATAGGTATTGAGTTCCGGGACACGCTTTATGATGAGACGAGTCGGCCCTCGTGTTCGGTTTTTATCCTGCCAAAGTTAAACAAAGCACACCGAAGGAGCCCAGTGGTGAGAAAGAGGACCGGATGGGGCAAAGCAGTAATCTGAGAGAGAGAATGACAACTCACAGGCAAGCCTGTGCATGGCCACAATCCTGGGAAAGCGTTGTACTGTCCGAGACCTCGCTTATCCAGTCCTCTTTTACCCGGATCCCTCACAATCCGCAAGAAAATCGTTGGTTGCCGACTTACGGTATATGCCATGCATACATACAGTATGTGTGTTCCATTATCCGGTTCCCTCGCCTATCCGGAAATTTTTGTGGAACACGGATGTGTGCGGTTATGCGAGGTCTGAGTGTACAGGCATAATGGTGATAGCACTGTCCAGGTCTGAGTGTAGGTCAGTGAGGTATAGATTAGAAACGGATAGGATTACCGTCTCTGAAGGTAATGTTGGGTCCCCCATTGGAATGATTGCTCAGCAATTGTTTTACTGCACTGCCTCTAGCCAAAGAATGTTTGACAACAGCAAGTTTCGTGCCTAATCATTGTGCCTAGTCATAACCCATCTACATGACTGTAGTGCCGCCCATGACACCGTGAAAACCCAGCACGGCAGCAGTAATACTTCGAAGTAGTAATGGTAAAGACCATGAACGGGGAGAGTAGGCAAGCAGCAGGACCATGACTGGAACATATTGCAGACAGCCATAACTAGTGTATGTTGTCATTGACACCAGGAATCAACAGCATAATTTTAAGGTGTGTAATATGTATCGAGTGGTAATGCGCGTGCAGGCTTACAGGACCATCCGTGTTGTTCGAGCGTCCATACACTGTCTGATAGAGGTCACTGAGAACGCGGTGCTGTGCTTTAGCCATATCTACAAACACACAGTCATAACCATGTACACACACGAATCATTGGTGAAACATTGACCCAGTGCATACTGATAAGTGTAGTAGAGGACCTGGTTTCTGAGACTGGCTGGCCGGGTGAGCAGTTGAAAACCAGAATCTACAACCTTGTACAGCTCTGGGCTGACAAATCATAACTGAAATGGACATGCATGAGCCTCCGACGTGTGTTCATTGTTATCCTGCGGGATAGCTAAATGGCAGAGGGTAATTAACTACTCCACGAGTCCCCGAACGCCCGGTGCAAAAGCCATAGTAACTTACAAGTAGTCTACTGCAAGGTGAGTGCAACACATGATGTCTGCAGTAAGACTCTGATACCGGAACTGACCTCACATTGCAAAGTGAGTTTCCTGTCATTCCACCTTACATAGCTGATCACACGCTGAACAGCGCAACGGCCCCTGTCATAGGTTACTTACTAGTCATTGCTTCTCCATGCTTTCTCAGGTCCTTGCAGATCTTTTTGGTCTTGGCCTCCACCCTGAGTTGTTGCAACAACAAATAATATATAAACCGTACCGTTACTCAGTTCAGAAAGCATCATGACCACCAATTACTTTGCAGAATGTACATGTACCTGCCCAGCCAGACTCACACAGAATACAGTCGACTCCGCTCATAACAAACTGTCCATGCCCCTGTTTGAACTCGTACCAAAACGTTGACCCTTTGTAGCAAACATATTTCGTTTCTATTTTTTTTTAATCAGCCATATCTTGTAGGGCCGCAAGCAAACCACGTGTACCAATACAGTCACGGGGAACATGCCAGTCATGACGTTTTGCTCGCATGGTGTTAGTGCATTTACGTAATAACGAACTTCGGCAATAAAGAACCAATTCTTTGCACAATGGTGTTTGTTATAATTATCAAAAGTCGACTGTATGTTGGTATTAGACTGTATGTTGGTATTAGGCTAGTAAAAGTCAATTCTGGTTGTGTTTCATACAATTACAATTTTACAGTTTCTGACTGTGCGTAATGTTGTCCCTTACTGTTGGAATTGAGCAATAATCTGGTCAGTCTCATCTTGCTGTACACACACATACAGACACACACACACACACACACACACGCATACGCGCGTGCACACACACGTGACACATGTACACAAATAAACACACATGCAGAGCAAACTAAATAGCAGAAGATGGCTGTAAAAAGCAGGGTACACAACAAGATGGGTAGGTTTCAGCATCTAAGCATTATAATATGCAAGAGAAAAGGAGACTGCCCAACGATAGTTTGAGCTTGTCGAGAGGCACTTGAAAAGTCGACAACTTGAGACAAAAATCGTAAAATCGGGCTAACTGATGCTAAATGCACAGCCATTAGTAGAGATTATACCAGCTACAGCAGTCATCAAGAGACATTGAAGTAAGATGTTCTTGGGTTGATATGTCTGTCAGGCTGTGATCATCAACTTACCGGCTTGTCTTTCTTGCCTGTACGAAGCTGCATCAGAAACACCGGGAAGAGAAAACACAATAGCACAGCAGAGCACATGGCAAGCAGAAGATGTACATGTACTGGCCTTGGCAATGCCGAAGAATTGGAAAAAAGCTACTTGTACAAGAAACTTAACAATCAAGTCAAAGCTGAAATTTTGAAAATGAAGCCTCCATGAAACGGTTGTCGATGAACATTGGGATGTCTGGAACCACACTGCAGGATGGCATGCATGATTCCAAATTAGGAATAAGTGTGTGCTAGTATATGAGGAGTGTACTAGTACATGTATACGGGGAGTGTATATGGGGAGGGACTTGAACAGTTTGGACCGAGGAATGCATGTTGCAACCCTCATGGCCGGTATCATACGATACGTCGGTATAGGTATTCATGACCTTTGATTTCTTGCTCTAACAAGCACTTGTCACATCATACCTTTTTGAATCTTGAGACAAGAAGTGGACGTTGCGGAGCACAACATGGAGAAAAAAGGAGAAAAAAGCAGATGCACATGTGTTTAGCCCAGAACTGCATGACAATATGACTATTGTCCACCATGACAGTAGTCAGAGCCTCCCGATATTTCTAAGAAAGACGCAGATCTCCTCTCACCCTGTTTTACAGTGGGGTTTTGTTTTCTGGGAACAAATTTTAGACACACACACACACACACACGCATGCACACACACACACACACACACACACACACACTTTGGACATTTGGAAACTGACCCCATCGGCAAAGGTACGCACGCATATACATGTATACATAGGTTCAGAGTCAGCCAGTACAATCTCATCCCTTGTTCGAAAGTCACACGCACACACGAAATGTGCCAAATGTGTGCACAAATTCATGGAAACTACACAATCATCTTGAAATGTATAATCAGTCATGCACATGTAGGTTTACTCATATTTTCTCTTATTCAACACTGACTGCGAATCACAATGGGGTATCGTCGAGCCAGACTCAATGCCCATGATCCCAGCGGAGGCCATGACCTGCTGACCGCAAACACAGCCCGAGCCTACCAGCGATATCATAGTGTGAGCGCTCAGTGAGCATAAACTGACCCTACCCCAAGGGCGAGTGAAGCAGGGAGCAGGAAGCAGAGGCCGCATTGTTTCATGTTCCACTTGCCCCTGCTGCGTTCCTCCAGGGCCTAGAAGGTACTCCCTGAAGTGCAACTACATGTATGTCAATGTTGAATAAGACTTCAGGAGAATATGTGGGCACACCAAGATGACTGATTGTACATAATTATAAAGATGCGTAGTTCCCATGCATTCGTGTGCATCAGAGGGCTGACACAATTATACCCACATATTGATCATGATGAGTGCAATCCCATATTCTTTTTCTTGTGATCTGCGCGCCCTTTATGCTCCGTACATATACTCTGTAGGAGCATACCAAATGTCGGCTGCTAATGTCTCAGTATCACTGCTCCTTAAGTTATCATGTTTACGCATTATGTGACTCAGTCTGTCATGCCAGCGTTGTCCTTAAACGTCTTTCCCTCCTTTAGATCTCTCCACAAACATTTCCATTTTGACATTCATGTATTGTCACCCGAAAATTTATTTTTCATTGCTATCAGGTTCGGCCTCATTTTCTCTGTGCTGCGCTGATGAGTCCACAAAGGACGAAACAGTTCTGTCGAAAATCAATCAAATAAAACGAAATGAAAAGAATCGATAATCGTTGGTGCTCAAAGCGAATGTAACATTTTTTTCTTTCATTCGATCGTATCAGTGACAGTGTTCTAGCCCTTGTACTCCATGATCCAATAGCAATACCTGGCTAATATTTAAAGTAATGACATCGGATTGCAAAAGCAAATCAAACGAACAAGATAGTCTTGACTCACAAGCTCATTGTTCCTCCAATCTAGATTTCCACTCGCTACGTTCTCATCAGACCCTTGCGATCGATGCACCGACAACCAATGGCTCGGGTGGCAGCCGTCACTGATATCCACCGACTACGAGTACAAGTCCGCGCACAAATCTACATGTACCGGATCGCGGAATCAGTGGCTAACGCTACGCTCCCAAAATCGAGATCTGACGAGAGAGAAAGAAAATGACTGCTAGCCGCCTAGCACTGAATCAGAAACCCAGCAACTACACCATGACATGACTACAAGACAGTATAATATGAGCCGTCAGATGAGAAAACAGACCTTATCGCAAAAACTGCACAGTGCAGAAAAGTGCACTTGAAAGTTGGCGAGTTTACCCACTGGTGCGTCTGGACAGCCAAGCTACAAACCGTCGTATTTCAGTCAAATATCGGTCTTTTGGGACAATCCAAGTATGTAAATCGAAGAGAAAACTCCAAGGAATCCAATGCAGCAAGCGTGATCGCGGCACGATGCTGCGTTCCCGAGATGCGAAGCCTGCAAGATTCGTCACGGCACTTTGCATTTCTGCACGCGAGTCAAACGCTCCAGACCAGGGATTTCCCCCTTTTCAAGCGATCTACGATCTCGGCAACAGGCTCAGACGTCTTGGAAGCTCTCACTGCATCTTCACGAAAAAAATTGGGCGTCCTGGGATAATGGAAATGGAAATGGCGAACGATTTTCGCGTGACGGCGCAAGTCTAGCGCTGAGGCGATGCCTGCAGCTTGTTGCGCTGGAGCTGTGCTTTATTTGCTATCGGATTTGGGCCCAACGGGTTGCTTGTCGCCAGAGCTTTCCAGAAAGCCCAAGTTTGTGGAAATCGGTCAAAGGAAACAGAAAATATTATCCAAAGTAGGTGAAACAATTGTTGGTATTGTACCCAAAATTGACGTGCAATTTGTAATGGTCTCCTACTGTCGAGGCTATAACTTTACTTTCCCTGGTCCAAATCAACTCTAGTTTTCTGCATACGATTCCTGGTGCCCCTGGCAATCAGATAGCACCACAAACAAAAATATGACTTTTTTGGGATAAGGTCTGTTTTCTCATCTGACGGCTCATATTATGTTCATCGAGATAATTTCTTCGTAGATCTACTCGACTCACAATCTGCAAGTGCAAGTCCGCAAACTGCGACAAAGATGTCATAATGCAAGTCATGTACAATGTATACAGTTTGACTGAAATCATGAAATAAAACTTCAAAAAATCGGCACGGACATGTCTCGAGTAGATGTACGCATGTCATGCATGATCATCAGGGCCGGGCCATGGTCCATCCAGGGCCAAGGGCCCGGGCCGGCCGGGGTGGGGGTTGAGCGTCTGTTCGTTTCTCGACATACAAGTCATAGTCATTACTCATTAGGTCTACATGAATGCCCAGGTGATGACTGTAGATCTACATACCGTATTATTAGTACAGTCGTCCCTCTCTAATCCGGCACTTGTTTATCCAGCACCCTTGCAAACCAGCACCCTTGCAAACCAGCACACTTTCTGGCAAAACGGATTTTTTAATTCAATTTTCTAATCCAGCAGTTGTACACCCGTAGGCGCATACCGTCAGGGAGCATTGTAACATACACAACACATGTAACATACACTTGGGAATATCCTTTGCCAGTGCATAGGATATTCCCAAGTGTATGTTACAGAGACATGCATTCCACAAAGTACTTGGATTGACACAGAAAATCCCTACGTTTTGACGTACGACACAAACATGTATGTTAACAGGTGGGCCGGGTTGGAGGTCAGGATTTGATAATCCAGCACCCTTGTTTATCCAGCAGAAAATGCCGTTGCAAAAGGTGCCGGATTAGAGAGGGACGACTGTAATTATAAGCACGGTCCTTTATTTTTTCAATGTACCTCCGCCCCGTGCTATTAATGGATCCATGGAGACGTTCCTTTATTGGAGACTGTTCCATTATTATTTCAACCTCATTTCATAGGCATGTTGCCATGGCCAAATTCATGTCAGACACACACATTTCAGGGTTATTTCGCCGGTACAGATAATGAATTTACACAGTGTGCTTATAATGGAGACTGAGCACTTTATTTTTTGAATGCCGCCCCAAGGTGTTCTATTATTGGAGACGTGCTATTATTGGAGACAGTGCTTATATTAGAGATAATACGGTAATAATATTATTATGTACATGTAGATCTACAGTCATCACCTGTTATAATTAAACCAGGGACTACAATCATGTTGTTGGTTGACAGCATGTAACAACGACGTGGAGGGCGCAGGGGCACCGACGTGTTCGGAAACAGTGACCTTCCTAATTCTAATCATGAAGTTGATTGTTCCAACTAGGAACACACGCTTCTTGCCGAACTTGACACTTGACTGACTCACGACTGCCATCCGGAGCACACGAGGAGCCCGTCGCACCTTCCACTCGGAAAACCTGCAAGAAAGCACCACTCCCTGCTCAATACACAGTGTTTCGGGGAATTCACCCCTCATCAGTTGAGCTTGAGTAGGCTGAGGAAGATTGTGCCTGAAAAGCACCACTTATATACTGCTCTCCAGGCCAAACCATCACCAGGGATACAAACTTACAGAGACTGTGTATTGAGCAGGGAGTGGTGCTTTCTTGCAGGTTTGCCGAGTGGAAGGTGCGACGTGCTCCTCGTGTGCTCCGGATGGCAGTCGTGAGTCAGTCAAGTGTCAAGTTCGGCAAGAAGCGTGTGTTCCTAGTTGGAACAATCAACTTCATGACTATTACCGCCGAAGTCGCAACTAACTCTAAGTTCTTCCTAATTCTAGTAGTAGTACTTAGTAGTAGTAGTATTATCCATCCACGGTTGGTAGAGCCCCCGGTCTTGCGACCATCTGAACCGTATGGGTGTTAGACCCGGTCCTGCCCCTCTCTATTCTACAATTGTAGGGGAGTTGTTTTAGACTTCTCGTACCGTCAGTCTTGTATTCTTATCTGTGTTCGCTCCTGAATGTCTTCTTGATACATGTACTCATAAACTTAGTAGCTAATTTTGTTCCGAACAAAATTAGCTACTAAGTTTATGAGTATAATGTCCACTAACTCCACCAGAGCCACCTTGGCTCTCCATCCGAGTCCATTCTTTTTTTCTTCTTCCAACTTCTGCCTATGGCGTCCCTATCTCAGCTCTTACTTACCTTGCTACATGCTGTCCACCAACAACATGTTTGAACAAACAAGGTTTATCTAATACGAATACCATGACTGTATTTGTAAGTACAGTTTGTAAGTGTGAGCACGTCCAGAAAAAAGAGAAAATATCGATACTGCAGTCTGATGTACACGTGTAATAGGCCATAGGCTATAGCCTCACATGAAGCACCAAAGAAGTTCTTTGGTTTTCGTTTCTAAAGACGGACTGAGTACAGTACAGTCATGACATTGTGTACAACAAGGCGGATCGCGGAGGACACACTCTTTAGTCTTTTGAGAAGAGATT